AATGTAATATTTGACCAAGTAAACTGTTAAGACAGGGGATAACACCCCATGCTGCAATTAATCACCAAGCTATTGTCTGTTGATTAAACAGTGAGTAAGCATGCATTGTGTTCGGTAACACCATTAATGAAAGAGGGGCGGCGCTATGAAAAAACAACCAGTTAAATTGCAAAAAAAAGTGTTATTTTTGGTAAGGTCCCTTTCTTTCTAAGCTCAACTGTAACCTTTTTGCCATTTGAGAAATATGACCCAGTTCCCATACCTAGATCGATCTAACAGGATCAATTTATCTTCAATGGGTTTCCCTCTAAATTGCTTTCAGCTTTAGCGGCTTAAATGTCTGGCACGCCTACTGATGCTGCTTAACAATAATTAATTGTAGTGTCAGTAGGCGTGACAGACATCTAAACCACTTCAGCAGAAAGCAATTAAGTGCGAATCCCCTTGGAAATAGGTCGATCCACAGTTAGTACGATGGGGTCTGGTCCCTATGGTTCTGTACTCTTCCAAACAAAATGACGCGGCCCCAGTTAATATCACAGAGAAGCAAGCTTTTATGCGCAATATATCAAAATATTCTATGGTGGTATCGTCACAGAAAAAGGGTCAATGTTGTGTCTTACCAAATATCAAATTTCGATATTGCCACCAAAACGTTTGGAGCCCTTATGAACGGTTCATCGAAACGCACATACTTCACTTGACTCTGACACCTTTGAGTACTATCTTTGTTACAGACGTCGCTGGACACTACTCCCGATACACCTGTAACATGAAACACACATATTTATGTACCTTCCATATTTTAAACGTTCTGGGTCTGCATGAACAGATTTCTATAACAGTTGTTATATCAGAATGAAATTATGTCCTGACTTAGAAGTTTGTTTTATCATTCTGATAATTGAACTTGGTTCTTGTACGTGTCTACTCCCTTCAAATATATTTTAATAATTTTCTTGTATTACATTTTCGGTTTGGGCTTTTTCAGTGTAGAATAAAACAGTTACCATTCCAGTTTTCAGCGAAAAAGCTAAACATTGATAATATCGTTTTTAAAACTACCGAACCAAATAACATTCTCTTAGACTGGGTTTCTATACCTGGACTGATCTAACAGGATCGATCCATCTCCCAGGAGTTTCTCTCTAAATTGATTTCAGCTAAAGCGGCTTAAATGTCTGGCACGCCTACTGAATGGTCTAAACGATAATATTTTACCCCCCCCCCCCCCCCCAGCGGCTTCAGTAGGCGTGAAATATTGTATAATAATGAAAGTAAATTCAGCAACTAGTACTATATACATATGTTGTTTTTTAGTTGTCCTTGCCAAAGTCTCACCCGCAGTCTGGCTGTACCTTAACGTAAATGTCACTGTTGCATGTACATTGTTGGTTTTAACTACATTATTATCGAACAAATACAGGAGGACTAAAAAACAGTCGAGAACGACCCCGACTTCTAACATATTTTAAAATTGTACTTACACAAGGCATCAATTGCATCTGGAAGTAGCAGAACAACCAAAAAGCAACCAAGGAGAACTCTGGAGGTCATCTTCTTGTTCTCAGTCTGAACAGGCGAGTGACTGAACGAACTGTGGCGCCCATGTCCTTTTATAGTTCCACAGTCTGTTGTTCACACATGTCCTGGCAGTTTATCAAGTTTCGTGCATTTTCAGTCATGCGGGGAGGCCCAATCAAGTCCCAAAAAATACATATAAACAACACCATATTAAGTTTCTGCTTTCATAATACCCGGATCTAGTCAGGCAGGTTTATCATGATTTCGTTTTACATATATTTCTGTTTACAAACATGGAGAGTTTCAAATTTTAAAAACGTCAATTTTAATTGATGTAACAGAGAGAAAATATATGTCATCAATAACATTTTCGAGATTTTTTTGTGCTATTTTTGATACTCTCCCACAAAGAAACTCTCCGGAATACTTAACATAAACATTGTCAGTGATGAACTTTTTCTATTTTTTGTGCTTTTATCACCCCTTCTCCCACATAAAGACGTGCCAATTACTTTTCAAAATGCTTAAGGCTTGCATTAAGTTTGACAGAAATTCATAGAAACTCCAAAAAGGGGGCAATCAGACATTTGAATTCAATAGGAACAATGCCCAGTACTTTTCTGTACCCCAGATCGCTTTTTTTTCTCTCTTTAATTAGCGAGGGAAAGGGGCAAATTTTGGAGACATCTTTTCAGGTTAGTGCATCATTTGGGAATCAAAAGTTGGAGGCAGGTGACACCAAGGTACAGTTGCTGCACCGGTCATTTTAATACGGAAAAGCGTTGTTTATCCTTGCCCTCAACATTTTGATACAATGTAGTGGGAAGTTAACGCAAATCATGATTCTTTGGTTTGCCTATGTAAATAATTGATTATATATAAAATTTCTTGCACGAATCAAGACGTAAACATCTGAGGGTTTGCATTGTAATGATAAACTTTTTGATTTACTTAGGTTGGCCAGTGTGGTAATTAAAGACGGCTTAGATTTTATGGTGATGGTATCCAGCATTGGCACCGTGTTTTTCTCACGACATCATCAAATATGAGCATTCGTAATAAAGTCACAATTTGAAATCATTTAACAAATGTTACAAAGTGTAAAAATGAGGTAATTTTGGTTTCTTTTGTGTTGTTTATGTGCCTACAATATTTTCGCACCTTTGTGCGCTTTAGCTTCAGCGTCATGACTCTCCATATAGTGTTATTTATTTTCATTTAAAACAAGACATGAGACGTTTAGTTGCTTATTAGTGGTAGATAATCATACTCCTGGAGTAAAATATAAAGTCTGCAACCTGTTTTCAATCAAGATATTTTAATGGTTGAAAATACCCAGTGTGATAATGAAAGGAATGATGCATTGCTAATACTTAAACTTATATATGTCCTCTTTTAAATGATAATAATAATTTTATATGTGCTCATATTAGATAAAATCTAGTTGACAACAAAGCCGTTCTTTATAACCACACTGGCCAACTTAGTAAATCAAAAAGTTCATCATTACAATGCAGACTCTCAGATGTTTACGTCTTTTGTTGATTGTATATCCTTAATTATATACATAAGCAAACCAAAGAATCATGATTTGCGTTTACTTCCTGCTATCAAAATGTTAAGGACAAGGTCAAAACAGACACAATGTAGGAGTGGAGGAGACGCTTTTCCGTATTAAAATGACCGTATTAAAATGTACCTTGGTGTCACCTACCTCCGCTTTTCCGTATTAAAATGTACCTTGGTGTCACCTACCTCCACTTTTTGATTCCCAAATGGTACACTAACCAGAATAGATATCCCTAGAATGTGTTTCCTTCCCTCGTTAAAGAGAGCCTCAAGCATTCAGAAAAGTAAATGGCAAGTTTTGATGTGGGAGAGGGGGCGATAAAAGCATTAAAAATAAAAAACAAATACCACAGACAATCAACGTTCATGCTCATTATGAGAGTAACAGACAAGTTTCATTTTGGGAGAAGGAGTAATAAAAGCACTAACAATCTCGAAAAATGTATTGATAAAGCCTATTTTCTCTCTGTTACATCAAACATGATTTTTTAAAGATTTTCTGTAAGAGTACAGTGATGTTTCTTTAATCAACACTTACAAATATTGAATTTTTCCCTCAATTTTCTTNATTTTTTTTTTTAATTAAACCAGGTTCAAGCCTAATTAATGCAATTTATTTCCAGTGGTGACCACATTTACATGACTGTTATTAATTTTTATTTTCTGGCATCTTTTATATATATTTATGTGTGGGTGTGTCCAAGAACATGCTTTTTCCAGGCCTTATAAACAGATAAGGCATTTACTAACACTACCGGCAGATCTTTAAGCACTAATGCCCATATTCACCACATAACCCACAAATTAACCAGCACTACCAGAGCGGATGAATGTTAGTGCTAGGTGTGTTGGCTAATTCGTGGCTTTTATGGTTAATATGGGCGCTAGTGCTAAAAGATCTGCGGGTGGTGTTAGTAAATACCTAATCTGTTTATAAGGCCTGTTTTCTATGGACACAACAATTTACCAACTTGTTTGAATGAGGACATCCGTAGAATTCTGTATGATACTTCAGAAGCCTTATTACACATTTATTTACATTTATTTTATTACTCATTGTGTACTTCTTTTTTTAAAAAATGTTAAGTCTGTAATGAGACTGATTACCAGGTGCTTGGCTGAATATAGGTCACAAAGGGAGGAGTCATTTGATGATTGAATAAAGATTTTTAATATATCTGTTTACTTTTTGCTGTGCGCATGTTGCTTGCTTGAATTCCTTGACAGATAAAATTATAATTTAAATGTGTCTTCTTTGCAAGTGAGAAAGTAAACCAGTTTGCCTCTATTTTTTTTCCTAATTGCTCACTGTTTTCAGCCACATGATTTCCAATATTGCTTAAGTTAATACTAACAAGCAGATGATTACATACTATTGTGAGCCTAGTAAACCTCCAGATCTTTTTTGACAATCTTTTTGAGATTTTGTCAACAGTATATTGTTTTAAGAGACAATTTAATCAGTCTTGTGTAAATTTTGTGAGTTGCTGCCAGTAATACAAGAAAACTTATTTTGGCAGACAGTGGTCTCCTTTTGAATTTGGCTGCGACATTGATTCTTTCAAACCCAATTTTGTTCTACGAATGATAAAATTAATATTATTGCATGACACGATTCATCGTATTGTATGACACGTGATTTCATGACGGCCCAAATGGCTTTAGAACTTCAGCCAGTGCATTCAGAACAGCCAACTAACAGATCTGCGGATCAACTATGAAGACCCACTAAAAAGCCTGTCCCTCAATTCACAATTAAACACTGAATAGATTCTTTGGGCGATTACGCAACAAGCACTCAGTGGGTCGGCCATATTTGATCCCCGGATCCGTTAGTCTGTTGTTATGAATGCACTCGGCAACACAGTATCATGTCTGGGCTAACACTTTCGTTGCATCTTTTCCAGCGAACGTTACCCCTCCTCAGTTATGTACGGGATTTTGTCCCTCTGAGATGATTTTCCAGCCTGTGCATCGGCCGGTTGCCCAGCAACAGAATCGCAGACATCATGAGGAAAAGGTGAGGTGGATCAATTTTTTCTTCATCTTTGCTGAAACTTCAATTATATCCTTTAACTTGAAAACAATTTGCCATACATGATTATCATTCACAGATTCATATTTAATTGTCAGGATTTTCATCTTTTTTTTTCAATCGCAGACTTCATTGGGCAATGGCATTGAGTTTCAGGCCTCCACATCGAATAGTTTCAGCCCAGACACATCTAGTTCTGGGTTCCTGACTCTTCCAAGCCATAGTAAGACATCCAGTAGGGTAAGTATAATAAATGAATAAGTAAATAAATAATAATAATAAATAATAATAATAATAATTGTTGTTTAGCTAAAATATTAAAAAATTTATTTAGCAGGCTATTAAATTTTTTGTGATATACAACTTGTTTAGCAAGTGAGCTTATGATTTTGGACCAAAAGTTGACTTTGGACATCTTTTTTGAGATGGGTCTCAGCAGCCTTTTCTCAATAATGTAATGGACTGTACGGTGGGGGAATCCGATTTACTGCCCATCTCGAGAATATCTTTTTCAGTGGCTGATAAGATTAAGTCTAACATATTAGGTCTAACCAGCTTGATTGCAATTGTGATTTTAATTCTGTTGAATCATTGTACTTAATCGGAATTCAAACTTCCAAACTCTCCAACCTTTAGTTACATGCACGTCAGTGGTAAAATTAGTATCATTTTCAGTATCGATTTGGTATAGCCAATGTACCAATTTCAATATTTTCAGTATCCATTTGGTATAGCCAATGTACCAATTTCAATATTTTCAGTATCCATTCGGTATAGCCAATGTACCAAAGTTGGGTAATAAGGTGCTTAAAGGGTCTTCTAAGGGAACAGAAAGTACCAGCGTGTCCACGGACTTCTTACTAGAGAGTGACGGAAGTACTCCGATGTCAGAGTCTGCCCAGACAAAGGTTGGTGGACATTTTGGTGTGAATGAATCTGTGGCACCACTGAGTGAGGAATAGCATGAAGGAGTGTGGTACCTTTGGCTGAGTGAGGAATGGCAGGAATGAGTGTGGTACCTTTTGGCTGAGTGTTTTATAGAGATATTGGCAGCTAAATAGCCGGGCTATTACATGAGATGGTCCCCTACCTGTAACTCAAATAATCAGCTTCAAATGAACTTTTAGAGAGATTGTGAATGGGAGAAAAACCCTCCAACATGGCATAGTGACATGACATCACCTGATTAGGTCGCCAATTTTGCTAACAGCTTTTATTTTCTTCATTTCCGCTTCAATTTATTATATGATTGTATCTTTATCATAGGAGTCGTCGGGAGACTCTGGAACAGTGTTAAAACTTGCGGAGGACCCCCCATGGATCTCAGCTGTTCCCTGGAATAAGGACACCATGATGCGTTACCAGTTACAACCCAAAAGGCTCAAGTCTGTGCTTAAATCAGATCGTGTTACCATGGAAACTGTCCTGCAGCCGGAACTGATGACGTCGCAGTTCCACCAGTTACTGGAGGATTTGGAGAACAAAATTGCCGAAGTATGGAATATTTATGCTACAAATTTCTTGCCCCTCATATCTTTAAAAACTAGCAGAGATATGCCCATAGTGTTGCCCCCATACTACAAATGCAACAATGATAACACATTTCAAGGAAAAACAATAGGTCTATTGTCTAAAAAATCACAGGAGTCGCTATTTCTGAAGAAAGAGAGAGAGGGGGGGAGGAGGGAGTGGATTTTTTCTATAAAGCAAATTTACTTGATATTGTACGTTTTTCATATTTGTCAGAATAGATTCCATTCACTAATAACAATTCAGAGCAGTTTCTTTGATTATGCTTGTAATATTGTTGCTTCCGGGAAATTCCCTTGAAACATTCGTGCTTTCAAGAAATGTCCTCGAACTTGGGCAGCTCACAACAGTTGTTAAATTTTCTATTGCTGCTTTCAGGAACTACCCCCGTCCTCTGCCTCCTCACAGTTGTATAATTGTTCTTTTTTTTCTGCTTACAGGAAATGTCCCTGTCGTCCGACAGCTCTTCTCAGGGAGAGACGAAGGGGCAAGCCAGCAAGCTGTGCTACGTCGACTGTAACAGTGAGACGCACGACCACGGCGTCTCCAACGTGATGCCCGAGACGGAGGCCATGAGCGACAGCACCGACAGCAACAATTCCAAAGGAATGGTCCACGTGCAGAAGCCGCGCAAGAGTTGTTCCCACCGCCGGTCCAACACCGTGCAGACACCGCAGCAGCAGCAGCAGCAACAGCAGCAGCGCCTCGCGGAAACTAAAGAGGCTTTGGAGCAGGACCAAAGGGAGCACGGAGAACAAGGAGAGGATCAGCTGCCCGAGAACGACGAGAAAGATTCGAGCTCAAAAAGTGACGATGGAGAGAAGAGCATGTCGGAAGGATCAAGCATCGATAAAAACTCTTGCGACAAAATGGACGGTGCGCAATCCGAGAATTCGAAGGCGGAGAGCGATAAGGCGGTGTCCAGCGATTTGACGCCCAGCGATGCTCGAAGTAATGAAGAAGAGCAGAACAGCTCTCTGAAGGAATCGGACCATTCCTCCGGCGTTGAAAACACAAACGGCAAAGACCCCACTGAAGCCGTCATGGACGACGTAATGTCCCAGTTGTTTGTTCCCTTAAAAGCTCGCTTCCCGTGCAAGCAAAAGATTGACCCAGTTTCTCCATGGCTCAAAGATTTCCAGTTCACAGAATCCGCAGCCAAGGAGTATCAAATGGACATGAAAACTTTAGAAGAGGTACTGGCGAAGGACAGCTTACAAATGAAGCAGTTTGTTCAGCCCGCTATGATCGGGGCGCAGTTTGCCGAGTTAAGGGTAAGATTAGAACAAGGCAACTCCACCTCTGAATCTCCGAGTGCCGATGCCAGGAAAGAAGAATCCACTGCGGAGAAGAACCCAGGAAGTCCGTTCGGGAACCTGTTCTACCCGATTCTAACCCAGATGGGCAGCGACGGAGACGCCGTGGGCTCGCAGTGCGCCATGTCCGTGGGAAGTGACGGCACGGACGGAAAGGGGACTTAGCGACTTGTGTGGTCGCAAAAATTAAAAATAAGAAAGAAAGAAAACTAAAGTGAAATTAGGAATACTCTGTAAAAATGGTCATTTGTAAATGAACGGGCTGGCATGCATTTAAATGACGAGACGGCAAAAAAGAAAGAATTTTGAAAGCAGTGTTTTGCATGCAAGTGTACGTGGAAAAGAAGAAGGAAAGTTAATATTTTTCGGCCTGATAATTTGACATTTAACGTAACGTTTCTCTCGAAACCTCTTTTTGTATGCTTGCCAAGAATGGACGACAAAAATAAATGACCAAGATAAAGGTAATTGCTAAACTTCTGGGTCCATTAAAAATTTTGTGTCCAGTTGATATGTATTTTTTTCGTAATTTATAAAAAGTTGGTATACTGTAAGTATGTCGCTGGGAAAACGTTATTTAAAAAAAGCCATGAGAATGAAAAAACGTTGTGGAGGTAGCCCAGCTTGTTGGTTTGTACCTATACTTTCTCTCTGGTAGAGATTGTACCTTCTCTCTTCTCGGGTAGAGGTCTGCACTTTCTCATAACGAGAAGTAAAACTGTTTCATATTTACGAAAGGACAATATGGGTAACTTGAGTACTAGAAAGCATGGTGCTGACCAGAATGTTGATAGGTAAACGAGTGAAAGAAAAAAATAACAACCCAGGCATATTAAATATAGACCATTTGTGATCGATTTTGTAATATGTATTATTTAATAAGTAAAATGTAACACGGTATAGTTATGATATAGTGGTCTTTTTTTCCATCCAAAAATTAGACGGACATCTTCAGCGATCGCTGGCCGCAGTGTTTTAACAATGACAGGACAATAGATGGCGTTGTGGTCAGTTGGAGGTTATATACGGACTTCTACTCCCTCCTCCCCCCCCCCCCAAATTATTGTTTTTCCATCGTTTTCAGGATGGACAATGACGTCATTCTAAATTTTGTATGGAAAAATTGAACAGTTTATGCAATTTTGATTTTACGTTCAGAGGAACTTATTCCGAAAATCGCATAGCTTGTTTCTAAGTCGTTTAAAATTTTATGAACTCTATAAATAAAATTCCTTATTGTTCCTTGGTCGTTTTATATTTTATGAATGTTTAAATAAACCCCCAAAAGCTTACAACTTTGTCTGAGTTTTTCAAGGTAAAAAGAATACTGAGAAGTAAAAAGCTTTTAGCCTGTTGATATTTACACCCATGAAACGAGGCCGACGGTCTATAGCAATCTGTAAAACGCAGTTAAAGCCTAGATTACATTTGAAGTGCAATGCCCGCACGGTGTACGTATACTGCCTGTATTATAAATTCCCTTTTCGTACGGCGTCTGAGCGGAGGTAGACGATAGCCGTACGTTTTTCTTTTTTCAAAATCGTAAGTAGCTATGGCGAATACGTTTATATAACGCGCGAGAGCCGTGCCATTTCTCCAACATTATTACCTCGAGGTCACGTGGGGAAGATCGTATTTCAATTGAAAAATGATCGTCCGGAGCCCTTTCAATCTCGGTGCAGTTGCCGCACATCTTTTATCCGGCTTCTTGAAGTCGTTGCAGCCCCTTACGTTTTTTTTTTCAACCTTGCGTTCAGATTAAGAAAAACTACAATTTTACATTTATGCAAATGAATTATACAAAAGAAAGGTACAACTCCTTGATTACACTGACATTTAAACATCTAAACTATTTTTGTGCCTCCGAAACCAACAAATAAGGAAGGGAAAGAGACCAATAACCGGTTCAAACATTATCACGATCACCGCAAGTCCACCGAACAATGCCTGTGCAGGAACTGCGCAATGCCATCTGCGGGCTTCCGGCCTGGCTTCAAGGTCATGTGGGATCTGGAGAAATGACACGGCGACCATTTGTAATGTGGACATTAACGCGCGATTAACGATGACAAAAAAAAAAAAAAAAAAAAAAAAAACTCTACGGACAAATCGCATACAATTTCATCGCACGGCGCCCGTGGCAACTTTAGTCGGCTATAATTTTTAACGGACTAACGATTCTTTATCTAAGTCATTTCGCAAAGAAGACCCAAAAGTTCTGCAAATTAGGTTCCCGTAAATGAAATTGCTACAATTATGTGATTGGAAGTTTTAAGTTTCGAACATGACATGGGTCAAATCATATATTAAATGGTGGGAAAACATTGATACATTAGACTATTTATGCATTACACTGAGAAGGATTGGCCGACCCCCCACTCAAGTGAACAAATCGTAAGCATACTTTTACTCTGTTCAGTCCGTCGCCCCCCCCCCCCCCCCATTCTCTCAACACCTCAGCCGAAATGTTAGAATTTTCCGTTATAGTAAAGAGACGATTGTTCTTCTTTTTCCTTACAAAATTGAACTATTTCGGGAACCAATCCTTAGACTGGGTTCCCAGCCCTGGGTCGGTCCATCTGGAACGATCTATCTCCCTGGGGAGTCTCACTAAATACTGTCAACTTAACCGGCTTAAATATCTGTGGGAATGGTCCCTTAGTCTAGTGCTTTACCAGTTCCTCTGTCCCCCATATTAAATCTTTGCTTTTGCCGTATAGCAGGCTAAGCCTCGGTCGATTGCATCCCGACTTGATTCCACAAATGTTACTCCATAAAACAAAATCCAAATACTCTTAAGAATGCTTTAATGTCAAGGCAGCAGTTGATGTAATTTCTTCACAATTAATAAACTTAAAAGTACTACATTCATTTAAATTACAAATAACACCCAGCAACCGTGACTTTCTGTCATCACAAAACGTTACTTTCTGAACGTACAAATGAATAGAATAATAATTTCTTCTCATTAGTAGTCATGCTGTGCCCTTTTTTTATCACTTCGAACATAACCAGAAAAGCGTCATGAATCAAGCACAATTCTTCCAGTAATAGCCATTACAATGGGTGGCGATTTACAAATAACTAGAAAATTAATGGTGTCATTCATTTTTATGTTCTGATACGCCAACCCTACCATTCCAATGTGTGTGGGTGTATTTTTCTAAATATATAAAATCAAACAATTTATTTTTCATTGTAAGGGAAGGAAACGTGTCCTGGTTTAAAGTGTCTATGAAAAACACGCATCAGATGACCTTAAGAAATAATGAAAACCTTAGGGTGAAAACGTCTCCCCACCCCCACCCAACACACACATATGATGTCTTCTAGCAAAAGATTTCGCCAAGCCTTTTTGTGATGAAATTTGGAAGCTGTCCTTTTTTTCTAGAGCATGAAATCCTGTAAAGGGAAAAATCCCCCTTCCTGTATTGAAAACAAAGGAGTCTTGGCAGTGAGCATTGTTCTTCCTCTCATAACACTTCGCATCTCCTTCAAATGCATCTGGCAGTTCACATTTCTGTACAGCATTACAATAAAACTCCCCAACAATTACTTTAATTCAAACTAATTTGCCTAGACATCATTGTGTGCTCTTTGGTGGTTTGATAGAAGTGGAAGCACTTTTCTGAGAGTGGAAAACGTCTGGCGCCGTGTCGTGCAGCGTCTCTTTCTCGTCGTTTTCTTTCCATTTCATCTTCTTGGCGTGATCTTCAATGACCTCCTGTACACGTGCATCAATCATGGCCTCCGTCAGTACGCCTTCTTCTGATGCGTAGGCACTTGCCTGGAAGGGAAACATCCCATATTTGACATATTAGTGGGTATACTCTTTGGGCGTGAATTAATTTGCTGGAGATGTCAACACCTTTCATCTTAACTGACAGGACACGTCACATCCAAAACCGTTGGGGAATTATTGGTTTATAAGAACTACACGAACTTTAAAAGTTGAAAGTTTCTAGTTTATGAGTCGATCCCAAGATTAGATGGAGACTGCTGAATTTCATTTGTGATGGTAAAATGAAGCATTTACGACTAGAAAATGTTTTACAAGAAATTTATTTTTTCAACAGTTATGAAATACTATGGCGATTACTGTAGAATTGCTAAAATTTACTGGAATACTGATTTCATTTGCTATATAAAGGTCTAACGGGTATTGTGCTCTTTACATAGAAATATTTCATCATCATGTGATAGTTTTTTTTTTTTAATCTAGTTTTTACACCCATACTTTGCAATATTATTATTGAGGTTTAAAATTACTAAACTGAGAGAGAGAGAGAGAGAATTTTTACCTGCCAGGCCACTCCCAGTTTACTAATTTCTCTCCCAGATAAGCCATCAGTGATCCTTGCTATTTCAGAACATTTGGCAGTGTAGTCAAACTGGTCCACCTTTAACCTCCTGGAATATATCAGAATAAAAACTGGTCACCATTTGTGAAACTGTGCACAAAAGATATATCAATGACTACCAATGTTGGTAGCCTAAAATTATGAAAAGGGTGTTATTCTGTTGGTTCATAATTTTTTCTTGTTTTAAAGGTAATTGCAAAAATGATAAGAGGGGACAAGGGGCAAATACCCCACTTTGAGTTACATATATGTCTAGTCTTTGCAACTAAACCTGACCAAGTTCCATCATTTAGTTTAAAATAGCAGAACTTAATTAAAGAAATACAAAAGAGAAACATCTCACTTCCTGAAAAAAGATGTTTGATATTTTATATTTTCTGTCCTTTTCTTTTATATTATACCAGGAACTAGTATAGGTGGTTTATACATGCCCTATAGGGAATTTCCACTAGGTTCATATGTAACTTTAATCACTTTTCACGTTAACTGGTCTTCTACTCACTTCTTTCCTTCTGATGCTGGTTTCAGCACAAACTTGTCAAAGTAATGCCGCACCATGCGTTCTCTCTCCTCCAGCGTGGGCAGGTCAAAGTTCACCATTTCGTCAATACGGTCATTTATTGCCCAATCAAACTGTTCTGGCTGGTTGCTGGCAAGTACTAACATGAATCTGAAAGGCACGAAGGCAACTTAAATTCGAAAAGAAGTACTACACAGGCATGAAAAGCTTGAAGTGATTTTTGGTAGAAAAGTAGGTCACCATCACACACAACCTTGTTTCAAATTAAAAATAAAATATAAAAAGTGAAAAAAAGCACCAAAATCTACCATGGCCTGTCTGAACCACACTGAGTAAATACATACTTTAAGAAAACTATTAGTTCACAAGAGTTATACCATAGTGTTAATGGGACAATTGCAGATATTAACTGAATAACACCAGAGTGGTGAAAAATAACATAAAAAATTGAGCTCTTCAGCAAACAGATGAATTGAGCGATCAACTTGTAAATAACTACACTTGGTCCATTAATCTAGGAAATTATTTTAAAATTTAGTTAAAGTCATAATAATTCTTCGTTTTGGCCAAAAATTGGATTTTCCCGGAAAAAACGGCAATTTTCCCGTACTAACCAATGGTCAACGACCCCATTCCTGCATTCAAAGTTAATCCAGGGTTTTTTTCCTAAACGTACGGTTTTTTGTTAAAATCTCTTAAGAGATTTTAACTGACGGAGCTCTCTCTGACATCGCATAGTCACTGTTGACCTACTTAAAACCGCGGGAAAAGCAGACAACAACAACACTATATAAGATTCATTAGATATATTCGTCTTTTTGTTAAAAATACATTAATATTCACAATGTGTGCCATTCTGGGCTTTTCGTTATCCGACGCACTGTACAAAAACTCGCAACTTACGTCTGCGTCTGCATTAATGCGTTTGGCGCCATATGTTATTTTGGTCTCGAATGAACGCGAGAATCCGCGTGACACCATTACGTCATTAGCAACGAATGCCTTGATGACCGGGAAGAAAAGGCATCGAAAGCCCTATTGACAAGCACAGATTTTAGTATTACTACAATAACGGCCGTTTTAGTGGTAAAATACAATTGTCAATAGAATATATTTCCATGCGTTGTTTACAATGTATTTCATGCGGAATTTTGAATCTCAAAGGAAGAGTTATTATTGCTTTAACTACAGGCAGTGGTCTTTTTTTCACCATTCTGTATATCAGTATTTAGTCAGCTTAGCCCTGACACACATAAACAGAAAATAGCACAAGGTATGCCTCTAAAAACCTTGATTTTGGGGAAAAAAAGTTCTGTTGAAACTCTTACTTGTGAGACTGTTCACCAGTCCTGTAGAGAAAAGCGTTCAGCGTGGCCCGAAGATCTTCGCTGATTTTCTCCTGGAATATCAATAGTATCACTCATTAAAATTAATAGAATCATCATTCTAAATTATCCCAATGGCATCTCTATTTCAACTCTTTGTGTTAATTTTCTTTTTTTGTGCAAATGAAGTACTGTAACGAGAGAGAGAGAGAGAGAGAGAGAGTGAGAGAGGTGTAGGGAGAGGAGGGGAGGATGCAGGAGCCAGTGCATATATTTGATATCTACCTGACTCCTTTTCCGTAGGAATGCATCTGCCTCGTCAACAAACAGGAGAAGTCTGAAAAACAGAAGAAACTTTATATTTGAAAAATTGTGATAACTTAATTAGTTGCCTGGAATAATACTCAGTTACAAAAGAAGTATGGTAAAAACTTGAAATTTCAGTCGATCTTGAAAATTTTGTCAGATGATGATTCTCCACCAATGTAAATTTTTTTCATCTTGAAAATTTCATCAAACTTGACAATGGACCTCTCGCTAATTTTGAAAAGTTTGTTACCTAATATGGCCAACAGATTCATGCATTTAAAGATATAAATTAATTTTGAAGTGAGGAAAATTTTACTGTAAAAGGTCAACATCTGATATATCAAACAACTTACATATTCATTTTGGAATGAAATTCCAAATAAATGCGACTTATAAAACCACTCCTCAACAAATACTATAAACACCTTCGTAGCCCAGATTAAAAAAAGAGCTAATATTAAGCACATTTTCCAAGTAAACACAATATTAGTGATCACTGCAAATTATTATCAGGCCTCAAACATGGAAAATCTAAACTCTACAAGCCCTGTAGGTGTTAAGACAGAGTTCTCACCTTGACAAGATGACAACCTTTGTTCACAGGTAGATAGCTCTTCAACAATGTCATTACATATTATTCATGGACTTAAGCCCTGTAGAACTTTTTTTTTGGTCTTTTTGGTCTCTCAGATTCATTATTCTAGAACTTTCCAGCAACCAGGCTTAGCAATTTGATTGGGTAATTGACGAAATGGTGAACTTTGACCTGCCTTCACTGGAGGAGAGAGAAAGCTAATGTGGCATTTTTTTTTTTACATAAAATATTATTTTCAGTGTTTTCTGAATTGATTTGTGAAGAGGGCTGCTTTAATTTCTCAAGGATACCAGGCTATAAACCCATCATTTACAGTTTCCTTGATTTTAGTCAGAATACTCACCCTCTCCTGCTTGTTTGTGCCCAGTCGAAAACCTTGTGCATGGCGGTGACTCCCTCCCGCCCCATGGGGGCTACATCGCCGCCTGTCATGATGGCGTAGTCCATTCCTGAGTGAGAGGCCAAGCTCTGAAATGTGAGAAGTGAATCAGAATTTATTTGTTCATTTTTTAACTTATAATATTTAGAATACACTTCTCCACCTTTTTATAACATTTTGAAAATGTTTAATTTGGAATAAATAAATAAATAAATGAATGAATGAATGAAAATAAATAAATAAATAAATAAATAAATAAATATTGCTCTTACCTTTGCAAACATTGTTTTACCAGTTCCTGGAGGACCATAGAAAAGAATGTTTCTGTAGTAACCCTTGTTCTTTTTCGTGTGTTTTGTAGCAATAGCTATCTGTCTAAGTTTCTCTTCTAAATCAGGCTGAAAAGAGATTGAAGTAGTAAAAAAGAGAATTTATGGTTTTGCTTAAGATAAAAAAACTTGTTGTAAGTTGACACTAAAAAATGAAACAGACTGAGCTTTTATCAAATACAAGTAAATGACATAAAAACCAACTCACCTTTAGTATAATCCCTTGCACTGCATCTTGGGGCTTGGCAAACAGCCGTTTTGTTGTCTGTAAAATTACAATCAAAAATGAAATTGTGCACAGTGAACTTTTGGAAATGCATTTTAAAAGTTAGCCTATGACATATCTTGAACTCATAAAAAAGGTAATAATTTGAAAATAGATAGCAATAAACAAACCATTGAAGAAGAAATGACTTTTTATCAGTGAAAGACTAAATAAACTACTCACTGTTATGGGATGCTTCAATGTTTCAAACACGGACAGTCTTGATGTGTCTCTGACTAGAGAAGGTTTGCCGAGCCGAGCCTCTATAAACCTCGCCCCAACCCCTGTACCATACTTAGCAGTGTACACTCCCACTGCTAGCAATGTCAAACCAGCCGCCTGGGGAAATATAGAGTAAAGGTCTCAACGCACCATTAATTATAAATATTGTTATGATTCAAATTAACTATCTAAAAAGCATCATATCCCTAAAAAACAATAAATAAATTAAAAAAAAAAAGAATATTTTAAAAATTGGCATACATCTCCCACGCAAGGGATCTCTCGTGTGCATCTGCAACATCTTTTCTCTTTGACATTGTGGTTTTAACTTTACTTACTGTAGCTGATACTTTGTCCCAGTCTGATATAAAGGCTTGAAACCCTGACCCTAGGACTGAACCAGCAGTTCTGAAAGTGAGGAATCAGACATTTTCTATGAATTAAACATCTCTTATTGCTTGGTGTAGGCCCTTATTTAAATACATATATAAAAAAATATACTTCAGTTTGAAGTTCATGGCATTTATTTGTTAAGTTCTTGTTCGTTTTTTCAAAAAGCAACATAACTTCATTATCAAACTTCCTTACTTTATAGATTCTAAAACTGTCGTCCTTAATTCTGCCGCTTTAAGTTTTTCCTTTTCCATTATAATGTCTTTGTTTTCTCGGTCCACTTTGGCTCTTCCTCGTAATTCTGCCTCAAGTTTCATCATCTCGTACTTGTGCCGTAGTTCTGCCTCGTGCTCTATTGTGGCTAGAAATTAAAGTATTATCAATTATTTCACCCTGTCAGCTGTTTCAAGTTTGGATTCTGATCAATGATAATATTGTTCATTAGCAATTTTTTGTATTGATACTTTAAATATACTTTTGAATGATGCGTTAATTTTAAGAACACCTGAAAGAAATAAATTTCTTATTAGTAATACATAAAATAAATATCAGTAGAATAATTTATTATTTTGATCCAACTTATTAGCATTACAATAAAATGAGAAAAAAAACTTTTCTGTACTTCGTATCATGTTTATGCTCAGCTGTCAAAACAAAAACTGTTTAATAATCTAATATAAAGAAAACTCTAGCCATTACACAAGTAAAAACTTATAAACTTTCCTACTCACATCTCCTCATTGCCTCCTGTTTCTGAACAGACTCTTCTTGTGACCTCAGCTGTTGCTCCTGCATCTTTTGCTACAAAATTGAGAGAAAAAATACAGACTTCTAGCTGACTGAAGGGAACATCTGCCTTCCCCTCCCTCTCTGTCTCTCTTTCACACACACACGCACGCATGCACGCACGCACAATTCACTTAAAATAATTACCACTAAAAGGTTAAATTTTACAAACATTACACATGTACATACAATATATAAATAATAATTATAGACAAAAAATCAATTATAATTACAATATAAATATTAAAATTGATTGTGACATGGTCCTTCCTTCAATATTATCAATATCAGAAGATGAATCTTTTTTAAACAGAAGTAAAAGATTGATTTATTTCAAACTCAAATACTTAGAATACTACACCTGTTGCACGAGCTGATCATCGTAACGTCGACGTGACAAAAGATCTTCATATTCTGCTCGCGCTTTCTGCTGTTTTGCTTGTTCGCCTAGAGTCTTTCTCCTCTCCTCCTCACTGATACGTATCTGGTCTCCTTTCATCTGCTCAATGGCTGCTTCATATTCCTACACAATACAAATTATATTAACTATGTAAACTATAAATGGCAGCGAGGCATTCCTTAGAAATCCAAACTGTAAACTAATAATAATTTAATAATTTATTCAGGTAATATACATATAAGACGATGAATAAGATATTAAGGAAGGTCATATTTTTCATTTGTACTGATGGACCAAGACACACCTTTATCTTTGCCTGGTGTTCTATTTGCAGTGTTTGTTCTTGCATCTTGGTGATTTCCAAAGCTTCCTTGGCATGTTCTAAAATAATGACAAAAAGCTTTATCATGTTATGTAGTAAACGTGTCTAACAATTTTATATGCTCAATTTTTTTTTTTTGCATATATGACGGACTAGTGTGGCATAATTAAGTCCTTTAATGGTGGTTTTAGATTCACTAACCAAAAAGGTAGCAGTTATATAAGTGCTCATTCCTAATATAACTATCATTCTATGTAGACCAATACAACTCTGTGGGAATGGTCGCTGAATGCAATCAGATTAACACCCTTCCCTATTTCCAACATACTTGTATATATTCGCCAGCTTTTTCTGTATACTACTCAACACCAAAAGGTGGTGTGTCAATCTGTTAATCTGATTGCATTCAGCCAGAGTTGGACTGGTCTGCATAGAACAACATTTTCACTGGGAATGGGCCCCTGAGTGTGGCATGTGATTGCATTCAGCCAGAGTTGGACTGGTCTGCATAGAACAACATTCTCACTGGGAATGGGCCCCCGAGTATGTTACTGGAAGAATTTTTCAAATGTACAATGCAAAGCAGATAAACATCATTATCTGGGAAGTCTTCAAGCATGTATGGGGATAATTGATAACATAAAAGTCATGGCAGACACGAGCAATATAACCCAAGTCCAGGTTCTATGTCATTTTATGTTTTATTTTATTGTCCTGAGAATGTAATGACCTTCACACAGCTTCAAGTTCACACGTTGTTAATGAGCCCAGTCCTTTAAAGCCGCTGATTTTTCACATCGAGCATTATAACTATCATCCCATCATTTAATTCCATGAACTCAAAGGTGTGACCACTTCTTTAAAGCACCATTTTGCTCATTTAAGAGTAAAATGACACCTTTGCCAAAGATTGCGTCACTTACATTGAGAGGAGTACGATTTGTCCAAGAAAATATACTTCCCTAGCAACGATACTTAATCAAAACCACAAGGAGCGAGCTGTACCGAAAGCAACACAGCCGGTGAAGCTTTTTACGCCATGAAATAACTTACTTGAAGCTTCTAGTTCTTTTGCGGCTTTCGCTGCTCGCTCCAGAGCCGCCGAATCGAACCTGTATGCTTCCATCTTCTTTTGGTATTCCTTATCCAAATCTCCCTTGTCGCCTCCCCCACCTGGAGGAGGGGGTGGTGCCAGAGGGATCTCAGGAAATCCTGACGGGGTCGACGATTTACCTCCTCCAAATAACCACGACATTTTTGGTTACTTATAGATTAGCTACAAGTTCGCCGTGTGCTATGTAACTCACGTGTAGCAAACAACGGAAGTTACTGTTGCGCATGCGTTTTTGTTGCGGACTGCAAGACAAACCGCAACCAAGTTTATAACGCACTTTCTTGTTCACATTAAGAAATTCTATAGTTGGAGATGTTGGTGATTTTAATATACAGACACTGTGTGTCTGCTCACCGTATTTGTACTCTATGCCAAGCCATGCTTTTTTTTTACTTTAAGCTACTTGAAAGTAATAATAATAACATTTATAGCATAAGCTCGGTTTCTGGAAACTTTTTCACTTCATTTATAGGAACAGTAAAGTTTATCACCATCTAGCCACTTAAGGAGGCTTGCCATTTACTTAAACTGATTGCATTCAGCAAGAGTTTGAACAGAATACCCAGTATGACAGTTTCATAGGAAAAATTAAAATGCGCCAAAAATTAAATATACAAGGCAGTTTTGAATTGATATCAAACTTTTTTTATTACTATCATAATGCACAAAACATACATATTATACTACTCCTGATAGTAAAGATTTTCTAATACAAATTTCAATGTGCAATCTACATTTCAAATGAACAAGAAAGATATAAGCAAAACTCTGAAAGATTATAGCAATTTACAACAATAAAATTGTTAAAAATCTATACATGAAATGGGTCCATGTAACTCCCAAGCTACTTCACTGGTCAGATGATACCATGACAACTGTATCCATGGTAACTTGACCCATGTATATTTCAATAACTGGTGACTATACCACATATTATAATAATTATATCAAAGTGATGACAAAATGATTTTGGTGAATACAATGCTGATATTGTGGATTCCTGTTATAATTATATATAAGACTATAATCAGACAATGAAAATGCTAAAACTCACAATCATGAAGTTAAAATAATGGTTAAATGTTTTGGCAACAAACTGCTCTGTCTCATCTTGGCAAAAGCAACACCTATGGGTAAATAAGCAAATCAACACCCAATGCTCGTACTAGAACTACATTACAAGCAACTCATCCCAAACACTAATCATGATGCATTCCAATCCACCAAAGCTAATGGTCAATAAAATAATGAAAAGGAAGACAACCTTGGGAGCCGATTTTTACAAGAGCTTTTTTCGGTACTTTCTTTCATTTGAAAGTATATGCCACTGTTCACTTCAAACTTAAAAAAAAAGGCAATGGAGTAATGGAATCTACAGTACAAGACCCATATAACCAGTAGTGTCTCTTTGTGTAATCAAATCAGAACCCAAGGATTTTTAAACTTAAAAAAAAAAAAAAAAATCAGCATCATTAACAAATGACATAACAAAGAGAATCATTACACGAAAAGGATAAAAATGAAGTCAAAAAAGTTTCAAGGCCACCATGTTACCTTAGCAGCTTAAAAGGTAGTACAAGGTAAAGCAAAAATTCTAAAAATGGTTCTAACACAACAAATACACACATTAAATCACAACAATATGACAATATGAATTTCATGATTCTGTGGCTAAACTGATGATTTTTTCTTTTTGTCAATTAAACAGCTGTTTCGCAATGATTTTATGTTGATTTTCTGGATTTTATCTCTTCTTAGCAGATGAAAAAGAGAGAACTGAGAGAAACTTAAAGCAAAATAAAGCATCTTATTAACTATAACAAAGGGTAATTAAATTAGCACAAGCATCATTTACATATGGGCATGTTTTCTGAGGTTTTCAATGGATGTTTAAATGGAATATGATTGCTAATGGTTGGTGATTTGCCAAAGGCATTAATACTTAAATCTTTATCAGTTTCCATGGCAACCTTCTGCATTTCAAAACACAAACACTATCTTTTTCAAAAATAGTTGCGACTTCTTTCCAAATTTCAAGTCTCAAATATTTAATGATTATTTTTCCAGAATAAAATAATATCATAATCCCCTTGAAAAGTTTTAAAACTGAATTAAAACTAAACTGCCAGCACTTCATAGTGGGAGATACAAAAATGAATTTTGGATCCTTTTTAGAGAAGTCTGTGAAACATTCTTGGCAAAGTTTTGCCATCCTCGAATTTTCAATAAAATCTTCACCCTATAAGCATATAAAATTAGATGTACACAAAAAAGGATAATATCAATAAAATCCCTATAAAATTCTTCAAATAATTTGTACAAAAATACTATCATGATGAAGCATCTACAATGGCATCTTAACCTCAAAAATTTACAGCGTGCTGACTCAAGCAAAAACATGAAAAAAAAAAAATTCTACTTTAAAATTTCACTGTACATCATTCCTTTCCCCTTTTATCAAAATTGTTAAAAAAAAAAAAAAAAAAAAAAATTAAGGGACAAAAATCAAGCCACAGCTTCAACTCTTCAGTCACTATTGCCTTACAATAAATCTGTGATTCAACGACTGAAAATGCTGCCAAAATGTTGAACTTCCGCCTCTACAGCAACCTAGAAAAGTTGTTTAAAACATGGTTGTATACACGTTGCCATAGCATCCGTTGTCATGGAGACAGGCATTTTAACTAGGAGGCATCTGCTGTGGCACCCTCTTCCATTTTTTCATCGCCTTTCTTTTCCGTTTCCTCAACGGGAGCAGGGTTCTTTTTGGGCCTACCACGGCCTTTTCCTGGTGTTTTGGCAGCCTAGGAGAAGAAAATTTGAGATTATTTATTCCTAATCACTTGCAGATTTTCAAATTCAAAATTTCAAAAAGCCAAGAACCAATTATTTGTGTTGCATGTTCCCATTATGTCCAGTTTGAGGAAGAGTCTGCTTCATGCATTAACCCATGATAATGAGATTTAACAATTTTTATTTTTTTTGCTTCACCAAATAAAATGGCTCTCGGCTCGAGGTTATTAAATCAAAAACTAAAAGAACAGACTTCATTAAAACCCAAAATTTCTTCTAAATTTTGGAAGTCTGTCGGTGTAAACGAAAGCATTCACTCTGTCCTGTGAGTAGTCATCTAGATTTAGGGTGTATTCCCAGAGCTTTTAGATCGATCTATCCCCGCGGGGAGTCTCACTACTGTCAGATAATCCGGCTTAAATGTCTGTCCCGCCTACTACAAGCTGTAAGGGTGTAATTAACTTTTGTGCCCGCTTGGCTGACAGCTATTTAGTGCGTACCCCAAGTGAGTTAGGTCGATCTAAAGTAGATCGATCTAATCTCTGGGAATGGGGTCCTTGTGTCTATTAAGCTATATGACTTGTTTTCAGGTATCCCAGTATGAATCTGCACTTTCACATTACAACTGAGACATAGCAAGCAAACAGTGTACAAGTTTTTTTCCGTTAGCTGAAATCAAAGACTGTTGGTCTTTGCAAAGTGCTAAGATAACTTATTTGAATTTTAATATTAAAATAAATCAAAATATTTAAAAATAGGTCTAATAATGTTGATTTCTTTTTCCTAATTCTGGCTTTAACCTTAATAAGGGCACCTAAAATAGGAATAAAAATTACAAAGGTGCCTTACCCCAGCTGGTTTGCCTGCCCCTCGGCCTTTCTTGGCAGGGGGTGGAGGAGGGGGTGCTCTGCCACTCCTGGAAGAGCGGGTCACACGCCCTGTGGAGGTATCTGTGAATCCCTCTGCCTTAAGGAGCTCTTTAGCTGGAAGAAAAAAAGATTCTTGTTATACAGTTTCTGACCCGAGGTGGGTCAGATTTCTGGACGGCCCAAAACAGATCTAAAAGATCTGGGTAAGTCTTGTACATATTTATTTTCATGCTTATGAAAAAAAAAAAAAAAAAAAAAAAAACCCCAGGAGGGATCATCATATCAAGCCTTGAAAATCCACAATGTGTCTGTACATAAAATCCAATTAAAAACTGAGAAATGGGATATTTCACATTTAAGATGATGATTAGCAAGTGTACTGGAATTCCTCCTAGAAGCAAATTTTGTGTTAATCCCTTAAGCCTAGAGCTTGTTGTAAATCAAGTGCACATTCCAAGTTTTGAGAGCGCATTCAGAACAGCGGACTAATAGATCATTCCCACAGATATTTAGATAGATCCATCCCCCTGGGGAGTCTCACTAGATTGTTGTCAGCTTAACTGGCTTAAATGTATGTCCCACCTACTAAAAGCTATAAGGGGGACAATTTTTCGCGCTCGGCTCCCGGAAGCTGTCAGCAATTTAGCGGGAACCCCCAGGGAGTTAGGTCGATCCAGATGGATCGATCTAAATCTGTGGAAACCCAGTCTAATAGATCCGGAGATCAAATATGGCAACACACTAAAAAGCTTGCTGCTTCATTCCTGATAAGACACTGAAAAGATTCTCCACAGGGATTACGCAACAAGCATTCAAGTGGTTGGGCCATATTTAATCGGCAGATAGGGAAGTCTGTTGTTTTGAATGCACTCTTTAGCGCTAATGACGCACAAAACGTACATTCTTCTTGATGCAATATGACATCAATTCGCTGCATCATTTGTAATAATTTGTAATAACGCAAATATACTTTTGAACTCAGCTCACCCTGCTTTTCCAAGAACTGGAAAGAGATGAATTAGAAATCTTTTTTTAAATATGCTTCACTGAGGGCTTAATTCTCACCTTCAGCCATCACCTTATCAATGGTGCTACTGCGTTTGGTGGTTGGCCTGCTGTCTCTTTTGGCCTTTGTCTCCGTTCTAGTATCACCAAGCTTTTCTCCTCCCAGTAGGGCCTTGCCCTCCTGTAAATAAATAAATAAACATTATATATATATATATATATATATATATATATATATATATATATATATATATATATATATATATATATATATATATGCAAAAAAAAAATCAAAATAATCCTAAAATTTTGCTTCATGGCATCTTTTTGAAAGGGAAAGGAGGGCAAGAGCGTTTAGGACAGGTAAGAGGAATGAAAAAAAAATGGAAGAACCAGAAGAAGAAGAAGAAACTCTGGAGGAAGGGGTGGCAAATATACAACACATGAAGAGACACCTTAGCTGTCTCCGCCATGGTGGTTTCCTTCTGCATGCGTGGTTTCTTAGCTGGGGGCTCAGCTTGGATTTCTTCAATTTTCTTCTGCTGTCCCCTGGTTTGTGCATCTTCGTCTGGTTTGCCAACAGAAGCCAAGATGGCTGCACCCTCCTGGAATGATAACGAAGAATCTGCCCTTTATACTGTGATGATCTCAATCTGATGGACCCAGAGTGTCTCTGATTTTATTGCTACATCTTCAGAAATACTGACCATTGTGGTCGGACTCTGCCAAAAGTGACCACAAGCAACACTTGATTGTTGAAATCCTGAAATTCAACCTCTTACATACTAAATATTTTATATTTCACACTTTATAAATTTCTAGATGCCAACTTTCCAAGTAAAGTATCACCTAATCATTTTTCTTTAATTCTACTTTAAAATTTTTTCTATCAGTGCTTTCTTCTAAATCTGCTGTTTTTAACATATTACAATTAAATTTGATTAATAGCCAATAAAAAGATCAGGCAAGAGTTTTCTACAAAAACCAATTTTCTAAGCCTATTAAGCTTCTGTTAAATAACATCGCCTCTGGTGTAAAAACTAGCAGTACTTCTAGTAAATATACCCTCTAATAATAATAATATCAAGCAACCGCCATCTTTCCTATAGAGACATACAGTAAGTGGGGGGGGAATACCTTTACAATTATTTACAAAATCGCTGCTACCAGAACCAAATGGCTAAAACATTATTCTACCTATCTCATCGGTACATTTACACTGAAACTCATTTCCCACAATTTTTCAGTTTATCTAACAGTCATGAAGCTATAAATGCAGTTCATATAACATTAATGTAGTTAGCCATTGAGAAGGGCTACAGACTGGTATCTTAATTTTTTTTTTCGCTTGGGATGCAGTTTAGATTTTATCAACAAAAACTAAATTATCCCTTCCTTCAATAATTCTCTATTTTAGGGGCCATATCTCTTAACAAAATACTAAGTTTAAAATGCTGTAAGTCGTTATTTTCTCAAAAAAAAAAAAAAAAAAAAAAAAGAAGGAATTTTTACTATTGTATTGCAAACAAAAAATTGAAAATTAGCTCGAAACCATATTGTAATCACTTCCTAAATTTCAAACCGGAGAAAGTGGTCATTAAATCCTTGGATGAGACCACTAATTAGGCTTGTTTATATGTCATATGTAACCTGTACAGCTATAAAGATTCTGATGATTGACTGGATAAAAGAAAAAAAAAACATATATAGACTATGTCATTTACAAAAATGAAAATAAAATTATACAAAGATATATTGGTATTCCCCCACCTTGAAGATATCAAAGGCAATATTTCCCCTGCCCAGAGATAGCCATGCACCACAGCATAATAATAATAATAATAATAGTAATAATAGTTATTATAATAATATCTGGCAACTCGACAGTGCTTGGTTTGGCGATAACATTGGACAAATTGTTTAAAGCATTAGTCGATTTCCTTGGCATGCCTCTATCAAGTTATTATATTTGTTGATGTTATCTGAATGACCCAATCTTTCTAATAAGCATTTTTTAAAATTTCTTATCTAGTTATCTAGGACTTTATGACACCTGAAGCACCTTTGGTAGCTCGTCTTTATAGGTAATTCCTATAGCCAACTTTCCCACCCCTTTGATGCTTTTAAAATTTTATTTCCAAAATATAATTAACCTTTTTTTTAAAGAATTAATGCAATCTTATGACACACAACAGTGAAAGTTGTGCACGACTCATAACTGCCCTTAAAACTCAGTGGTCTACTACCCACAAATGGCTGCCATATTAATTTAGAGAATATCATGAATTGTAAAGTGGGATTATTTCAACTTCAGTGTGTTCTTGTTCACAATCAGAATGGAATAAAACCTATTCCAGACACCATAATGATGTAATATTATAAAAATAACATAAATTATCAATAAAACAAAATGAAAATCTAATAAAATATTTATGAAAATTTATACTAAAAATTAATCTAAAATGTGAAAAAAAAATTAACATAAAAAAAATAAATAAATGAGGAAAAAAAATCTCAAACATAGGATCCCCCTCCCTACGATCATTCATGTGACAAAGCACGAACATTTCTGCACCTTCGCTGTTCCTGCTTTTTTCCGGGCAGACGGCCCTCGTTTGGGTGAGGGAGAAGCCTTTGTTGGTGACTTTTGGGACGGAGAAGGAGATTCTTCAACTTGTGTTTTTATTGTCGCATAACGATGATCACCCAAATTCGGCGATACAGGCTCTTCAGGTGCCTGGAACAGGGAAAGGGTACAGCCTTCAGACCCTAACATTTTTTTCTCCTCTTAAATATAGAGGATTCTAGCACAGGCCCTCCCTCCAGCTGTTTTTAGTTTGGTTCAAATTTTGGATTTTTGAACTACACCACAAAGTCTCTCAAATAAAACCTTTTAGAATGTCTGGAAAATTTGCAATAGTTTGGTTTTGTAATGTTTTTTTTTTCATGCCCTACTTTAATCAAAGTAATGCTAAAAAATGCACAATGCATTATGATATTGTTGATACTATTGCATACAGATAGGATTTCTATAGAATACAGCACCATCTGGTGGCTGTGACCCTAACTATTGAGAACTTTTGTATACAAAACACTAGAGCCCTCTATATGCCATAAACCTGACTAAAACATAAAGATACTATACAATAAGCTTAAAAGGTATACAACTACAGCCATATAATTTATATTTTGGCATGCCTAAGAAAGCAAATACAATAATACAAGACAAAATGGCAATGGGTAGATGATTTTTTTTACCCAACACTATATTTTTTCTTTCTGTAAATGATTAAATAAAAAGTAATTTCTGAAAATCTTTTCAATTTTTGAAAATTTGTTCAAACCTTTAAAATTTTTACCAATATACAAGTACAAAATTCACAACATGCTGAGAATGTAATCCAGCCCAAGCTCAGCAGCAAAATGTAGGTATAAATTGTGAGGATTAGTTTACAAGACAACTTTTTGTTATTTTTGGGATCACACATAACCATGTTATTAGAAAAATCATGTTAAGAAACATCAAACTGTGCACTGTCTTATTTTTCCTATTTTTATTTATTAGTCCAAGTCCAACACAAATCCCGGTTCAAACCCCTTCTAGAGACCATGAATAAATAAATAAATATTAAAAAACAAAACAATTGTGCATCAACAAAAACTACAGAAAGCAAAGCAAATGTAATATATCTCCACAGAGACACTCAAACTGAAGTTGTCACATTAAAGATAATCTTTCAGTTATCTTTTTTTGGTGGTTCTAAGTCAATCTTGGGGGGGGGGGGGGGGGAGGTGTGGCTCAGCAATCGGAGAAAAAAGTCACTGACAGTGGCATCAATAAAGTTTTAAATTATGATTTTTTTTTACTGTATATTAATATCAATGTATTTCACTCTGAATTATTTTAAATAAAAAGAAAAAAAGGGTGATTTTTCTTAGGATATACTTTGGAAACAATTTGTGGAATTCTTCCACTTTCCTCTCTTTCTCGGTAAGCTCTTTAATTGCTAAAAACAAATGTTTGACATTCTTTGTCATGAAATTTTACATTTTAACAGATAAAATAAGATGCAAGAGCTTTTTGATTTTCTTTGGGAAATAAAAATGTTTTGTGGAGAAAAAAATAATAATCTGGAATAGGTGTTTCAATTCCAAAACTTACAAGGTCTTTCATCAAAAGTTAAAAGTCCAAATTCTTAACTGTCAAGTTTTATCATAACATATTAAGCCACACTGGTAATGAAGTTACTAAAAATCTGATTTAATTTCATAAAAGTTGGGTCTAATATAATTCTGCGTTAGGAAGACTTTCAAGATGTCCAGATCAGAAATAGTCCACAGTATAACTTCAGGGACTCCTTTCACAAAAGAACTTTAGCCCAAAATACATCTTAACTTTAAGACAAACTTTTCACTTGGCCTAATTCAGTCAGAGATAAAATCAAAGTTATCCATTTAAATTAAATTAAGTATTGGCCTTGTCTTTCCATGATCCCAACATTTCATTTCACTGCCGATTCTTCTTGGGTTAAAGTAGACTAAAATTTAAGTCTGAAAGTTAAGATTAATTTTTGGGCTAAAGTTCTTCTGGGAAATGGGGCACTTGCAAAAGATTTGAGTGTCTCTGTGGATGGCTAGTAGATATATTCACAGCACAGCGTAATCACAACAATAACCTTTCTCTTGGCTCCGACATTCACTGCCATCACGGGAGTGGATTTTTGCTGTGGAGGGCGAACAACAGGGGGCGCTGGTTTTGGGGGTGAGGCAGAAGGGCCGGTTTGCTGCTGAAGGTTGACAACAATGGGAGCAGGGGGCTGTTTTGGTGGAGTAGAACGTGGTGGGGAAGACACAACTATAGGGGGCGCTGTTGGTAGTTTGGTTGGCGTGATTTGAACTGGGGATTTTTTGGGCGAGACGGGTGGTGAGGAAGATGGCGGTTTTGAGATCACAATAGTCTGAGTGATTGGAGGGCGAAGTGGAGGAGTCATGTGACTGGCTGCTGAGGGGAAGGCCGATGTTAACTGGGCCACCGTCACTGGCTTTTGTGCTGGGGGTGGGGTAGTCTGGACAACCGCTTTGGGAGGGGAGATTAAGGGGGGTGTGGCCAAAACCCCGGGGGGAGCAGCCATGGCCATTATCTTTGGCTGTAGTAGAGTGGGGGCGGGAGGAGCTCCAACCTAAAAATAACATAAAAGAAAAATGAAAATAAAAACAAGAAAGAAAATCAGATGTATGTATACCTTACCTCTCAAAACCTTTAAAAAAATATCCAAAATGATGTTCATCATAAAATCTTTTCCTGCTTGTTTCTATTTGAAATCTATAGTTTGATACATTCTGAAAAATCTACCAAACTAATAAGGGTATATAGAACGCTCATAATAAATCCTATAGAGGCAAACCTTGCATGCTCTAGGCAGACACATGCAAGTTCAAATCATCAGAAACCTACAGTATTTCTCAATGGAAGGGACAGAATATTTGACTGACTTTGTCCTATATTAGTTGATTTTTTTATTTATTCAGTTTATTGCTTATGTTGATTAAACCAATATCCTAACTAATAATCCATCTTTACATTCCATGAAAAAGCAAAGAGTATTATATGTAACTTGTCACTCTGCCAATCTACAGTAGCAAAACAATAAGTGAAACAATTACCTCTTTGGATAGATAACTATCAAATTCATTTTTTTTTTTAAATTAAACATAAACACTTAATAAATATAATATATTTGCTGTTTGCCCAATGTCTTAGCTGAAAACATGGGAGTACTCCATTCAATTTCCATAAATCTGTATAGAATTAGCAGCCACAGCTTCTAGTTGTTAACCACAAGTTGCCTGCTTACTACAAATAATCACCATCTGACCTCAGGAGAAAAAATTACTACTAACACTGATGTGTAGAGAGTCTATCTGGCATACTCTGTCATGACACCATCAACACAACCAGGAAACTCTGGATGAGATGGTATTTTTGAAGACTGATGTCTATTTGCTGATACACCTTAAGAGAGGCCCAACTTTTTTCTCTTCCCATTAAAAATAGAAACTTGGAAAATAATATTTTTATGAACACCACCCCCAATATAAATGGTACACCTGTCTTTCAAATTGCACCTTTTCATTTCTCTCCCTCCTTCCCACCCCAAAACCACCACAAAAAATAAATAAATAAATAAATAAATAAATAAATAAATAAATAAATAAATAAATAATCACTTAATTAGTAAATGAGTAAAAAAAAAAGAAATAAAATTCCAAGCTATTCTATTACTCACCCCTTGTAACCAACCCTTTTCAAATACCCCCCCCCCTTTCACTCCACCCCACCCCACCTCACCCCCACATATTAATTTTCAACCCACACCTTGGCAGTCCCTATCATGGTGTTGTCTCGTGGCATCTTGGGTTTGTCATCAGTTGCAGAGGCGGAAGCACTGCCTCCACTATTGTTCAAACCCTGCATGTTCAGCAACGACTCTTTACCCTGGGACTGGAGAAAGCTGATCCCTTCCTATAACAAAAAAGTATTATTCCAGATAAAAATTTCATTTGAAAAAAATCAAGGATCCAGTTTTTAATAAAAGAATATAGGATCATGTTGAGTGCAGCAGCATATACAGTGTTTGTGTCTTGCCAGAGTATGCATGTTGGCAAAATAAGTAAGTCTCAGATGTGTATTCTACCTATTTTAACATGGTACCTGTCCATGTGATATGTAGACCAAATATATTTGAACTAGTCAGTCTGGGCCAAGAAAACCTGCAAGTGTCTTTGCTTCAGTAAATACTTGAACAAACAAAGGTCAGTAGAAGCAAGAGATCGAATGTCTTTCAGGAGGGACAAACATCACAATTATTGACCAGTTGAACTCTTTCTATTATTGTAGACTTGGCTGTCCTGTACGCCACTAAGATGAATTCATTTTCATAAAATTCAACATATTATTGGATGATAATAAATGAAAGAAGTTTATAGCAATTGGCAGATGTATGAAAAACGACTCATTTTTGTTGTAAAATAGATTCTGATTCTCAGTAACAAGATTTTTTAAAAATATTGCATGCAAATTATACAGCAATGTTGTAAGGAGAGATACAAGGATTATAATGACACTCAATATTGAAGATAACTAAGGCATATACAGGTTGGCTTTATAAATGCCAGGTAGGGCTCGAAGAGTAATAAATGCGAAGAAATCCTGATATGGTTTGGAAAGGGTTAATATGACTGAAAATTTAACAAATAAAACTTTTTTATACAAAAGGAAATAAAAATACATAATCTATAGAGTAAAAAGCCGTGGTTATCAAGCACCATTACAAAAAATATCTGAAATGATCTCAGTGAATGGTAAAAAGATCGATAGTTAACTTATCCACTTAGTAATACGGCAACTTGACCTTCTTGAAGTCGCCATCTTGAATCAAATCAACAATTTTCAATCATTTATTATCGATCCACATTTCATAGCTAAGGCCTAAAACCTCACGCTTATGATACTTTATTCAGTCAAGAACCACCAGGACTAAAATTTGACTCTTAAATATCGATATTTTTTGAAAAAATAAAATTTCCGCACAGGCAGGGGTTGGCGAAAACACGTTCAACTTTGTACTACCGGCTTTGGACAAAGATGCGCATTTTTAGAGTCATGTATCTTTTGAGAAAAAACATGGATTTTAACCAACCTTTGCAGTTTGCTGCATGGTATTGTCTCTTGTTAGTTGGGGTGCACCGTCTGCCATGGTGAACCTTTTTTACCGCCTTAATCTGTGAATGTAATGACCCCTCAAAATGCAACTCCGACACGAGGTCCCCTGATCTGGGAGTACGCGAAGCTTGATCATGTGAGCAAATGCTGCAGCCCGATTGGACATTTTGGTCTTGAAAACGAGGCCATCTCAGAGTTCGGCAAAATGACGTCATACGGCGCGTCAATGAACACGTTGCGATTTGTTTTGGTTTGTTTTTGATCTGTGTTTTGCATAAAACAACGATTGAAATATTTTCTTGATAAAAAATCGGTCGTTTCACTGTTTGGCACACATCAAACTTTTGTTTGTTTCGTGTGTCAATGTAATTACAATCAATTTACATTCAAAATAAATGATTTTTATTTTTCATAACATTAATTATTTCTTTAATAAATAATTATAGTGTTTTTAAAAACTATACATTTTTAATATTATTTTAATATGTTGCTTCATACTCGAGTTTGTTTATTTTACTGCATCCTAAATTCTGATTATTCATGACAACTGTAAAATAAACTAACTGTGATTTTTTTGCTTTACATTTCATGTCAGAAGATCATAAGATCATAAATTTATTCAGCCATTAATATATAAATATAAAAATTCATATAGAAATTGGACTGCTATTCAGGTTATAAATTATAAAATTCCATTTTTGTTGTTAAAGGTTCGAAGGTTCAAACAATAAATTTATTCTGAAGCATGCCATTTGATGTATAAAAGGTAAAGGAAGAAAGGGCAGGACCACTCCACTTAATCACATTTAGAGAAATGTATTCCAATAGACTGACTTGTCACTTTCTTGTGCCTCCTTCATTGAAACACAGACATTTTTAGACATGGTTAGTAGGAACAAAGTATTTTACCAAATACAAAACCACAAAAAATTGCTTTTTTATAATTTTTTTTTTGCTTTGATATCAACTTAAAAAAAGATGGGAACCTAACAGTGTGTATTTCTATCTTTTTTTTTTACTAAATAGAATTAAAAATTAAAACTTCACTAAAATATCAAGACGCAAAACATCACTGGACAAATGCACATTCCCAAATTATCCTTTGTTGAGGGGTTATTTTCTTTGAATCCAAACAAACTTTCACAGTTCCATTTCTCAATACATTTTATAATTTCAAAAGGTTTGTGAAAAGTAACATTGTACTCTTTAATACTTTTCTAGCATTAATTAATAAATTATTGATGAAGAAAGTATATTTATGACAATTTCCCCATTTTAAAGTTTGTACTTGTAACTGTTTTTCATCCAGCAATCTGAGATTGATATGCTGTTTAAATCATCATCAGAAACCTAGCAATCTCTTACAACTCTTTTTATAGGGCTAATAAATATTATTGGGCCATCATCAGACCTTCATTGTTTGTCATTTAATGAAACAAAAGTGTCTTTTGAAAATTCAAAAAGTAACAATGTCTTATATAACAATTTTCACAATTCTTGTGTTACTTTCAATTTAATGCTTCACCTGTATCTTTTACCTTTCCTTCAAGACAAATAAATGCAGTGCATTTTTTTACAATTAAATAATTATTGTTTCAATAATATTTATTTATTTATTTTTATGTAGAATTTAGCCATTACATTATTCTTATTTCAGTACATTTATACCAGCCATTTTGCTAGTACCAGCTGGCGCCTAAGCTGCAAAAAAATAAACATTATTTTTGTTTACTTATCTATCTATCTATCTAACTATCTAACTCTCTTGTACACTGTCCCACCCTACCTGTATCAAGAAATCTTTAGGCAAAATAAATTTTTGGTGTACCTTTTTTTATTCCTTTGGAATATGTAGTGTTTTTTTTTTTTTTTTTTTTTTTATTGATATTGTCATAAACAACAAACATTGTTTTTCCATTATTTATTTAACCCTCTTTGTGGAATGTGACTGTCATGCAAGCAAAATAATGGGAACAGCTTCACTAATGTTGAAAAGAAAATACAAATAAATCAATAAATTAATAATATTTGTAAAGGCAATCTATTAAAAGAATTCTCCTAGGGATATACTGTCTAAAATATATTTCAATTTCATTGTGGTAAAGGGAAATTTTTTCCTACTCAAGAATCTTTGCTTGACTTGTCCCTGCATCTGGATAAGATGTCTAATTACATTTTTAATTTCATAAGTTAGTTTACAATGACACACTGGCTGGTCAAATAGAACAACATAACCTTCTGGACCTTCACCTACATGGCTTTGTTTTACACATGGCAATGACATGGTGTTTTGAATGGGGGCCCTGTACCATGTATAATATATACATTGTGATCTGCCATGAAAACTGAGAAGATAGTAACCACACTAGGTATGCTTCAGACAAACTTTTACTTAACATGATTTAATGAGTTTTATTGTTTTTAAGATCTGAATTGTGGAAATAACCTTTAAATTCTGTATAATTGAAAGATATAAACTTGACTACCAGTATTGGGGATTTTCAAACGTGTGGTGAGTTCCTTAAACTAAATACCCGCAAATAATCAAGTAAGAAAATGAATTACACCAATTAACATAAATTGCACAATATTGAGTAAAAAATTCACCATCAAAGCCAGTTCTGAAGCTAGTTTGCTATAACAGCAATTTTATTTTGGACCAACCAGATGCTACAGATTTTTTTCTTGAGGCAAAAAAAAAAAAAAAAAAAAATCTGTTTTCAAAGACAACCAATCAGATGTTGATCTGCACATTTTTTTTTAAATTGGTTAAAACAAAAATATGTAGGCTAGACCCCCAGTATGGAAGAGAAATACATGTAGACCACAGTTAGCTGTAAATCCCAGCAATTCACAACTTTTCATTTGATCTGTAATGGAACACAGTGTTCACAATTTGTTCAACAATGTCAAATCTGATATCATTAAGTCATTTGTGCCACTGTCACTGTTAACTTCTGTATAAAAAGCCCCATTCAACTTACTGAATTGTTTAAGATGATCACACCCTTACGCAACAGTCTATCTTTCCTGTGCCCATGACAACACAAGTACGATAAAGACTTAGCAGCATTAGTTAAAACACAGTCTTCAACTGATGATATTCTGCAAGAGACAATGCAATCAACAGGCTCATCAGTGTGGGAATGCATTTCTAGTTGCAATTTTTCTTTCACCATCTGTGCGCCAATGTGTATACAACACTTGTCAAAAGATGGGTTGGTAAAAAACACTGAAACATTGCTTGATGAGCATACCGTATCCCATAATGCAACATGGTACATATACATTAAAAATTTCCCTGCAGTGTGAAAATTTCGCACTGCATTTCTGTTGTTTTGAGGTCAATTTGATACGCTTGTCCAATAAAACACTATTGTTATCTTTTAGCGCCAAGCTGTGATTTCATGCCCGTTATTTGCGTAACAACGTCCTTATGCATTGGTCCACACTTGGAGAGGACAAAGTTGAGCTCCTCCTCATTTCTCTGTTGAAATGCTATCTCAGCTGCTTCCTTCAACTGACTAAAAAATAAGGCAACAAGACATCATTAATTAAACTAACCTTAAATGGTTGTACTAAAACATCATGAAACTAAGTTTTTTGGGTTCAAGTCAACAATATATTTGGAAACTGTAAAAAAAAAGAAACTTAAAAACATTTGGATGAAAAGCTATATCCACCCCCACCCCCCTCCCCCCCCCCCCCAAAAAAAAAAAAATCTTAACCTAAATATAGGGTGAATTCAATAGTATATAGGTTTTTGTATCTTTAAGGATTCAACATTCATTGCTTCTGCTGTCAGAAAATAAATAATGCTGAGCTTTGAAATTAAAACAAATTAACCTCTGTCTTTGACTAAAAATTTTGATAATAACAACAATGATACTAGGGTACACAATAATTTTTTTCAATTGTAAACTTGTCTATTAAACTTTTTTCAAGAAACTGTTATTTGGATTAATTATGTACTTTTGTTTTACTCCACAAACTTCAGAATTTCACTCTGGGAATGAATCTAATGAAAAGATGTTTTCAGTTTTCAATGTTCTGCTCTCTGAGAGAGAGAGAGAGAGAGAGAGAGAATAAAAGTTGAGAGAGAGAGAGAAAGAGAGAATAAAAGGGGTGAGAGAGAGCGAGAACCTGAGAAAAAGAATCTCCTTTGGCACAAAAACAGAAACTTTGATAACATAAGAAGAAAACATGATAAAAAGATTTATTATATAAAAATGAAGTGGAAAATATTGGAGATTACATGATAATTTTAACCTACCCCACTCGAACATGACACTTGACTTTGTTCTCTGGCGCCACTCTGGTGAGATATTTGGTGGCCTCGAAACGATTGTGATTTTCCATACACACCTCTATGAATGGCTGCAATTAATTTCACAATTTCACTAAAACTATCTCTATAACTCTTACATATATATCAGGATAGCAGCAACTGCTTTTTGTAATTAAAAACAAAACTTTTTTCCTTAACAAATGTGAAAATTTTAAGGAAGCAAATCTTTCTTTTTAAAATATTTTACTTTACCCGAAATATATCCCTACCTGTTCATTAATTTAAAGGGATAACAACTGTTCTTTTTGGAAAAAAAAAGAATGGATGTCGTGGGTTAAACAACAATTTCCCCATACTTACCAATGATTAAAGAATTCCACCCTGAACTTCAGAGATAACTTGAAACTTAGTGTAGAGGTACATGTAAGTTTTAACTTATCTCTGAAGCTCAGGGTGAGGAATCCACTCCTCAATGCAGATTTCAGAATAATTGTGATAAATACTGTTTTGGTGGTAAAATTTAATTAACAATATTTTCTATGTGTTGTATACAAAGTAATTATTGTGAAATATGAATCTCAAACGAAGAGTTGTTATCCCTTTAAAGTCAACTCTTTACAATTCAAAGGAAACTGTTACTGCATTCTGTCTGTATAAAAGTTAAAATAGTATGGCTGATATTCATGTAAAACTCATGTTAAATATCATTTTTCTATGTAAAAAATCATTCAATTTGTTTCTTCATAACTTAAAACATTTTATTTTTACCTCATAACCAATAGGTGACTTCTTAGTTTTGCTAAACCTATCGAGTTCCATCCAATCCCCTGCCTCCGCCAGTGCCCGGATCTTTAACCACCAGAATCTGAAGTTTAAATAATAATAATAATAATAATAATAATAATAATAATAATAATAAGCACTGGTGGTATAAATAAATAGAGGAGTTACATTTGTACATTTATATTACATGAATTTCTTGGGTGACAGGTGTTTACAGTTAACGTAATAAAAAATGACATTATCAGCTGTCATAACAATAACAGATATACTGTTAATTTCAGAAAATTAAGCACCTGCCACGAAGAAAAGTTAAGCATACATGGCCAGGTGTAAGTTGGAGCTTTAGTCTCCACTGAATACCTTGGGCTCTAGTACGTCTTTTCAAACTTTTGGGGTAGGAATCTGTATGCAATTTTACAAATAATAAAAAAAAAAACCCAAACTTTTAGCCTTTCAGTAACATAATATTAAGATGTTAATTCTTTGACACTAAATCCGACCAAATGCCACCATTTAGTTTCAAATAGCACAACTTTAAAAAATGCCAAAAGGATATCATCTTATATTTACCCTAAAAACAGTATGTGAACAGATATTTTCTCCTTTTTTTCTGTATTATACATGTGCAGTTAAGTGTCATACTTTAAAGAACTGGAGAGATAGATAAATGGGCAATATGAAGCAGGTGCAGTTTAAGAACTTTTTTTCCAACTGATCACGTGTTTAATTTGGTTTATCCTTTGACATGTTGACTTTATTCAAGTCATATGAGACTAGTAGAAGTGGTATTTATGTGTCACAGGGAACCTACGCTTGCTTCATATGTAACATTAAGGCAAAAATTTAGTAATAATAATAATAATTTTTATTGGAAAATCGCAACCCGAAGGTTGAAGTTATACAAACATGTAATTTATTTATTTATTTAAATGAATTTTTTTTTTTATTCAAGTCAGAGAAGCCTGGTCATTTTCTTTCACTGGTGCACTCTGTAGACACTCTCACCTCCCTGGGGAGGATACAGCTCGGCTGCCATATTAGGCGCTCAGAGCTAACATATCATTTCTGCACTGCCTGACCAGGCCCCTGCTTCAACCCCTTAGTGCTGAGTGCCTAGCGGAGAGACAGCAGGTACCGTTTATAAAGGACTGGTAAGTCCCCGAAAGGGTTATGAACCCACGTCCTCCCGCTCCGGAGGCGGACATTCTTACCACAAAGCCATCCGGTCGGTAGTAAACTAATAATGGTTACTATAGGCTCATTCCCATTGAAACTATGGGTCCAACTCCCTGGGGACTCTCGCTGAATGCAATCAGCTTAACAGATTTAAACACCTCTTCTTTCCACTCATATAATCACAAGCTTTTCTATATCCCACTCAATGTCAGGAGAAGGCATGTAAATCTGTTAAACTGATTGCATTCAGCAAGAGCCCCCAGGTACGAAGACCAAGAGTTTCCATAGGAATGAGCCCTATAACTCTAAACCTGTTTTCATTTTTATTGAGGCACTAAGTTTCTTGGACAATTCAGACATATGATAAAAGGCTATCTGGGGGGACAAGTTTGCCATTTAGTGAAAGAGTTCCAAAATATGGAGATGAGTTCAGAAGGCCACCCAGGCCAATGATACTTTGGCTCCAAAAATGTTGGAAATCTCCTGACAGTCGAAAAAATCTCACCCTGTGTCTGGGGAAGGGTCAAACTATCATGCCTTGTTAAGAAACTCATTTTTTTAAATAAAACTTTTTACAGGCTGGCAACTAGGTGAAAAGATATAACTCACTGATACACATTTGACATTTACAATAAAAGATAAATAGATTTTTAAAATGTATACCGTTTCTCTTAATCACATAGATTCACAATTGAATCAGTAAACTGCAAAAAAAAATAATAAATAAATAAATAAATAAATAAATAAATAAAAAATAAAAAAAAAATCTCAAGGTTATTTGATTAAAATTTTGTAAGTGAAATATGTATAAAATTTTTTAACAGTTTATAAAAAATTACAATAAGAAAAGGATTAAGTACATATTTTATGAATTTTAAACTTTAAATTAAAAAATTAACACAATCAGTAGGATTATATTATCCTGAAATAAGATATTATCGATGAAACTTATTCAAAAACATTTTCATATGCATAGTAGATACTTTGAAATAAAAATTAAGGGAGAGGACTGAAATTCTATTGTTTTTCTTTTATTTTTCCTGTCATTTATGCCTTACATAGTATGTAAATCAACAAGTGGCCCCTTGTTGCCTAACATTTCCAAATCTCATCTCACAGTTAGGCAACATTGCTCTGCGATTGCAACCATCACAGCTGTAGCAACCCATTGAACGGCATACAGCATTGGGTGAGAGGCACAACTGTAACAATCACAACTACACCATCTCTTGGAAATGTTAGCAAGGGGTTAATTTCGATGTTTTTAACACATATCACACCTGTTCATATAGAGAGGCTTTTGAATTAATCATAATATTCCAAAGTGAAAGACATAAGGTAACAAAGAGATTAAGAGATTTTTTAGACTACACAGCAAGACAAAAATACCATACTGGACAATGAATTATTAATGGCAGCAATATGAATGTGGGCTAGAATATTCACACATTAATATTTCAATTGCAAGAAAAATTCAGACAACTGTATTATTTTGTCCTTTTTCTTTTAAACATCCAACAAATCTTAGAATTTGGGTTCTTGCTTTAAAGTTAGTTGAATTATTCATAGATTTAATATAGTCAAAGTTAGGATACAGTAATATTAAAGTGGCTTCAGGGTGGCAAATGTGGTGAAATGCTGGTTATTTTACGAAAATTAGTGGGTTTTAACTCAAAATTATTTTACCCTTTTTTGAACATGACAGCGAATGAAACCAGATTTTCATACTTTCTTTTTTCATATTAAGTTTTTTCTCTTCTTTTCAAGGAATGAAAACACTTTTACTTTCTACTTGATGCTTTTTAAACTTCTTTTTCTTTCAAATAAGAAAATGAAAATTATAATTTTTCTTTTTTTCTTTTAGTGTGTATCCTCCTTTGTCTCTCAAAACTACTTACCTCCTATCTGGAACCTTAAATTCCTTCTTCAGTGTCTCGGCTAACTTGTGGTTGTTCTCCTTCACCAACTGGTACATAGTGCGATGTAGGGACAAGTTCAGATACGGTTTGTTCAGCTCCTCCTCCATCTTACGCTGGTATTTTAGAAGTTTTACTTGTTCCTCTGTCACCTGGTACAACACGTATTAATGTATATATTTTAATCGCTATTTAAAGGATGATCTCATATATAACAAACTCTTGGACATCAAACTGGTATGCTGGGAAGCTTTCTGTATTTGAGGAATGCTTATGTTGCCAAATAAAGAGTATTAAAAGCTTTCACTTTCTGAGGGCTGAAAGGGTGATTTTTTCTCTTCTATTTATTCACTTATTTATATACAAATTTATTCAGTCATTTCTCTATGGTCCATATAATTATCACTTTTATCTATTCTGTGTATTCTTCTTCCTTCCTTCTTTCTTTCTTTCTTTCTTTCTTTCTGCCTCAATCAATCAATCAATTACACCTACCTTAGCTGCCCACTCATTTCTGGCTTTATTATAGCACTCCATGGCGGCCATTAGGCAGTCTATGCGGGACTCTAGTCGCTGAAATAAAAACATGTACCCACTGAGCTTGAATTGTATGTTGAAGAGTTTTACATTTTAACCATTTTATAATGAACTTTTTGCAAACCCATCTCACTCTCAGTCTTTAAACAATAACAGTTACATTCTCAAAAGGCGTTAAATTTTCTGAGCACATTTTTCAAAATGTATTATTCACCATTTATTTGTACTTAGTTTCCATGAACTCAACTGAGCATTTTGAATGAACTTCAGACTCCAAATATTCTAACAATAATACTTATAATAATTAAATTGAGTATCATTTTCTAACACCAGGCTCGTTGTAGCATTTGCACCGCAGCCAACTTGCCATGTGCAATGATAACATTTGTTCTATATTTCAAGACAAGCTGAGTCAGAGAGATGTGCATCCTGGCACTTACCTCCTCTGTGTAGCACTCTTTGACCCTGCAGTCCCCCTCTTCCTGGAAATTGTCCTCCTGGTAATACAGATCTTGCAGGTTCTTCAGGTTCTCCTGGCGACAATACTGGAATTAATTTTAAAAAATAATTTATGAAAAGATCAACTACATGTCTTGCATTTTGTCTAGGCTTTTTCACTTCTATTTATTACTTTCATTATTATTATTATTATTTTATTTCTTTACTCTGGATTGAATAGATTCATAAAGACCAGAAATATTTTGTAAAACAGGCCGGCTTCATTTAACAGTCATTAATAAACCTACTAGTATATCTTGTACTATGAATAATTGATATTATTATTATTATTATTATTATTATTATTATTATTATTATTATTATTATTATTACCTGTAAATATAAAGCATGTGCCACTGGCATGTTCCTGATGGTCATGTAGAAATCTCCTAAACTCATCTTCTCCTTGAGGTTCAGTATCACCATATACACTGAAAATATAAAATTTTAATATGTGATTTAATCAGCACAAGCATGCACATATTCAACATTATTCACTTTTTTTTTCTAATAGTGAACAAGTTCCTTGGATTATCTACAATAAACTACGAGATGACATAATCTGAGTCAGACATTAAGCAGGGGGGAGGAACAATGGCACCGCCATCCTCTTCAGTTGGAGGGGATAAATTCTGGGAACCTAGGATGCAATTTGGGACATTTTACAGTGTCTGCTGGTACACATAGGTCATGCTACCAGCCTATACTGTTAAAGACAGGGCCAGTTTATCTGCTTACTCAGGTGTGTGTCTCTACTTTCTATCAATTCAGACAGGGCCAGATAGACTGGGTTCCCATACTTAGATCGATCCATCTGGATCGATGTAACTCCCTGGGGGTTCACACTTAATTGCTATCAGCTCAAGAGGCTTATATGTCTGTCACGCCTACCGAATCAGCTAGGGTAAAGATAATTACCTTCTAACAGTTTTACTAGGCGTGACAGATGTTTAAGCTGGCTAGTTTGATAGCAACTTAGTGAGACTTCCCAGGGAGATAGATCAATCCAAATATCTAAGGGAATGGTCCCTTAGTCTACCAACTTAAGTACTGGGGTATGTGGCTCCCCTTTTTATTGGCTTAGACTGTCAGTTAGTCTTCAAACCTTAACTACTGTATGTGTCTCCCCTTTTCTACTGGCTTAGCCAGGCAATAAATTTACTTACTCAAGTCTGTGTCTCCGCTCTCTATTGCCTTAGACAAGGCAAGTTGTTCTTTCTTCATCTTCATCAGCAAGGGAACCTGCTCTGCAGCCCGGGGTTCATAGTCCAACAGCTGACAATGAGGAGAAAAAGATTGTGAACATACATCAGATTTGTCATTTAACTGCCAGATCAAAGGTCAATAATCTAAGTCGTTCTAAAGAGAGCAAAATGGGAAAAAATTCTGAGAAGACATAAGCTCACAACAAAGTAACATCAACAATGGAAAAAGAAAAAAGCAAAAAACATATTCCAAAATGGCATCCAAATTGATGATGGCATCAACATACAGTTTACTATAATTTACTATAGTTTAAAATAAATCAATACACATTAATTGGCCTTCTTATTTACAAAAACCAAAAGAAACAGCAAAGGAAGTAATAGCTTTTGGGTAAATATAAACCTAGAGGGTTACCGCAAGGAAATAGGGAAAATGGTTGTCAAATAATCATTTTCCTTCTATTCCAAGAATCAAATAGAGAATACTGAAGAAATAAGAGGACTACATGGACAGAAGGAAAATGCAAATTTATGTTTTTCCATTATATGTACCCTTGTTGCCAGCTCAGGTCTGCCCACATCCAAAGCTTTATTAGCAATTTCAGAATACGAAACACCTGGAGTGTCGCCCAACTTCTGAGATATAGAACGCGCAATGGCCTCATCCTCAACTCCAGTTTGTTCAACCTGGAACACACAAGTTTATGTATCAACGATTAAGTCTTCTCCATATCATTCCAAATCAATTTCTTTCCATACTGCATTTATATCATCAAGGCTCATACAAAATTTTTACAGGAAAGCAACTCAAGACAGACAATTCAAGACTCTGTCACTGGTTACATGATAGTTAAATCTTTAAATAATCTTGGCTACAAAAACAAAAATTTTTGATATTTATTAAGAATTTTTTTCTTATATATAAACCCACTCACAAATATGCTAAATTAGCAAAATTCATATATTTTCTTCAGCACTAATATCCAAATAACAGAGTCCCTCTCTTTCAATAGAGTTACACATATGGATCACAAACCTTATAACAAGCCCAGTGCGCCATGATACGACTGGCGCCATCTGCCTCAGGTATCTTGAGATACTGACAAATCCTCACTGCCAGGGGGTAGTGGCGCCGCACCACCAGTCTGTCTATTAGCACCGGTAAGGTCAGTGATTGCAATCTGGGTCAGGTCAAGGTCAATAAAGGTCATGCTTGAAAAACAGATCTTACCTTGATAATTCTAAAATTAAAAAACAACTATAACAACAACAACAAAATAACATCTAATTGAAACTTAATAAAATAGGTAAATGATCTAAGTTTTTTTTCAAAAATGTTAACAATGTTATGTTTTCTTGGTAACTGCACAACAGTATTTTAATTTCATTTTATTTAAAAATAAAAATGAATCAGATTAAATCAAAATGTTAAATGATATAAGAAAAAAGCTTTACTTTGCTAAACTTATTTTATGTTAAAAACCTTCTATTTATAACACTTACTCTTTTCAGTATAATTAAAAAATTTTACATTATTTTATAACACTGTTAATTCATTAATTAAGGATACTGTGTGTAGGTTAAAGGCAGGCCCACAGTGTAATCACGAACTGCATTGAGAACTCTCAGCATCTGACACATGTTCACAAAGGTTTCTGGTCTCACGTCTGTCAGGAAACATTTTCCAAATGACGCCGCCTGTAAGAGAAAAAAGTAAAATGATTTACGGTGCTGAATTCACTTTTAGGCCAATGCTACATAAAAATATTTAGCTTTACTACCTAAAAAAAGAGTCTCAAAAGACTTTAAAATTCATATTTGAATTCATTTCAGAAATTCAAAATAATTTTCATGGTAGATTCAGTCTGTCTTGATTCTAGACACATGTCATGTATATCTAAGCACTTTACCACAAAGAAATATTTCAATAGCCATTGATAATTGTTAACTTACTCTAAGCAGTGCCTTCTGACTCTTGGGCTCATACTCATAACCAGCGCCCTCTATACATTGTTCAACAGCCAAGTCCAACTTGTCTTTGATCATTCTGATGTATTCGTCTGCTCGCTGACTTCCTTTCTAAATAAGACAACAAAAATGGCATTTATGTTGGTTTCAAACAAACTTCACACAAAATTTTATTATATCATCTGAAAATATTGAGAGGTAATTATGACAAAGTTCATGTTAGCTAGGAGTTTCTGACAGAAACCATGTATTTGATAATGTAAAAGAAACTCAGAAGTGTTTGCCAGTAATTTATTATTTTTCTAAATAAAAACCTGGTTAAATACCCCCTTGCAATTCTATAATATTCAAACTCTGTGAAATGCCTCGTTTACAAATGAATTAATTATTTCAAATCACAATGAATAATGTTACCACACTTTCTGTGAGGCACAAAATCTGAATTAATAACATGGCCATCCAAGAACAAGATTCATGACTCACCCCAAACTCCCTAGAAGCTTCATATAACATGGCACCAGGAGCCATAGAACCAATCTTGAAGATTTCCTCAACAACAGCTGGAATTAGAAAAATAATTCACTAAAATATTTTTAAAAATACAATTTGGATTGCTTTGTGCAGTTCAGAGAACTGGAAACGAAAATGGCCAAAACAAAGTAATTTTCTAAAAATAATTAATTCTTAAAAAGTTTCATAATTTAACTTGGTATCCAAAGTTTTCAACAATCAACTCAGCATTGTGTTTCTTTGTAGATTGAAAATTTTCTAATTCTCCTTCTTAGCTCTTTTACAGGTGTCTCTCTCTCTCTCTCTCTCTCTCTAACTGATAAACTTACGTGGAACTCTCTGTAAAAATTCATGTGTATCATTCCCTACGATTCTGAGCCCATCTATTTCCTGCACCAAAGTCACTGGAGTATCATAGCTGTATGTAGGAACAGTTAAGGATTCCCATGCTTTATAGTCTAAATATCTTTATAGATAATACAAACATTTTAAAATGGTTTTTAATGGAGTCATGCCAAAGAATATTAGGTAATTTTTTCACAGATTGATTTCCGCAAATTCGGACATCAGCATTCCTCTGACAAAAATATGAAATGTCAATGTCATCAAAACATGTAATTTTTTTTCACACATCAATATAATAGTACAATAAATATTTAGCATTATCTGTTACTGTTGTAACTCCTTCATCTAACTTAAAGGTAACTGACTTTTTTGCCTAAAACGTATGACATTAAACACTTCAACCGACTACCATAAGAATCTAATAACATGTAGAGTTTTAACATGTCAATAAAGATTTTATAAAATCAGTAAAGGATATTTCACCCAATCTTTAGAAGGTCCTACCATCAGGAGCAGGTTAAGCTCTGCCCAGTAACTTACTATGGAGCCTGTACCACACCTGAAAAGAAGGTAAGTTGTCTGTTGAGATAGCATACTTCACTATTAGACAGTGTCAAGTTGGCTTTGACAAAAATGTCTTAGTTTTAAAGTCAGAATTTGGAGCACAAACACATTAGCTCTTATTTCTTATTTTTGTCTATAAATAATAGCTTTTAAGTGTAAAAAGAACACTGCAAAGTATATTGATTGCAACATGTATTGAAATGTGTGGTATTGTATTTGCACTTTTGTGTATTCAGTGACATAAATATTGTAAATGACTTTGATAAAATATAAATAAATAAATAAATAAATAAATAAAATAATAGGCACTCACCAACAAAGTTGTGTGGGTCTCACTGCACTTTTAGTATTAAATTCACAGTAAACTTTCTGCAACAGAAAATATATTTAATCACTTCTTTAAAATGAAAAATAAAGCAGTTTCAATTGCAGAGAAAAATAATACATAGAATGCAAATTTGGGATTTTTATTGACAAAATGGCATGCTTGTAGAGGTGGGATGGGGTAGACTTTTTTGAGAGAAAAAAGCAGCCATCCCTAGTCATTCTACCCCCACCTTACCCCAGGGGGAGAGGGGTCTGGCCTTGTAATTTTGAGAGAAAGAAACACCCTCCCTATCCCCTTCTACTCCCACCCCACCCACCCCAGCCCAACTTTTAAATATTAACTTTGGAACATGACATCAGCAGCCATACAGCACAATGACAAGACTGGCACAATGTATCTTCTCACCTGTAAATCAGCCGAGCCGATCCACAGGAGTCCTGTGTTTGTGAACAGTGCCAGGTATTTATTATTGAAGGACACTGACATCTCTATAAATGACTCCACTGGGATACTCACATCTACAGTCTGAAATGATGGTAGGAAAATTTTCTAATTTTTAAGCAATTGTAATATTATTAATCAGAATAATAAAAAGTAATTTTTTGAAGAAGTTCACTTTTTAGATATGTTTCAAGTTTCACAGGTCTTCTAGTGACAAGTTGGAACCATTCCCAGACCCTATTGTACTAACTGTGGAATGATCCATCTCCGAGGGGATTCTCACTAAATTGCAATCAACCTGAGCAGCTTAGATGTCTNTAACTGATAAACTTACGTGGAACTCTCTGTAAAAATTCATGTGTATCATTCCCTATGATTCTGAGCCCATCTATTTCCTGCACCAAAGTCACTGGAGTATCATAGCTGTATGTAGGAACAGTTAAGGATTCCCATGCTTTATAGTCTAAATATCTTTATAGATAATACAAACATTTTAAAATGGTTTTTAATGGAGTCATGCCAAAGAATATTAGGTAATTTTTTCACAGATTGATTTCCGCAAATTCGGACATCAGCATTCCTCTGACAAAAATATGAAATGCCAATGTCATCAAAACATGTAATTTTTTTTCACACATCAATATAATAGTACAATAAATATTTAGCATTATCTGTTACTGTTGTAACTCCTTCATCTAACTTAAAGGTAACTGACTTTTTTGCCTAAAACGTATGACATTAAACACTTCAACCGACTACCATAAGAATCTAATAACATGTAGAGTTTTAACATGTCAATAAAGATTTTATAAAATCAGTAAAGGATATTTCACCCAATCTTTAGAAGGTCCTACCATCAGGAGCAGGTTAAGCTCTGCCCAGTAACTTACTATGGAGCCTGTACCACACCTGAAAAGAAGGTAAGTTGTCTGTTGAGATAGCATACTTCACTATTAGACAGTGTCAAGTTGGCTTTGACAAAAATGTCTTAGTTTTAAAGTCAGAATTTGGAGCACAAACACATTAGCTCTTATTTCTTATTTTTGTCTATAAATAATAGCTTTTAAGTGTAAAAAGAACACTGCAAAGTATATTGATTGCAACATGTATTGAAATGTGTGGTATTGTATTTGCACTTTTGTGTATTCAGTGACATAAATATTGTAAATGACTTTGATAAAATATAAATAAATAAATAAATAAATAAATAAAATAATAGGCACTCACCAACAAAGTTGTGTGGGTCTCACTGCACTTTTAGTATTAAATTCACAGTAAACTTTCTGCAACAGAAAATATATTTAATCACTTCTTTAAAATGAAAAATAAAGCAGTTTCAATTGCAGAGAAAAATAATACATAGAATGCAAATTTGGGATTTTTATTGACAAAATGGCATGCTTGTAGAGGTGGGATGGGGTAGACTTTTTTGAGAGAAAAAAGCAGCCATCCCTAGTCATTCTACCCCCACCTTACCCCAGGGGGAGAGGGGTCTGGCCTTGTAATTTTGAGAGAAAGAAACACCCTCCCTATCCCCTTCTACTCCCACCCCACCCACCCCAGCCCAACTTTTAAATATTAACTTTGGAACATGACATCAGCAGCCATACAGCACAATGACAAGACTGGCACAATGTATCTTCTCACCTGTAAATCAGCCGAGCCGATCCACAGGAGTCCTGTGTTTGTGAACAGTGCCAGGTATTTATTATTGAAGGACACTGACATCTCTATAAATGACTCCACTGGGATACTCACATCTACAGTCTGAAATGATGGTAGGAAAATTTTCTAATTTTTAAGCAATTGTAATATTATTAATCAGAATAATAAAAAGTAATTTTTTGAAGAAGTTCACTTTTTAGATATGTTTCAAGTTTCACAGGTCTTCTAGTGACAAGTTGGAACCATTCCCAGACCCTATTGTACTAACTGTGGAATGATCCATCTCCGAGGGGATTCTCACTAAATTGCAATCAACCTGAGCAGCTTAGATGTCTGTAACACCTAGTGAAGCTGTTGGGGGGGGGGGTAATTAATTACCATTTAGCAACTTCAGTAGGCAACTTCAGTAGGCAACTTCAGTAGGCGTGTGAGACATCTACGCCACTTGAGCTGAAAGCAATTAAGCGAGAAACCCCTGGGAGATGGATCGATCCTGTTTGATCGATCTAGGTATGGGAACCCAGTCGTTGACTTAGGCCACATTCTCAACGAATTGAGCCAGGCTTTACAAATCCTAAGAACTAAAAATGGCAGACGTACATGAAAGAAAAACCGCCTAATCTTTTAATAGTCTCTCTGCCTCTCACACGCCTCCCCACATGTCGTCCCTGCGGGGTACAGTAATTAAATCTCAGCTCCATTCGCCATGCGGAAGCTACCTGAGAAATATTAAGTGCACATTTTTAGTTCTCAGGATTTGTAAAGCCTGGCTCAATTCGTTGAGAATGCGGTCTTAGTATCTGTGACCTTCACCTGCTGCTGATACTGTCCTCCGTGGTCCAGTAAAAACAATTCGTTCTCCTTTGCCACCAGAGCTCTGGTCTGTCTGTCCTGGTTAATGATGGCCCAACTACTGGGGGGAGCCTGGAGACCTGCCAGTTAAAACATGTGAAGAGCAAAAGACATGAAAAAATAATAATTTTTTTGGAGTAATAAAAAAGGAGAGGCCATTACAGGATTAAGTGGTCTTCCTTTCATGTAGGTCCGCCATATTTAAGCTGTTAAACAGTTAGCACTAGGATCTTCTCATTCTGAGAATGACATATGTTATTTACCTGGCACCTCAGCCAGTCTTCTTACTCTGGGATCTTCAATATTATTACATACAAATATCCTGTATGTGCTGGTCAGTACAGCAATCCCCGTAGTATTGGCTGTCTGGAATATCTTCACTTCCAGCACCTTGGTGTCCTTGACCTCCTGTAAACAAAGAAGGCAGCAAATGCTGTCAAATGTACAGACATAAAGGAGATCATGAGGATGACAGGGGATAAATTAGCCTTAGGGTTTTTGGTCAGTTATGATGCAATGTGACAAAATGCTAAAAAGCATGATCACCACCAATTTTAATCACATACTATGTACTGTTACTGCGAAAAAATCATAATAAGTAACAGGGTCAGGGCTTCAGTCATTTTTGTCCAAATGATCAGTCAAAGCCCAAAATATTAACCATTACAGCAATTCCTTGAACTTATGTTATTGAGTTTAACTAGGTTCACTAACAATTAAAAAATTTATTAATATAAAAAATGCAACAGAAATGCAATAACTGGTCAATACATAAATTTACAGATTTAATTATTTTTTTGTTTGTTTGTTTCACCGTCAAAAGCTTTCGATGAAAATAATATCAGTGGGTAAAAAAAATAATTTTCTGAAAATCACAATGGAGCAGAATGATTATGTGTCTGTTAATCTCTGACCAACTTACTGTTCCCAGGCTGAAGGTTCTCTTAAAATTGCCAAATATGTCATAGACCAGTACACCGCCATCATCCTGTACGCAGAGAAGATCTTCAGTGTTTGACCAACCAAGCTGAATAACATGACCACTGTTCCACTGAAAAAGAAAAAAAAACTCAGAAATTTAATCACTTAATTAGTTATGATATCCAATTTAAAAAAGAAATAAAAGAAATAGTTGTCATTTTTGCTACTGAAAAATAATATCTTCTGTTATGAACCAGGCGGAGAATTTTTAAGATTCTCTGCATAATGTCATTTTGTGACATACTTTAAGTAATTTTGTTCAAATTTGTTTCCAATTATATAATTAGTCTGCTAAGTTTGGAAATCAAGTTTCAAATTTATTTCAGATTTCACTGGTCCCCTGCCAAATCTGCTGGTCAATTGCCAATGAACAGAAGCTAGATGTCTTAGGCTGTGTTCAGATTAAAAACTATCGGTCCAACAGGATCGATCCATCTCTGCGGCGGTTCTCCCTTGCACTTAATATAATCAGCTTACAGAAGCTACAAATGATTATTAAACCCTAGCTTCTGAAGGTGGCGGGCCAGACAATTCCGCTGTTAATATTGAGTGCAAGAATCCCCACAGAGATAGACCGATCCTGCTGGATTGATAACTTCAAATCTGAACATAGCCATACTCACAGTGAACCTGGTTATTTCTCTTCCAGCAGCAGAATAGATATATACTGTGGGTTTGATGTTTCCTTGCACTTTGGCTACTAATTTACTCTCATCCTGGATCAGGGCTGGAAAAAAAAAGACAGAAAAATTATCTTACATCTACACCACATGGGTGCAACTTCAATCCATGGTAAAGCCATATTAGTCCACTAATATAAATTTGTTACTTTTGGGTATATAATAAGTAGCCTTTGTTTATATTTTGAAATAGGCACAGTCTTCCATTTGCTTTAACAGCTACTTTTTTCGGAATGGCTCCCAGTGATTTTGTATTTCCTGTGATTCAGAAAAGCTGGGCCAGTCATAGTGAATAAATTAACTTAAACTTGATACATCCCCAGTGACTCTGTCAATCATTTCTACCTATAGGACCTCCATACGGTGCTGTGGCAACATTATACTTGTACAAGTCCTGCATCCATTCCATCTGATACAGCTCTGTTTTCCTGATGAAACAACAGCATAGGCATTAAAATTCAAGTGTATTAGGTGTGACAGTGTTTTAGGTGTGATGAATTATATTCAGCAGCATTATATATGTAATAAATTATGAGGCTGCACCATTGGGAAATTATTGTTGGATAATTATTACATTATGGAACTATCCCCTGTGTGGCTTTGAACTGTTTTAATCCTGGTTATATCACATATAAATGCCAGGACTGTGCCAGGAATTATGGATGAGGGGGGGGCGGATGAGGGGGGGGGGGCAACATCAACAAAAACAAAACAAGAAAATGCAGCTGGCCCGCTTTGCTAAAAAAACAACCATCAACCCCGTTGCCAATAAAATTATAATGACATTTAAATGCACGACACTTTATTGCAGTATAAAGCGTCTGCCAGCACGGGACATACCTGTAAAAGACTTCCCCTAAGGGATTCCAGTCCGCAGTAGCCAGCGCCATGTTTTCAGCTTGTCATGTGACTTCCTTGTCGTATCGGTACATTATCATTTCCATTTCAGACTTAAAGAGGAAGAGGTACAAACGAACTTTGTCAAACAAAAAATATGTTACAAAGCATTTCTTTCATTCCAAGATAAGAAGATACAAAACAAGATGTAAAGAAAACATACAACTGGTTTTTAAGCAGGTGAGTTTGGGTTCAGGCTTTAAAACTAACTTGCCCTAATTTTGAATGTAAATTGGGTCACACAATTTCGTTCTCTCGGAAGTTTTCAGGAAGACTTCATTTTAAGTTTTTAAAGTCTAGTTACTATGTAGGTGTTTCTTTGTTTCTCCACATATAAGGAAATTCTTTTTGGATATGATGTAGAAATTATTTATTCATCAGCTGTTGAACGGGGTGAGTTATTTGACGACTCTTTTGTCTCAATTTTATTTTATTTATTATTATTATTATTATTTTTGTGCATTATTTGTATTTCAAATTCAATCTAATCAAAGTTTTTACTCGCGCTTTGAGGAATGGGCTACTAAAACTTTTGAATCACAAGAAACAGTTGTACTCGCATGCAAAATTAACACAAATGGATGCTTTGAATTCAAATTTCAAATTCCGAAAGCATCTATATTTTGCAAAGCTACCTCCAGCTGTCTGGCATGTCAGAAACACTGCAACATTGAAGATGACCCAAAGTCTCGCAACTTAGCATAAAAGCAAGCCAGATTGTGTTGGATTTTTAGGAGATTGGGGTCACATATAATGGCATAGCATATCTATTTATCATGGTGTTTTTCTTGCGGTTTTCTTTTACGTTCAGTAGAATGAATAATGTGCACAATACTATTTATACATGTATAGTAAGTTCAGTTTTTCATGTTAGTCTGTATTGCTTTCTTAGAAAATCTACAGTTTCACTTTGATGCATGTATTCGTGAAAAGTTTAGCCTGTGGCTTTGTTATCTCAGTAAAACGGCCTGTTGTTTGGCTTCTTTGACTTTCGACCACAAAGCCTGACTTAAGACCACAAAGTCCAGTTCTGAAGCCAGTGAAGCAAGACAAAACATTTTAACCTGGTCCTTGTGATATCATACTTTCTATCTAGTCAGAGAGTGGTTATTTCTGTTAATTACTTAGTGTTGGAAAAAGGAGAAATTGACTGTTAAAATGATGACATAGTAGTTTGTAAAGATTTCTTTTCTGAAGTAAATTATCACAGTGGGTAGTTATTCATGTATCTTTTAATTCAGACGCATATTGGCTAGGATCACATGAATGTGGGCTAGAACATTTAATTGTTTGGAAAGCTGTTGAGTTGTTTGTTTATGCTTGTACCCCGATAAACAATCATTTGGGACCTGAATGAATCCAGGTCAGTCAGTTAAGTTATAGATATAGGATAACATGGTCAAGGATAAACCTGTGATCTAGAAATAATAAGGTTATCATTATATATTTATCAAACTGAAATATCAAACTCAATAAAATGTGCTGAAAATGTCGCCATAAATCTCATTTGTCTTATAACTTAAATGCAAATGTCTAACTCAGTTTATCTGGTTGAAAATAATATATAGCTTAAAACTTGTATTTGTTGTTGGACAGATTGTCAGTGTTGTTCAAACTATTTCAAAGATTTAGCATTTTAAAGCAAAAAATATGCTATATTAAACATTTAACATACTGTAGTACCTTGGCTAAAATATGTATATTAGCGGTACGATCAAAGGAAGTTATATAGGTCACTTATGCAATTATTGTTTTTCCAGGGACTTAACTCTCTTTACACTAACTTTTCCTGTCAACCAAGGTCTGATGACTAAAATTATTCTCCAATGATTTGGTATTGAGCTTCTTATGCCAGTCTAATGGCCATAATCTTTTCAGGTGATGTTTTGACTTTGTCTCGCGATGTGCTGCATTTTAAGATGAAAGTGAAATCATATATTTATTTTACAATGTTTTTCTTTTTCTTTGTGGTGCATTTTATACAGATTTCTAACCTTGTGCAACAAACCTTTATTAATTGCAGTAGTTCAGTCAAGTAGTTATTGAAGCAGGGGTGGGGGTGAGGGGGGGGGGGGCAGCCTGTCAACTGAGTTAACCAGATTACGATCTCCAATTAGGAGTCTAAACTTGTCTTTGGTCAGGTTAAGTATGTGTGTCCTTACAGATCAACAAAGCAGACTTTACGAAAGGCCAAAAAATATGTCAGACATTCGGTCTGACAAGCTTGAAAATTCTGTCAGACCGAAACAAAATCTGTCAGACCAAAGTAAAATAATAGAAATGTGAACCATTATTCATGTTTTCATGTGTATTTTCTAACGTTTTAAATCACTGACATTAATTCAAATATTAATTTTTTGATATATATTTATTTGTAAAAAAAGTAAAATAAGAAAGAAAAACAAAAAAAAAAAAATAGACAAAAAATTACTTGCATAACAAGTTGTTTTTTTTTTTTATTTAATGAAAAAGACGCTGTGGAATGACACAAGGACTAAAAACAATATAAGTATGAAGAATGTGTAGCTAGTAATATCAAATGTATGTGCATAAAAACGTCTGTTATTGTTAATCAGATAATGATTTCACACCTTGTTTTTGGCAAAAACATATGCATATTGAAACAGCACAATAAGGCAGTCTCTTTCATCCAATTGAAGCTTTTTTCCTCTCCTACAGATCACAAGTCCGCAAGGGCCTACCTTCTTTCCAATTTTAGTAAACTTCCGTTTCTCTTCCTCACTTCGTTTTTATTTTTTGCCACGCTTTGCATCAACGAAGTGTTTAAAGTTCAACAACGTCATTTTCTAAACAAAAGGCTTATCCATGAGTACTGTGTATGACTGATAATGAAGAAACAGAGGATCAAGTCTGTAAAACGCAAATAGCACGAGCAGGGGTAATCCTAGAGAGGGGTGAGAAACGTCCATTGTTCTCGTCAGCGAGGCTGGCTTTTTTCAGGGTATGTACGCACAGACAGAAAACCATGTATTGTGGGAACGTTACTAATGAAGCCACTGGTAGTGCTAGTAGATATCAGCCTGTAGTCTTGAACAAGCGCCTCGATGACGAGTGAACAGTTGTCAAAAACAAAAGACCCAGGTGTGGTAGTTCAACTACTGTTCATGCGTGCCACAACGACCAAACCTAATTGCTCCTCAAGGTCACAAAACAATATCCGGTACTGGCGGCCAGGCTCGTCTTAATCATATAAGTAGCGCGTTTCCACCCCCTGGCACGAGCACATGTGTTGCAGCCATTTTGTCGTGTAGGGGTATTACGAAAACGAAAACGAGACTGTACATTACATCATCCAGGAATCCCCCAACCTCAGCCAGTCACAAAATAGCATTTGTAAGTGAAACTGAGGTTAATAAATTATGTATAATTAGCTGGGAACTCCCCGAGATTTTCACCCCGTCTCTCTTTTCGAATGTAGTAAAATATATCGTCCAGAAAAGAAACAACAACGTATTCCTTATATTTACACATTCCCAGGCAGTTTGAAAACTCGCCGGACATACGGTCCGACGATATAGGATTTTTTATCGGACCGAGACGAAATTTGCCAGGCATGTCCGACGGTCCGACGCCTTTCGTAAAGTCTGACAAAGGAGGTTTTGTTTTGTAAACAACTCTGTGGCATCATCTCAGGTGGGGCAATTACTCTCTAAATAGAAGCAAAACTGATGATTACATAACCCAAACAGTGCCTGTATATTTACACCTCAAAATGATTACTGTATATTCAAAATGTTTGGAGTTGACACTTTATTTTGTATCAGTCATTTGTAAATTTTTGTTTACAACTGAAAGGAGATATCTTGAAAATGAAAACAATATGGTGAATAAGAGAAGTGTTTGAAATTTGTAAGACATGAGATAATATGTGTGGAAAGAAATGTTTTCAAGATATTTTTTGTGCTTTAATACAAGGTTGCAATATTTTTGCATATTTACTATCTTGGACAAGGGAAAACTTTTTTGTGTTAATTTCTGACTTATGATGAGACTTTTTAGAAGGGATGGAGGATGTCTCTAAGCTAGGACCCCAAAATGTAGAAAATTTATTTAAAAAATTGATATGGTATGAAAATATGGAGATAGTATTACTATATATATCTATAAGCGATACTGATTCAGACGTTAAAAAGGCTACACCTAGATATAAATACCCCATTTATTCCAGACATATTGATTCCAGTATCGTTTTATAACAGATCATTTCAAACATTTGGTGCTTGACATGTTTGATGAGTAAACAAAGTTGTTGTTTTTACCAACCATTGCGACTAGGCAGTGGATGGGAATGGGATTGTTAGTTGCTAAACTGTGTTTGAAATGTTATACCTTGTAGTTAAATGTGTCAGAAAGACAACAGTGACTGCTTTGCTTGTGGTGTTGATCTCTCTCTCTCTCTCTCTCTCTCTCTCTCTCTCTCTCTCTCTCTCTCTCTCTCTCAAGTCCAATGTTTTATGATAATTAATAAAACAATATTCGAATTTATGCTATTAGTGTTATATAGTTTTAAACAGCATGATTTGTGATTATTCATTTTATTACAATCTGAATGGACAGATACTAGTTTGTAGGTCAAGTTTATAATCTGCAATTTGAAGAAGGTACAGATTAAAAGTCTGTGTACAGCTGACTGGGCAAATAATTTATTTTTTTAGCATGTGCATTTCATTTAAATTGTGCAGAAAACTGGTAGTCATTGGTGATATGTGTGAGCTACATGGAATGTGCACAGCTGTACTCTTGCTTGTTTGATAAAAAATGGATTAAGGCTGGATATAGATAATCTGTGACAAACAGGCACGCTTGTGCGCATGCACACACATATACACACGTACAGGTATCGTTTATATAAAGTGTTTGGCCTAAATACCTGTATTTTAACCTAGACTGTATGAAATACACTGTAATCAGGGGACCAGATAAGGATTATGGAGAGCTAATCACGTGGACTGATAAATCGTGAACCTATTGTTATAGGTAGATACATTAACCCCCGAGTTTATTAATTACGTGTTGTTATTTCATTTTGGGAGTTTACACTTGTTTCCATTAACTCTAATCTATTTCGCTCCAAGTGACATCATGTTTCCATAATTGTAATCAAGGAGGAATGTCCACAGCATGAGTCGAAATGTTTAAATCAACTCTGGGTCAATTTCATTTAAAGAACTTCAGTCCAAAAATTTGTCTTCATTATAGGCCAAAATTCTTGATGTCTTCGGTGAACTGAAATGTTTAGTTGCAGATCTGTTTTAAAACAATAAAGAAATGCTTCAGACCAGTTATTTGATTAGATTGCTATGAATATATGTAAAACTGAATTGGACCAAATAGTTTTCGGTCCAACAGCATTGGCAAGTTCTGTACTAACGTCAGCTGGATTGTAACAGATACGCCCCATTGGCTGCTAGTGTGAATGCCCCTCTTGCTGTATCAGCGTGACCCACGGACTGATAAAGTGATAAGGTTTTGACAGTAAATTTGGAAACTTTAATTTTGGATATCTATATGGCAGTCGGTATGTGTACCACCTTTCTGTTTGCAGTCCTGTTCTTTTGATTTATTTTCTTATGTATGGACATAAGCCTCTAGGTTCAGTATATGTGCTTAGTGTAATTTAAAATTCGTCAAGAATTTTATTTTACACTTCATGTTTTTTACTGCACTCATTTTATTGGTGTTTTTCTTTTCTGGATATTGTAAGACAGCAGTATTGTTGGAGCTTGACATATTTAAATATTATGTAGTATAGTTGCATATTATATTAAATATATTAATTCAGTTTTTCCCAATGAAATGCAGTTGGTTTAAAAAGCGATCACAAAAATGATGAATGAACTAAAGACAGAAGGCTTGCCTAGAATATTCTTATCTTTATTAATTTAAAACACAGTAAGAGTACAAAATGTTAGGTCAAACTAATGACATTTGCTTGGAATGAGGAGGGAAAACTAATTAAATGTGACAATTTGGAGGAATTTTTCAATGTAACTAAACCACAAAAATTCGGTTAATGCAACAAGATATAATTGCAAAGGGTTTCATTTTTTCCTCTTTGTAATCAAATGTCAAAAATTCAGGACGTAAGACAAGATACGCTAAGTAGGGCAGGTGATAATGGATGTTTGTCAAAATAAGATGTATATGATTCCAGTAATCTAGAAGGAAGTAAAAAGCAGGCATAGGGCAATGTTTGGAGGGGTGGAGAAAAAAAAAAGAACATTGTTGGGTATTAGAAACTTAAAAGGCTTGTTTAACTAGATTGCAGTTTAATGGAAGTAAGTCACTGATTAAGTCATCGCTGTAGCCACCTCTCTGTTAAATATAGGCCTGGCAAAAATCAGGGTAATTACCCAAATTGACACAACTTTGCCTAGGCGTGGCAAGTGTTGTTATAGCTGTCACGTAAAGGTCGCCATTACAGTTGTTTTAAATTCTGAGTAGCAAATATGGGAACTGAAATTATCCTGTTCTGACAGCTTTCAAGATTATATCATGAAAATGTTTATCCTTTTTGCTCCAGATGTGCAGCGAAGTTGTCCATCTATAACCCCGCGTGAGCAGTGAGAGATGGAAGTGTAGGTGGCAGCAGCAGCAGTATGGGTCCTTACCAGTTGGATTACTGGTCCACGGAGAACTCCAACCCTTGTATTAATGTGGACTGTCTGCTGCCCACTGGGCTCCTAGTACCCCTCCTGGTCTACAAAGATGCCACGTTGGAGCAGATTAAACAGGTAGGGGGTATCTCTGACACCTCCCCCTCCTCCTCCCCATCCTCCAAAAAGAAAAAAAAGAAGTGAGATATGTAGATGTGTTATATCATTTAGTTAAGTTTCTCCTTTCCCCCCCCCCTCTCTCTCTCTCTCTCTCTCTCTCTCTCTCTGCATATGTGATGCAAATTATGGTTTTCTGAGTAGTACCTATAATTATTACCATCATGAAGGACACAAGGTCTTCACTCTCTATGGTTCTTTATTGTTTATGTGAAGAAATGATATTGAGCTTTGTCTATCCCTAGGAATTATGGAAGGAAGCACAGAAGCTCCCCCTGTATGGGAAGCTAGAGGGCATCAATGAGTATCTCTTCATGTGTATTAACCAGACGGCGGAACAGGTAATGACAGCATCATTTTATGATTAATATTGGCATTATTGATATTATTGACATCAATATTTTATGTCTGCAAAGGCATTTATCAAATTATGTGGAATAAAATCAAATTTCCTTGAAAATTCAGCTAGATTTTCGATTATTGTCAGGCATAGATATTATAAAACAAGTCTTGTGATTATGAACAATTTTGAACAGGCAGATATATATTAAAGGATCCATTTGTGGACATAGTGTCAGAGCACACACATACAGGATCATGCATGCATCCTCACATAGTCCTCAGGATCATGCATGCATCCTCACATAGTCCTCAGGATCATGCATGCATCCTCACATAGTCTTGTGTTAAGGATCACATGCATAAATGTGTTCACAGACCTGTACTATTGCATTCACCTCTCTCCCTACCTCTCTCTCTCTCTCTCTCTCTCTCTCTCTCTCTCTCTCTCACACACACACACACACACACACACACACACACACACACACACACAGATACACTTCAGTAGCAAAATTCCAGCCTCAAGATGATAGAAACAGAAACCTAGTTATCAGGCCTCAACAAGGTTTTCCAACAGATTTACCCTAAAAGCAAGTGACATGCCTANTAACTGATAAACTTACGTGGAACTCTCTGTAAAAATTCATGTGTATCATTCCCTACGATTCTGAGCCCATCTATTTCCTGCACCAAAGTCACTGGAGTATCATAGCTGTATGTAGGAACAGTTAAGGATTCCCATGCTTTATAGTCTAAATATCTTTATAGATAATACAAACATTTTAAAATGGTTTTTAATGGAGTCATGCCAAAGAATATTAGGTAATTTTTTCACAGATTGATTTCCGCAAATTCGGACATCAGCATTCCTCTGACAAAAATATGAAATGTCAATGTCATCAAAACATGTAATTTTTTTTTATTTTCACACATCAACATAATAATACAATAAATATTTAGCATTATCTGTTACTGTTGTAACTCCTTGATCTAACTTAAAGGTAACTGACTTTTTTGCCTAAATCGTACAACATTAAAACACTTCAACCGACTACCATAAGAATCTAAGAACATGTAGAGTTTTAACATGTCAATTAAGATTTTATACACTCTGTAAAGGATATTTCACCCAATCTTTAGAAGGTCCTACCATCAGGAGCAGGTTAAGCTCTGCCCAGTAACTTACTATGGAGCCTGTACCACACCTGAAAAGAAGGTAAGTTGTCTGTTGAGATATCATACTTCGATATTAGACAGTGTCAAGTTGGCTTTGACAAAAATGTCTTATTTTTTTTTGGTCAGAATTTGGAACACACACACACCTACACTAGCTCTTATAAAATTGATTTTGGGTGTAAAAAGATCACTTCAAAGTATATATTGCACTACAATTTGCATTGCAGCGTGTAGTAGTCTTTCCCCTTTTTTATTCAGTGACATACATCTTGTAGATGACTTTGATAAAATAAATAAATAAATAAATAAAAATATGCACTTACCAACAAAGTTGTGTGGGTCTCACTGCACTTTTAGTATTAAATTCACAGTAAACTTTCTGAAACAGAAAATATATTCGATCACTTCTTTAAAATGAAAAATACAGAAGTTTCAATTGCCAAGAAAAATAATAAATTGAATGCAAATTTGGGATTTTTATTTACAAAATGGCATGCTTGTAGAGGTGGGATGGGGTAGACTTTTTGGGGAGAAAAAAGCAGCCATCCCTAGTCATTCTACCCCCACCTTACCCCAGGGAGAGAGGGGGTCTGGCCTTGTAATTTTGAGAGAAAGAAACACCCTCCCTATCCTCTTCTACTCCCACCCCATCCAGCCCCATATCAGCTTTTAAACATTAACTTTGTAACATGATATCAGCAGCTGCACAGCATAACAACAACACAGCAAGGCTGCTACAATGTATCTTCTCACCTGTAAATCAGCCGAGCCGATCCACAGGAGCCCTGTGTTTGTGAACAGAGCCAGGTATTTATTGTTGAAGGACACCGACATCTCTATAAATGACTCCACTGGTATACTCACATCTACGGTCTGAAATGATGGTAGGAAAAATTCTATTTTTTAAAGCAATTATAAGACACTTAATGATAAAAATTCAAAGTAATTTTTAAGAAGTCGAGCTTTAAGTTATGTTTCAAGTTTCACAGGTGTTCTAGTGACAAGTTGGTTGTTGGCATGACCGAGTATCTGTGACCTTCACCTGCTGTTGATACTGTCCTCCATGGTCCAGTAAAAACAATTCGTTCTCCTTTGCCACCAGAGCTCTGGTCTGTCTGTCTTGGTTAATGATGGCCCAGCTACTAGGGGGAGCCTGGAGACCTGCCAGGTAAAACACGTGAAGAGCAAAAGACATGAAATCTAATAATTTTTTGGAGTAATAAAAAAACAAAAGGAGAGGCCATTACAGGATTAAGTGGTCTTCCTTTCATGTAGGTCCGCCATATTTAAGCTGTGAAACAGTTAGCACTAGGATCTTCTCATTCTGAGAATGACATATGTTATTTACCTGGCACCTCAGCCAGTCTTCTTACTCTGGGATCTTCAATATTATTACATACAAATATCCTGTATGTGCTGGTCAGTACAGCGATCCCCGTAGTATTGGCTGTCTGGAATATCTTCACTTCCAGCACCTTGGTGTCCTTGACCTCCTGTAAACAAAGAAGGCAGCAAATGCTGTCAAATGTACAGACATAAAGGAGATCATGAGGATGACAGGGGATAAATTAGCCTTAGGGCTTTTGGTCAGTTATGATGCAATGTGACAAAATGCTAAAAAGCATGATCACCACCAATTTTAATCACATACTATGTACTGTTACTGCGAAAAAATCATAATAAGTAACAGGGTCAGGGCTTCAGTCATTTTTGTCCAAATGATCAGTCAAAGCCCAAAATATTAACCATTACAGCAATTCCTTGAACTTATGTTATTGAGTTTAACTAGGTTCACTAACAATTAAAAAATTTATTAATATAAAAAATGCAACAGAAATGCAATAACTGGTCAATACATAAATTTACAGATTTAATTTTTGTTTGTTTGTTTCACTGTCAAAAGCTTTCGATGAAAATAATATCAGTGGGTAAAAAAAATAATTTTCTGAAAATCACAATGGAGCAGAATGATTATGTGTCAGTTAATGTCTGACCAACTTACTGTTCCCAGGCTGAAGGTTCTCTTGAAATTTCCAAATATGTCATAGACCAGTACACTGCCATCATCCTGTACGCAAAGAAGATCTTCCGTGTTTGACCAACCAAGCTGAATAACACGACCACTGTTCCACTGAAAAAGAAAAAAAAAAACTCAGAAATTTAATTACCTAATTAATTATGATATCCAATTTAAAAAAGAAATAGTTGTCATTTTTGCTACTGAAAAATAATATCTTCTGTTATGAACCGGTCTGAGAATTTTTAATGTTCCACACATTGTATAATTTCATTTTGTGACATACTTCCAGTAATTTTGTTCAAATTTGTTTCCAATTATCTGATTAGTAGTTTCAAAGTTGTTTCATATTTCACTAGTCCCCTGCCAAATTTACTGGTCAATTGCCACTGAGCAGAGGCTAACACAGCATATGTCTTAGGCTGTGTTCAGATAAAAAAATTGTTGGTCCAGCAGGATTGATCCATCTCTGTGGGGTTTCTCCTGAATTCTCCTGAATTGTCTAGGGCCATCCCTTCCAAAAGCTAGGAAATGTAATTACATCCTAGCTTCTGGAGGTGGCAGTCCAGACAATTTAGCTGTTTAGATTGAGTGCAAGAATCCCTAAAGAGATACACTGTAGGTTGATCTTGCTAGATTGGTGACTTTTAATCTGAACACAGCCATACTCACAGTGAACCTGGTGATTTCTCTTCCAGCAGCAGAATAGATATATACTGTGGGTTTGATGTTTCCTTGCACTTTGGCTACTAATTTACTCTCATCCTGAATCAGGGCTGGAAAAAAAAGACCGAAAAATACTCTTATGCCTACATAAAAACTGGTTAAGCCATATTAGTCCACTTATATCAAATTGTTACTTTAGGGTCTAAAATAAGTAGAATCTGCTATTTTGAAACAGGCACAGTCTTCCATTTACTTTAACGGCTCCCAGTGATTTTGTATTTCCTGTGCTTCAGGAAAGCTGGGCCTGTCATACTGAATACATTAACTTAAACTTGATACATCCCCAGTGACTCTGTCAATCATTTCTACCTATAGGACCTCCATACGGTGCCGTGGCAACATTATACTTGTACAAGTCCTGCATCCATTCCATCTGATACAGCTCTGTTTTCCTGATGAAAAACAGCATAGGCATTAAAATTCAAGTATGTTAGATGTGACAGTGTGTTAGGTGTGACGGAAATACATGTACTTAACTGAATTATAGTCATATCAGCATTAATTCTGTAATATGAGGCTGCACCATTGGAAAATTATTGTTGGATAATTATTACATTATGGAACCATCCCCTGTCTTGCTTTTTACTGTTTTAATCTTGGTAATATCACATATAAATGCCAGAAATTATGGAGGGGGGGGCGGATGGGGGGGGGGCAACATCAACTGCAACAAAACAATAAAATGCAGTTGGCCCGCTTTGCTAAAAAAGAATCATCACCTCTGTTGTCAATAAAATTATAATGACATTTAAATGCACGACACTTTATTGCAGTATAAAGCGTCTGCCAGCACGGGACATACCTGTAAAAGACTTCCCCTAAGGGATTCCAGTCCGCAGTAGCCAGCGCCATGTTTTCAGCTTGTCATGTGACTTCCTTGTCGTATCGGTGCATTATCATTTCCATTTCAGACTTAAAGAGGAAGAGGTACAAACGAACTTTGTCAAACAAAAAATATGTTACAAAGCATTTCTTTCATTTCAAGATAAGAAGATACAAAACAAGATGTAAAGAAGACATACAACTGGTTTTTAAGCAGGTGAGTTTGGGTTCAGGCTTTAAAACTAACTTGCCCTAATTTTGAATGTAAATTGGGTCACACAATTTCGTTCTCTCGGAAGTTTTCAGGAAGACTTTATTTGAAGTTTTTAAAGTCTAGTTACTATGTAAATGTTTCTTTGTTTCTCCACATATAAGGAAATTCTTTTTGGATATTATGTAGAATTTATTTATTCATCAGCTGTTGAACGGGGTGAGTTATTTGACGACTCTTCAGTCTCAATTTTATTTTATTTTTTTTTTTCGTGCATTATTTGTATTACAAATTCAGTCTTATCAGTCTTTACTCGCGCGTTGAGGAACGGGATACTTAAACATTTGAATCACAAAAAACAGTTTTACTCCCATGCAAAATTAACACAAACTGATGCTCTGAATTCAAATTTCAAATTCTGCATGCATCTATATTTTGCAAAGATACCTCCAGCTGTTTGGGACGTTACCCCCCATGTTACCCCCCCCCCCCTCCACCCACTGCAACATTGAAAATGACCCAAAGTCTCGCAACTTAGCATAAAAGCAAGCCAGATTGTGTTAGATTTTTAGGAGATTGGGGTCACATATAATGGCATAGTATATCTATTTTTCATGGTGTTTTTCTTGCGGTTTTCTTTTACGTTCAGTAGAATGAATAATGTGCACAATACTATTTATACATGTATAGTAAGTTCAGTTTTTCATGTTAGTCTGTATTGCTTTCTTAGAAAATCTACAGTTTCACTTTGATGCATGTATTCGTGAAAAGTTTAGCCTGTGGCTTTGTTATCTCAGTAAAACGGCCTGTTGTTTGGCTTCTTTGACTTTCGACCACAAAGCCTGACTTAAGACCACAAAGTCCAGTTCTGAAGCCAGTGAAGCAAGACAAAACATTTTAACCTGGTCCTTGTGATATCATACTTTCTATCTAGTCAGAGAGTGGTTATTTCTGTTAATTACTTAGTGTTGGAAAAAGGAGAAATTGACTGTTAAAATGATGACATAGTAGTTTGTAAAGATTTCTTTTCTGAAGTAAATTATCACAGTGGGTAGTTATTCATGTATCTTTTAATTTAGACGCATATTGGCTAGGATCACATGAATGTGGGCTAGAACATTTAATTGTTTGGAAAGCTGTTGAGTTGTTTGTTTATGCTTGTACCCCGATAAACAATCATTTGGGACCTGAATGAATCCAGGTCAGTCAGTTAAGTTATAGATATAGGATAACATGGTCAAGGATAAACCTGTGATCTAGAAATAATAAGGTTATCATTATATATTTATCAAACTGAAATATCAAACTCAATAAAATGTGCTGAAAATGTCGCCATAAATCTCATTTGTCTTATAACTTAAATGCAAATGTCTAACTCAGTTTATCTGGTTGAAAATAATATAAAGCTTAAAACTTGTATTTGTTGTTGGACAGATTGTCAGTGTTGTTCAAACTATTTCAAAGATTTAGCATTTTAAAGCAAAAAATATGCTAGATTGAACATTTAACATACTATAGTACCTTGGCTAAAATATGTATATAAGCGGTACGATCAAAGGAAGTTATATAGGTCACTTATGCAATTATTGTTTTCCCAGGGACTTAACTCTCTTTACACTGACTTTCCCTGTCAACCAAGGTCTAATGACTAAAATTTTTTCCAAAAAATTATTCTCCAATGATTTGGTATTGAGCTTCTTATGCCAGTCTAATGGCCTTAATCTTTTCAGGTGATGTTTTGACTTTGACTCGCGAGGTGCTCTATTTTAAGATGAAAGTGAAATCATATATTTAAATTATAATGTTTTTCTTTTTCTTTGTGGTGCATTTTATACAGATTTTTAACCTTGTGCAACAAACCTTTATTACATTGCATTAGTTTAGTCAAGTAGTTATTGAAGCAAGGGTGGGGGGGGGGGGTCATCCTGTCAACTGAGTTAACCAGATTACGATCTCCAATTAGGAGTCTAAACATGTCTTTGGTCAGGTTAAGTATGTGTGTCCTTACAGACCAACAAAGGAGGTTTTGTGTTGTAAACAACACTGTGGCATCATCTCAGGTGGGGCAATTACTCTCTAAATAGAAGCAAAACTGATGATTACATAACCCAAACAGTGCCTGGATATTTACACCTCAAAATGATTACTGTTTATTCAAAATGTTTGGAGTTGACACTTTATTTTGTATCAGTCATTTGTAAATTTTTGTTTACAACTGAAAGGAGATATCTTGAAAATGAAAACAATATGGTGAATAAGAGAAGTGTTTGAAATTTGTAAGACATGAGATAATATGTGTGGAAAGAAATGTTTTCAAGATATTTTTTGTGCTTTAATACAAGGTTGCAATATTTTTGCATATTTACTATCTTGGACAAGGGAAAACTTTTTTGTGTTAACTGTTAATTTCTGACTTATGATGAGACTTTTTAGAAGGGATGGAGGATGTCTCTAAGCTAGGACCCCAAAATGTAGAAAATTTATTTAAAAAATTGATATGGTATGAAAATATGGAGATAGTATTACTATATATATCTATAAGCGATACTGATTCAGACGTTAAAAAGGCTACACCTAGCTATAAATACCCCATTTATTCCAGACATATTGATTCCAGTATCGTTTTATAACAGATCATTTCAAACATTTGGTGCTTGACATGTTTGATGAGTAAACAAAGTTGTTGTTTTTACCAACCATTGCGACTAGGCAGTGGATGGGAATGGGATTGTTAGTCGCTAAACTGCTAAACTGTGTTTGAAATGTTATACCTTGTAGTTAAATATGTCAGAAAGACAACAGTGACTGCTTTGCTTGTGGTGTTGATCTCTCTCTCTCCCTCTTTCTCTCTCTCTCTCTCTCTCTCTCTCTCTCTCTCTCTCTCTCTCAAGTCCAATGTTTTATCATTATTGGTAAAACAATGTTCCAATTTATGCTATTAGTGTTATATAGTTTTAAACAGCATGACTTGTGATTATTCATTTTATTACAAACTGAATGGACAGATACTGGTTAATAGGTCAAGTTTATAATCTGAAATTTGAAGAAGGTGCAGATTAAAAGTCTTGTGTACAGCTGACTGGGCAAATAATTAATTTTTTTAGCATGTGCATTTCATTTAAATTGTGCAGAAAACTGGTAGTCATTGGTGATTTGTGTGAGCTACATGGAATGTGCACAGCTGTACTCTTGCTTGTTTGATAAAAAATGGATTAAGGCTGGATGTAGATAATCTGTGACAAACAGGCATGCTTGCGCGCATGCACACACATATTCACACGCACAGGTATCGTTTATATAAAGTGTTTGGCCTAAATACCTGTATTTTAACCTAGACTATGTTAAATACACTGTAATCAGGGGACCAGATAAGGATTATGGAGGGCTAATCACTTGGACTGATAAATCGTGAACCTATTGTTATAGGTAGATACATTAACCCCGAGTTTATTAATTACGTGTTGTTATTTCATTTTGGGTGTTTACACTTGTTTCCATTAACGCTAATCTATTTCGCTCCAAGTGACATCATTCTTCCATAATTGTAATCAAGGAGGAATGTCCACAGCATGAGTCGAAATGTTTAAATCAAGTCTGGGTCAATTTCATTTAAAGAACTTCAGTCCAAAAATTTGTCTTCATTATAGGCCAAAATTCTTGATGTCTTCGGTGAACTGAAATGTTTAGTCGCAGATCTGTTTTAAAACAATAAAGAAATGCTTCAGACCAGTTATTATTTGATTAGATTACTATCAATATATGTAAAACTGAATTGGACCAAATAGTTTTCGGTCCAACAGCATTGGCAAGTTCTGTACTAACGTCAGCTGGATTGTAACAGATACGCCCCATTGGCTGCTAGTGTGAATGCCCCTCTGGCTGTATCAGCGTGACCCACGGACTGATAAAGTGATAAGGTTTTGACAGTAAATTTGGAAACTTTAATTTTGGATATCTATATGGCAGTCGGTATGTGTACCACCTTTCTGTTTGCAGTCCTGTTCTTTTGCTTTATTTTCTTATGTATGGACTAGTTAGCCTCTAGGTTCAGTATATATGCTTAGTGTAATTTAAAATTCGTCAAGAATTTTATTTTACACTTCATGTTTTTTACTGCACTCATTTCATTGGTGTTTTTCTTTTCTGGATATTGTAAGACAGTAGAATTGTTGGAGCTTGACATATTTAAATATTATGTAGTATAGTTGCATATTATATTATATATATTAATTCAGTTTTTCCCACTGAAATGCAGTTGGTTCAAAAAGCGATCACAAAAATGATGAATGAACTAAAGACAGAAGGCTTGCCTAGAATATTCTTATCTTTATTAATTTAAAACACAGTAAGGGAACAAATTGTTAGGTCAAACTAATGACACATTTGCTTGGAATGAGGAGGGAAAACTAATTAAATGTGACCATTTTGAGGAATTTTTTAATGTAACTAAACCACAAAAATTCAGTTAATGCAACAAGATATAATTGCAAAGGGTTTCATTTTTTCCTCTTTGTAATCAAATGTCAAAAATTCAGGACGTAAGACAAGATACGCTAAGTAGGGCAGGTGATAATGGATGTTTGTCAAAATAAGATGTATATGATTCCAGTAATCTAGAAGGAAGTAAAAAGCAGGCATAGGGCAATGTTTGGAGGGGTGGAGAAAAAAAAAGAACATTGTTGGGTATTAGAAACTTAAAAGGCTCGTTTAACTAGATTGCAGTTTAATGGAAGTAAGTCACTGATTTAGTCATCGCTGTAGCCACCTCTCTGTTAAATATATATAGGCCTAGCAAAAATCAGGATAATTACCCAAATTGGCACAACTTTGCCTAGGCGTGGCAAGTGTTGTTATAGCTGTCACGTAAAGGTCGCCATTACAGTTGTTTTAAATTCTGAGTAGCAAATATGGGAACTGAAATTATCCTGTTGTGACAGCTTGATTATATCATAAAAATGTTTTTCCTTTTTGCTCCAGATGTGCAGTGAAGTTGTCCATCTATAACCCCGCGTAAGCAGTGAGAGATGGAAGTGTAGGTGGCAGCAGCAGTATGGGTCCCTACCAGTTGGATTACTGGTCCACGGAGAACTCCAACCCCTGCATTAATGTGGACTGCCTGCTGCCCACTGGGCTCCTAGTGCCCCTCCTGGTCTACAAAGATGCCACGTTGGAGCAGATTAAACAGGTAGGGGGTATCTCTGACACCTCCCCCCCCCCCTCCTCCTCCAAAAAGAAAAAAAGAAGTGAGATATGTAGATATGTTATATCATTCAGTTAAGTTTCTCTCTCTCTCTCTCTCTCTTTCTCTCTCTGCATATGTGATGCAAATTATGGTTTTCTGAGTACCAATAATTATTACCATCATGAAGGACACAAGGTCTTCACTCTCTATGGTTCTTTATTGTTAATTTGAAGAAATGATATTGAGCTTTGTCTATCCCTAGGAATTATGGAAGGAAGCACAGAAGCTCCCCCTGTATGGGAAGCTAGAGGGCATCAATGAGTATCTCTTCATGTGTATTAACCAGACGGCGGAACAGGTAATGACAGCATCATTTTATGAATTATATTGACATTATTGATATTATTGACATCAATATTTTATGTCTGCAAAGGCATTTATCAAATTATGTGGAATAAAATCAAATTTCCTTGAAAATTCAGCTAGATTTTCGATTATTGTCAGGCATAGATATTATAAAACAAGTCTTGTGATTATGAACAATTTTGAACAGGCAGATATATATTAAAGGATATTTTTGTGGACATAGTGTCAGAGCACACACATACAGGATCATGCATGCATCCTCACATAGTCTTGTATTTAGGGCTGTATTCCCAGAGCTTTTAGATCGATCTATCCCCGCGGGGAGTCTCACTAGATTACTGTCAGATAATCCGGCTTAAATGTCCGTCCCACCCACTACAAGCTGTAAGGGGGTAATTAACTTTCGTGTGCGTTCGGCTGACAGCTATTTAGCATGAACCCCCAGGGAGTTAGGTCGATCTAAAGTAGATCGATCTAATCTCTGGAAATGGGGTCTAGGATCACATGCATAAATGTGTTCACAGACCAGTACTATTGCATTCACCTCTCTCCCTGACTCTCTCTCTCTCTCTCTCTCACTCACACACACACACACACACACACACACACACACTTTGGTAGCAAAATTCCAGCCTGGAGATAATAGAAACAGAAACCTAGTTATCAGTCCTTAACAAGGTTTTCCAACAGATTTACCCTAAAAGCAAGTGACATGCCCACTTCCCTTATCAGGTCTCCATGTTGACACACATGTTTATAATACTAATACAAATACACTTCACTTCATAAGAAGTAACTGAAAACCTGCACCCCTTATATATCAGACTGCTCCGTCTTAGTCTCGGGAGCCTTTTCACATCAGATTTAAATAAAAGCCATTTGCAAACCAGATGGTCAACATGATTTTTACCCTTTGTTGAATATAGTTAGAAGCAGTGGGGATTCCCCTGGAAAAGTCTGTTTGAGTTATTTTGTTGACTAATTAGGAATTAATTCATGTTTAAGTTTGGTCTGGTAGGAACTGGTGCTTAGATCTGGGTGTCTAGACATTTAGGCTTCGTTCACATGCAATGTCTATTTTCTAAATTCTATTTTCTATTTGCGGCATGTCTTATGATCACGGTCTGTGCACTGAATATCCCGCCGCGTAATTACTGGCAGCGCGAGCCAGTTACTATAAGTTACTATAAGTAACTGGCTCGCGCTGCCAGTAATTACGCGGCGGGATATTCAGTGCACAGACCGTGATCATAAGACATGCCGCAAATAGAAAATAGAATTTAGAAAATAGACATTGCATGTGAACGAAGCCTAAATGTCTAGACACCCAGATCTAAGCACCAGTTCCTACCAGACCAAACTTAAACATGAATTAATTCCTAATTAGTCAACAAAATAACTCAAACAGACTTTTCCAGGGGAATCCCCACTGCTTCTAACTATATTCAACAAAGGGTAAAAATCATGTTGACCATCTGGTTTGCAAATGGCTTTTATTTAAATCTGATGTGAAAAGGCTCCCGAGACTAAGACGGAGCAGTCTGATATATAAGGGGTGCAGGTTTTCAGTTACTTCTTATGAAGTGAAGTGTATTTGTATTAGTATTATAAACATGTGTGTCAACATGGAGACCTGATAAGGGAAGTGGGCATGTCACTTGCTTTTAGGGTAAATCTGTTGGAAAACCTTGTTAAGGACTGATAACTAGGTTTCTGTTTCTATTATCTCCAGGCTGGAATTTTGCTACCAAAGTGTGTGTGTGTGTGTGTGTGTGTGTGTGTGTGAGTGAGAGAGAGAGAGAGAGAGAGTCAGGGAGAGAGGTGAATGCAATAGTACTGGTCTGTGAACACATTTATGCATGTGATCCTAGACCCCATTTCCAGAGATTAGATCGATCTACTTTAGATCGACCTAACTCCCTGGGGGTTCATGCTAAATAGCTGTCAGCCGAACGCACACGAAAGTTAATTACCCCCTTACAGCTTGTAGTGGGTGGGACGGACATTTAAGCCGGATTATCTGACAGTAATCTAGTGAGACTCCCCGCGGGGATAGATCGATCTAAAAGCTCTGGGAATACAGCCCTAAATACAAGACTATGTGAGGATGCATGCATGATCCTGTATGTGTGTGCTCTGACACTATGTCCACAAAAATATCCTTTAATATATATCTGCCTGTTCAAAATTGTTCATNCTGTCAAAGTAGCTTTATCATTTATTTTTAGATAACACCATCAGAACAATTGTAGCTAAGATTTAAGTTATTTGCACTCCAATATTTTTTGTTTCTATAAAATTAAGTTATAACAACCCATCCTGTTTACAATAAAATTAATGTAATATTTTCTTCAAACAAGAGCAAAACTCAGTATAAGAGTTCTCTACACTCCCAATATATCAGTGTCTTGCAAGACATCCCTAGGAAAGTAAAAAAAAAGGGGGGAAATGTAGAAAAAAATTATTACTGCATTGTAAGTGCAAATAGGAGCTAAGAAATTCTTTGCTATATCAACTCTGATTTTTGCTGTTATTTTGAAGAAACTATTATGACTTGGTGTATATCACAGCTGATGAAATTCCACACCAGGGTAAGTGAGACTCAGAACAGCATTCAGCAGGCTGATCATTTTTACACCTTGTAATGTTGTACCTGCATGGTGGTTTTACTGACTTATATGTGTGTTTTGTATTGCACCGTGTTCCCTCGTTTAGGTTTGCATGAGTTTGATAGCATGCGAAATCCAGAGGTGACAGACTTCAGACAGAACATGCGTCGAAAGGCAGAAGAAATTGCTCAAGAGAGGAAAAAAATGGTAAAAATGGTTTGATTTTCTGTAATATGCTTTTTATCTTGGTTTATGTGGTCAAAGTATTGCTTCACATTGAATACACTAGGAGATTTTTCTTGAGATATGTTGTTGGATTATTATAGTGCAGTTGCGTGGCAACATAACTTCAACTTGCCAGTGTGGGAAAGTCATTGTAAGTGTCAATTTGTGTAGATAATGTACTTACTAGTACAGGAGGAATGGTTCAATTTGTGCCTTTGAAAAGTTGTTCATTTCTTTACTATTGTGATCACATGGCCCCTGATTTCACACATGATTTCAGCTTGGACTTTGATAAATCTGGCTCCAAACTAGGTGGTTGAAATCTGATAAAGCTTTTGCATATCACGTTGTCATATCACACTGATCAGTTTAGTGAAGGGCTACCAGATATATTCATTTTCAGGCAAATAGAATAAAAATTATGTATATTGTGTAGTTATTTTTGTGAAAATCTGATTTTATGACCCCTGTTAACATTTTTGAGATAAATGACCTGTTACAACTTCAATTCTGATTGGTCTATCTCCAAATCACTATTAAATGGGCTAATATTNTTAATTAATTAATTAATTAATTAATTAATTAATTAATTAATTAATAACTTTCTCCTGTAATGGTCTATAATTGCCTTTGATATTTCAGACACTGTTAGAAAAGGCCAAGTACCTGTATCCCCCAAACCTGGACAACAACCCGACCCTCCCCGTCTACCTGGCCGAGAAGTTGAAGAGTAACCAGCTCATGGTGGCAGTCACTATTGAGAGTGGGACTGAGGTGAAGGACGTGGGCTTGTGCTGACATGTACAAACACATGCACATGTGCACTCACATGCACACATACTACAGAAAATCGGAGGGAGGCAATCTCCATGGGCATGCACACTAAAACACACATGCACACACTGCCGAAAATGGGATGGGGTTGAAGTTCCTCTGGCATACTCAAATAAAAGACATACCCACTTAAGAAATATGAAACTACATGATCATTTCAGATAACAGTGATTTCTTAGAAGCAACAATGTTCAAAATTTACCATTATTATAGTCAGTTTTATTATATTAAAAATGATCATAACAAAGTAAAAAAAAAAGCCTTGGTAAGTTTTAAGATTTATTCTAAAAAAAGACTTTTTTTCCATTCCAGGACATTCAACAAATGACCAAAAACTTCAGAATTCCACAGGAAGCCCATCCCAAAGAACTTATCATGTTGGTTCTGCAAAAGTTATCCAGCACCCTTGGGCAGGCTCTTGGGGACCCCACTAAATTTATCCTCAAAGCCAGGGGCAGGGAGGAGTATCTGCTGGATACAGGGTGTAATACTATCACACAATACAAGGTCAGTGGCCAATCAGGATTGGCAATGCAAATGTATTGACCAATCAGAATGCATAATGCAGATCTGAATAGGTAAAAATGGATATGTTGGACTATATTGTAAAGATCAAACATAGTATAAGATTAAATGCAGTGCATAATGATATCCAATCAAATGATTTATGTTTCATGGGGTAACTTTTGCAGTACTAGACTGGGCTCTTTTTTTGTCCAAAAATAAATTCATATTTTGATCTATGATCCCAATTATTATTCATAAATTTTTTTGATTTGTTTATAATCCAATGTATACATGTCTTAAGGCCCTCTTGATGTGGAACATTTGTAAATGATAATTTGTATTGATAAGATGTGCCAGCAAGGAGAAATCTTATGAAATTGTTCATTTGTGACTTTTTTATTTGAAATTATTATCTTTTAAAAGTGATTTTTTTCCAGTACATAAGAGAGATGATAAGTCAAGGAAAAATCCCACACCTGTTGATGACTTTGAAGAGCAGGGTCCCAGGTAGTATATTATAATATATGTAATATTATGACATAACACGACATAATATGACAAAAGAAAATATTATTTAAATATATAGTTCAATGGTCACAATACTTTGAAAACTACATTTACTTCTAATAAATTACCCAAATAATATTGTTAAAAATTAGGTTATCAGGCAATAAATTGTAATTGGTAAATTTATTGTTGAGTTAGTGAGTAATAATATTCCTTTGATATTAAAGGTTTAGAAGATGCGGTGTCCGAAAATGGCATCAGCAATTCCTGTCCATCCCCTGTTCCTCCTCCGAGGCCACCAAAACCCAAAAGGGGCAACACGCCCTCTCACTCGCCTAAGAAACCATTGAAAGTGAACGTCCCTTCCCCGCTGCGGACGGACAGGCGGAAGACACTGGGGGGAGTGACAAGTATATGGACAATCAATGAGACATTCTCGATCACTGTGAACGCTATTAGGAATGTGAATTGTAATGATGACTCCAAGGTGAGAAGCTATTATAGAGCTCATCAGTGTTAACTTTGGACAGTTCAACGTGTTAGGCAGACAAAATTAGTTGCCAGATATTGAATGGGCTTGGGTTTCACAGCACACACACACACACACACACACACACACACACACACACACACACTTTTCAAATAATTTACCAGTTTTTCACCAATTTTGGTATTATTTATTGACATGTTTTCCTGAAGCCATTCTCATGCCAGCCATTCTAACACCTTTCAGATTCACGTACGGGCGGGACTCTTCCACGGCCATGACATCATGGGAGACATCAAGGACACAGATTTCGCCAGGCTGGAGGATAAAAAGGCAACGTGGAACCAGACACTCGATTTTGGAATCAGCGCGAGGGACGTGCCACGCATGTCCAGACTCTGCTTCTCGCTGCTCGTTATTCACGGGGGCAAAAAAGGAAAGGGGAAGGAAAAAAGATTGGTGAGTTTGCGTTAGGTTTTACTGTTGAAGGAAATAAATAAATAAAAAGATTGGAAAACAATGAGACAAAAGAAGGAGAGTTAGCAAAATGAGACTTAAGGCCCATTCCCAATGTAACTATTGTTCTTTGGAGATCCATCCAACTCTGCGGGGACTCTTGGTGAATGCAATCAGTTTAACAGATGAACACTCCTCCTCCTGGTGTTGAGTTCAATACAGAAATGCTGGTGTTTATACGAGTACGTTGGATACAAGAGGAGGCGTGTTTATCTGATAAACTGACTGCATTAAGCAAGAGTCCCCACCGAGTTTGATTGATCAGTGCGGAACAATAGTTTCATTTGGAATAATCCCTAAGAAAAGGGAATCAGGGTGTGGCTCAGATACCTATCTGCCTATTTAAGTATATTTTTGCTTTGATGAGCACTTAATAGTTGTTTATTAAATGATTTATCTTCTATTTATTGAGGGGATTCTGGCCAGATTGCTATCAACTTCAGCTGATTAGATGTCTGTCATGCCTCCTGAAGCTGCTAGTATGTAATTAATTATCATTTAGCAGCCTCATTAGGCATGCCAGACATCTAAGCCTCTTTAGCTGAAAGCAATTTAGCGAGAAACCCCTGGGAGATGGATCGCTCCTGTTAGATCGATGTAGGTATGTGAACCCAGTGATATTTGGTATCCTAGGCCCCAAATGCAGTACCACTGGCCTGGGTGAATATCATGGTGTTTGACTACAAGGACATGCTTCAACAGGGACCCAAGCAGCTTCATCTCTGGCCTCTCAAAGATGACATTACCACAGAACACAGTTTACACCATATAGGTGAGTGGGAACTGGGTCACACTGACCCAGATATGAATTGGGTCATTTTGACCTGGTAATTGTTTCATCTTTTACATATCAGGATAGAAACTGACATGGAACACAACTTAGTATAAACGTAATTAGAAACTGGGTCAAACTGTCAGAGAAGATCCATGTGGTTGACTAGGTTGACATTGTTTCTCAGGAATGAAATTATCACTCATGTTAGGTTGACTTAGTTATGAAGAGGATCAGGTAGCTGGAAATTGAATCTTATCAGCAAAGCACAACTTACAATTTATGAAGAAAGGCTTTTTATGTCAAACATTGAATTTGTTGTATTTGAAGATGTTTGTTTTGGTAATGATAGCAATGAGATATTTTCTATTTTTCTATTACAGAAAAAATGCAGTGATTCTAGTGATTTTTTTTTTTTTTTTTTGCATATTTGTGGTTTTTAAGATAATATCATGATTTACTTGTATAATTAAGACAGTATTGTCTGTTTTTCCAGGCACTGTTGTGTCGAACCCAAATGAAGAAAGTGCCCCGGAGCTTCTAGTCACATTCCACAACTTTGGCTGCAGTGATCCTGTGGTGTTTCCTCCTATAGCTACTGTGAGTATGCTAAGTAGTGTTGGAGATGTGCCTGTGTGTGTGTGTGTGTGTGTGTGTGTGTGTGTGTGTGTGTGTGTGTGTGTGTGTGTGTGTGTGTGTGTGTGTGTGTGTGTGTGTGTGTGTGTGTGTGTGTGAGAGAGAGAGAGAGAGGAGAATGCTTTCATGTACAGCCTTTACATTTATATAAGAACACCCAATGCTTGATATTTTCCTAGGTTTTAGAGTTTGCCCACAGACATGAAGAACGGGAGGAGGATGGACAGCCTATATATTCTATGGTAAGGAAAAGAAGTGTCACAGAGAGATCAATTGTGAAAAATAAGATACAAAATGTTGGGTCTGTCAATCCTTACACTGTCAATCCAACGTTTTTTAATTCAATTCTAAGGTGGTTAGGTGTTGGGTCCCATGATAAATGTTCAGTTTTCTTTTTTGTTTTGTTTTTTTTCAACCGAAACTTATGTCTAAATTTATCTGTCTCCACTGGTCTTAAATTTCATGATTTTTTTTTTTTTTGTATTTGTTCCTGCCCTGTTCCAACCGACTCCAATTTTGTGAATATTTTTATTCTCTAGCCTGATGCCAGCAATAGCACGCTGCAGGACCTAGAGAACATGTTATATAAGGATCCCTTCCAGCAGCTCCATGAGCAAGAGAAGGAAACAGTGTGGAACCTGAGGGAGGAATGCAAGAAACATTTCCCAGAATGCCTCCCCAAGCTCCTCAGCTGCGTCACATGGGACTCGCATGAAAAAGTTGCTGTGGTATGTGGTGTTGGATTGGTCTTGTCTTGAGTGAAATGTTAAGTCAAGTCAGTTTATTTTTCAAATATGTAAAAGCAAAGCATCAGATAATATGTGGAGACATTGCAGTGCAGCGTGCTTAATTAAGATGACTGACAGTCTAAATTTACTTCTGGTGAAAAATAGTTTTGTTTTAATGTAATTTTTTTTTAATTTTGTTTTTTATTTAGATGCAGGCCTTGCTGTCCAACTGGCCCAAGATTCTCCAGGAACACGCTCTAGAGCTGCTGGACTGCTCTTATGCCAGCAAGGCAGTCAGGAAGTTTGCTGTGGAGTGCCTCAAGGATATGAGGTTTGGATACTCTCTCTCTCTCTCTCTCTCTCTCTCTCTCTCTCTCTCTCTCTCTCTCTCTCTCATCAGTGTCTGATTTTAAATATTGAAAATCTGTAGCCAATAATTACTTACTTAATGGCTATTTTGACTTTTTTTTGACAGTGCAGGGCTGCAGAGCTTAGTTGACAGAATTTGTTCTTTGAAAATGTTCTGCTCTTCCAGTGACACAGATCTGCTGCAGTACCTACTCCAACTGGTGCAAGTGCTGAAGTATGAGGCATACTTAGAGAATGATCTCTCAGAGTTTCTGATGCAAAGAGCACTGGCCAATCAGAAGATTGGGCACTATTTCTTTTGGCTGCTAAGGTAAGAGACAGAGCCAATCAGAAGAGATGGCTCTATTTTTTTCTGGCTGCCAGTGATTCCCAGTGAAGCGATTGGACAAATTTTCTTTTAGTATTCAGTTGCTAATGTAACAGACCCAACCAGCAGACTTCTGGATACTGTTTTCTTAGGGATTATTCCAAATGAAACTATTTTATTTTAGTCAACTTTTTAAGTGCGTATTATATAAATAAAGCATAACATTGTAGAATGCCACTAAGTGTGTTCAGAAAATTTCTATGTGTAGTAAGAAATATGTTAACCCACTGCTCTTTTTCTCCTAGGTCTGAAATGCATGTCCCATCAGTATCAGTGAAGTTTGGAATTCTCCTCGAGGCATACTGTCGTGGGGCCGTACTCCACATGAAGACATTGCAGAGACAGGTGGAGGCATTGGAAAAACTGCGCTCCATAAATATTTTGGTGAAGGGAGAGCAATACAGTGGCAAGGTAGGTCTCAAGCACTGTACACTGTCATTAACAGCTAAGGCAAAGCTGTGTCACATCTGAGATGACACATGAGTCATGTGCACAAATTATACATTCAAATTTTTTATATCTTACCATCTTTTTAGGTGCATAAATTCTATGATTTCTTTTCATTTCAAAATGCTTTAATTGAAAATATTATGGAACATTTCACAGGTCATTTAACTAAAATAATAATTGTACCACCAGCGTNGTGTCAAAGTAGCTTTATCATTTATTTTTAGATAACACCATCAGAACAATTGTAGCTAAGATTTAAGTTGTTTGCACTCCAATATTTTTGTTTCTATAAAATTAAGTTATAACAACCCATCCTGTTTACAATAAAATTAATGTAATATTTTCTTCAAACAAGAGCAAAACTCAGTATAAGAGTTCTCTACACTCCCAATATATCAGTGTCTTGCTAGACATCCCTAGGGAAGTAAAAAAAAAAAAAGGGGGGAAATGTAGAAAAAAATTATTACTGCATTTTTGTAAGTGCAAATAGGAGCTAAGAAATTCTTTGCTATATCAACTCTGATTTTTGCTGTTATTTTGAAGAAACTATTATGACTTAGTGTATATCACAGCTGATGAAATTCCACACCAAGTGAGACTCAGAACAGCATTCAGCAGGCTGATCATTTTTAAATTGTGCACACCTTGTAATGTTGTACCTGCATGGAGGTTTTACTGATTTATATGTGTGTTTTGTATTGCCCCGTGTTCCCTCGTTTAGGTTTGCATGAGTTTGATAGCATGCGAAATCCAGAGGTGACAGACTTCAGACAGAACATGCGTCGAAAGGCAGAAGAAATTGCTCAAGAGAGGAAAAAAATGGTAAAAATGGTTTGATTTTCTGTAATATGCTTTTTATCTTGGTTTATGTGGTCAAAGTATTGCTTCACATTGAATACACTAGGAGATTTTTCTTGAGATATGTTGTTGGATTATTATAGTGCAGTTGCGTGGCAACATAACTTCAACTTGCCAGTGTGGGAAAGTCATTGTAAGTGTCAATTTGTGGAGATAATGTACTTACTAGTACAGGAGGAATGGTTCAATTTGTGCCTTTGAAAAGTTGTTCATTTCTTTACTATTGTGATCACATGGCCCCTGATTTCACACATGATTTCAGCTTGGACTTTGATAAATCTGGCTCCAAACTAGGTGGTTGAAATCTGATAAAGCTTTTGCATATCACGTTGTCATATCACACTGATCAGTTTAGTGAGGGGCTACCAGATATATTCATTTTCAGGCAAATAGAATAAAAATTATGTATATTTTGTAGTTATTTTTGTGAAAATCTGATTTTATGACCCCTGTTAACATTTTTGAGATAAATGACCTGTTACAACCTCAATTCTGATTGGTCTATCTCCAAATCACTATTAAATGGGCTAATATTTATTTATTTATTTATTATTTATTTACTTATTTATTTATTTATATTAAATTATTTATTTATTACTTTATTTCTCCTGTGATGGTCTATAATTGCCTATGATATTTCAGACACTGTTAGAAAAGGCCAAGTACCTGTATCCCCCAAACCTGGACAACAACCCAACCCTCCCCGTCTACCTGGCCGAGAAGTTGAAGAGTAACCAGCTCATGGTGGCGGTCACTATTGAGAGTGGGACTGAGGTGAAGGACGTGGGCTTGTGCTGACATGTACAAACACATGCACATGTGCACTCACATGCACACATACTACAGAAAATCGGAGGGAGGCAATCTCCATGGGCTTGCGCTGACACCAAAAACACACACACATGTACACTAAAACACACATGCACACACTGCCGAAAGTGGGATGGGGTTGAAGTTCCTCTGGCATACTCAAATAAAAGACATACCCACTTAAGAAATATGAAACTACATGATCATTTCAGATAACAGTGATTTCTTAGAAGCAACAATGTTCAAAATTTACCATAATTATAGTCAGTTTAATTATATTAAAAATGATCATAACAAAGTTAAAAAAAGCCTTGGTTAATTTTAAGATTTATTCTAAAAAAAGAATTTTTTCTGCCATTCCAGGACATTCAGCAAATGACCAAAAACTTCAGAATTCCACAGGAAGCCCATCCCAAAGAACTTATCATGTTGGTTCTGCAGAAGTTATCCAGCACCCTTGGGCAGGCTCTTGGGGACCCCACTAAATTTATCCTCAAAGCCAGGGGCAGGGAGGAGTATCTGCTGGATACAGGGTGTAATACTATCACACAATACAAGGTCAGTGGCCAATCAGGATTAGCAATGCAAATGTGTTGACCAATCAGAATGCATAATGCAGATCTGAATAGGAAAAAATGGATATAATATAAAGAATACTGAGTGGAATCAATAATATATGTTGGACTATATTGTAAAGATCAAACATAGTATAAGATTAAATGCAGTGCATAATGATATCCAATCAAATGATTTATGTTTCATGGGGTATCTTTTGCAGTACTAGACTGGGCTCTTTTTTTGTCCAAAAATAAATTCATATTTTGATCTTTGATCCCAATTATTATTCATAAATTTTTTTGATTTATTTATAATCCAATGTATACTTGTCTTAAGGCCCTCTTGATGTGGAACATTTGTAAATGATAATTTGTATTGATAAGATGGGCCAGCAAGGAGAAATCTTATGAAATTGTTCATTTGTGACTTTTTTATTTGAAATTATTATCTTTTAAAAGTGATTTTTTTCTAGTACATAAGAGAGATGATAAGTCAAGGAAAAATCCCACACCTGTTGATGACTTTGAAGAGCAGGGTCCCAGGTAGTATATTATAATATATGTAATATTATGACATAACACGACATGATATGACAAAAGAAAATATTATTTAAATATATAGTTCAATAGTCACAATACTTTGAAAACTACATTTACTTCTAATAAATTACCCAAATAATATTGTTAAAAATTAGGTTATCAGGCAATAAATTGTAATTGGTAAATTTATTGTTGATTTAGTGAGTAATAATATTCCTTTGATATTAAAGGTTTAGAAGATGCGGTGTCGGAAAATGGCATCAGCAATTCCTGTCCATCCCCTGTTCCTCCTCCGAGGCCACCAAAACCCAAAAGGGGCAATACGCCCTCTCACTCGCCTAAGAAACCATTGAAAGTGAACGTCCCTTCCCCGCTGCGGACGGACAGGCGGAAGACACTGGGGGGAGTGACAAGTATATGGACAATCAATGAGACATTCTCGATCACTGTGAACGCTATTAGGAACGTGAATTGTAATGATGACTCCAAGGTGAGAAGCTATTATAGAGCTCATCAGTGTTAACTTGGGACAGTTCAACGTGTTAGGCAGACAAAATTAGTTGCCAGATATTGGATAGGCTTGGGTTTCACAGCATTTCTAAAATAATATGTGGATCACACTCCCTTTCTCCCCATCTCTCTCACACTCACACACACACACACACACACACACACACACACACACACACACACACACACACACTTCAAATAATTTACCAGTTTTTTCACCAATTTTGGTATTATTTATTGACATGTTTTCCTGAAGCCATTCTCATGCCAGCCATTCTAACACCTTTCAGATTCACGTACGGGCGGGACTCTTCCACGGCCATGACATCATGGGAGACATCAAGGACACAGATTTTGCCAGGCTGGAGGATAAAAAAGCAACGTGGAACCAGACGCTTGATTTTGGAATCAGCGCAAGGGACGTGCCGCGCATGTCCAGACTCTGCTTCTCGCTGCTTGTTATTCATGGGGGCAAAAAAGGAAAGGGGAAGGAAAAAAGATTGGTGAGTTTGCGTCATGTTTACTTTTGAAGGGAATCAAGATTGATCTTAATAATCTGAATGTCTTGACAACTGCCAACAAACTTATTTGTCATCCCAGTGTTATCTGGTATCCTAGGCCCCCAATGCTGTGCCACTGGCCTGGGTGAATATCATGGTGTTTGACTACAAGGACATGCTTCAACAGGGACCCAAGCAGCTTCATCTCTGGCCTCTCAAAGATGACATCACCACAGAACACAGTTTACACCATATAGGTAGGTGGAAACTGGGTCACACTGACTCAGATATTAATTGGGTCAGGTTGACCTAGTTAATGGTGCTTTGTTGACATATCAAGATAGAAACTGACACAGAACACAACTTAGTATGCCATATACGTAATTAGAAACTGGGTCAAACTGTCAGAGAAGATCCATGTGGTTGACTAGGTTGACATTGTTTCTCAAGAATGAAATTATCACTCATGTTAGGTTGACTTAGTTATGAAGAGGATCAGGTAGCTGGAAATTGAATCTTATCAGCAAAGCACAACTTAAAATTTATGAAGAAAGGGCTTTTTATGTAATACATTGAATTTGTTGTATTTGAAGATGTTTGTTTTGGTAATGATAGCAATGAGATATTTTCTATTTTTCTATTACAGAAATAATGCAGTGATTCTAGTGTTGTTTTGCATATTTGTGGTTTTTAAGATAATATCATGATTTACTTGTATAATTAAGACAGTATTGTCTGTTTTTCCAGGCACTGTTGTGTCGAACCCAAATGAAGAAAGTGCCCCGGAGCTTCTAGTCACATTCCACAACTTTGGCTGCAGTGATCCTGTGGTGTTTCCTCCTATAGCTACTGTGAGTATGCTAAGTAGTATTGGAGATGTGTGTGCGTGTGTGTGTGTGTGTGAGAGAGAGAGAGAGAGAGACAGAGAATGCTTTCATGTACAGCCTTTACATTTATATAAGAACACCCAGTGCTTGATATTTTCCCAGGTATTAGAGTTTGCCCACAGACATGAAGAACGGGAGGAGGATGGGCAGCCTATATATTCTATGGTAAGGAAAAAAGTCACGGAGAGATCAATTGTGGGGAATAATATACAAAATTTTGGGTCTGTCATTCCTTACACTCTTCACAAAGACATTTATCTGTCTCCACTAGTCTTAAACTTCATGATTTTTTTTTTGTATTTGCTCCCGTACTGTTCTGACGGGTCAAATTTCATAATTTTTTTTATTCTCTAGCCTGATGCCAGCAACAGCACGCTGCAGGACCTAGAGAACATGTTATACAAAGATCCCTTCCAGCAGCTCCATGAGCAAGAGAAGGAAACAGTGTGGAACCTGAGGGAGGAATGCAAGAAACATTTCCCAGAATGCCTTCCCAAACTCCTAAGCTGCGTCACATGGGACTCCCACGAGAAAGTTGCTGTGGTATGTGGTGTTGGACTGGGCTTGTCTTGAGTGAAGTGTCTAGTCAAGTCAGTTTATTTTTCACATATCTTAAAGCAAAGCATTAGATAATATGGGGAGACATTGCAGTGCAGCGTACTAGATTAAGATCAAAATAATTATTATATTTTTGTTTTTATGTAATTTTTTTTTAATTTTGTTTTTTATCTAGATGCAGGCTTTGTTGTCCAACTGGCCCAAGATTCTCCAGGAGCACGCTCTAGAGCTGCTGGACTGCTCTTATGCCAGCAAGGCAGTCAGGAAGTTTGCTGTGGAGTGCCTCAAGGATATGAGGTTTAGATTCTCTCATTCTCTCTCTCTCACTCTCACTCTCTCTCTCTCTCTCTCTCTCTCTCTCTCTCTCATCAGTGTCTGATTTTAAATATTGAAAATCTATAGCCAATAATTACTTACTTAATGGCAATTTTGACTTTTTTTGACAGTGCAGGGCTGCAGAGCTTAGTTGACAGAATTTGTTCTTTGAAAATGTTCTGCTCTTCCAGTGACACAGATCTGCTGCAGTACCTACTCCAACTGGTGCAAGTGCTGAAGTATGAGGCATACTTAGAGAATGATCTCTCAGAGTTTCTGATGCAAAGAGCACTGGCCAATCAGAAGATTGGACACTATTTCTTTTGGCTGCTAAGGTAAGAGACAGAGCCAATCAGAAGAGATGGCTCTATTTTTTTCTGGCTGCCAGTGATTCCCAGTGAAGCGATTGGACAAATTTTCTTTTAGTATTCAGTTGCTAATGTAACAGACCCAACCAGCAGACTTCTGGATACTGTTACTTTTATTTTATTTTAGTCAACTTTTTAAGTGCGTATTATATAAATAAAGCATAACATTGTAGAATGCCACTAAGTGTGTTCAGAAAATTTCTATGTGTAGTAAGAAATATGTAAACCCACTGCTCTTTTTCTCCTAGGTCTGAAATGCATGTCCCATCAGTATCAGTGAAGTTTGGAATTCTCCTCGAGGCATACTGTCGTGGGGCCGTACTCCACATGAAGACATTGCAGAGACAGGTGGAGGCATTGGAAAAACTGCGCTCCATAAATATTTTGGTGAAGGGAGAGCAATACAGTGGCAAGGTAGGTCTCAAGCACTGTACACTGTCATTAACAGCTAAGGCAAAGCTGTGTCACATCTGAGATGACACATGAGTCATGTGCACAAATTAAACATTCAAATTTTTTATATCTTACCATCTTTTTAGGTGCATAAATTCTATGATTTCTTTTCATTTCAAAATGCTTTAATTGAAAATATTATGGAACATTTCACAGGTCATTTAACTAAAATAATAATTATACTTATCTTTTTTCCCCCCAATGTTTCATTCACAGAAGCAGAAAGCCCTCCAGGACATGCATGACGTGCTCCGTCAGAAGGCGTACATGGAAGCACTGTCTGATCTACGGGCGCCATTGGACCCAGCTTGGGGCTGCCACAAACTCAAGTGAGTCTTTTTATCTGTGTGTGTTAACAAATAAGAATGAATCGAGTACTTGTTTTAGATGGTATTGATGAGCTTTTAGCATTTTACAAAAGTTTAAATTTTGGTGTGCTAGAGTTCAGAATCCTAAATTATTGTATAAAATCTCCATAGACAAAGTACACAAAAGATGTGCTATGTAAAGCAGTTCTCTCAAAAAACGAGAAAAACAATCAGATGGAGAATTTTCACATTCATGCCAGCCTCTGCAGTGGAACAAGTGAACTTTTAGTTTGGTCATGTTATTTTATGAAATGACAATTCGTGCCAGTGAAAAAATAAAATTTGCATTTTAGACCCTGAAAATGCAAACCTTCTCTTTTGTAATTAGGATTGAAAAGTGCAAAGTGATGGATTCCAAGATGAAACCATTGTGGCTTGTCTGGGAAAACCAGGACAGCGGTGCAGACAGTAGCGACATCTATATTATGTTCAAGAATGGAGATGGTAAAAAGACTTTTCTGTTTTTTTACGTAAATGCAAGTAAAAATGATAATGATATTAATAAAGATTAAATTTAACTAATCTTCTTAAATAATGTGAAGATAAGTCATCTAGTCGTATTTTACATAAACTTAAGTTTTTAAAATCTTTTACTTGGCTAAAAATTTAGTTTAAACTGGTTGAAGTCTCTGACAGAGAGAGATGCGGAGTGGTCAACTAGATAGTAAGTCCAGTAATAGCTTTTACACACTTTATTGTTTTAGCATCCTTAAAGTCTATTTTAAGTGTTGGACATGTGGGTCATTTTATACAAGTACATGGTAAATAAAAAATTATTGAATATGAAATGATTGCCATTTTCTTTCCAGACCTCCGTCAGGACATGTTAACACTCCAAATTCTGCACCTAATGGATTCCATTTGGCAAGCTGAAGGTTTAGATCTCAGGTGAGGAGAAAATGACCTAGTTTTTTAACTAATTTTTCTTTTGTTTATTAAGATGTATTTTTTTTTTTTTTTTTTTTTTTTGTTACATGAGAAATCAGAGAGAGAGAGATTTTAATTTATATTTCGTTTATTTAATTAAATTTGTTTGCTAGATGAGAAATCAGAGAGAGAGATAGAGAGAGTTACCAGACTGTGATTTCTGTACACATCATCATACTTTTATAATACAAAAAAATTCTAGATTCATTCTGTATGGCAACCACACACACCATTCTGGCATAATAAAACTGGGCATTACAGCAGACATTTTCCACGATCTCTTTTTTAGACTCATTCCGTATGGTTGCATAGCAACAGGCCCCAGTTCTGGCATGATTGAACTGGTGACGGACTCTCAGACCGTGGCTAATATACAGAAACAGTATGCCAGCTTGGCACTCAAATCAGCATTCAACAAAGAAAGTCTCTACTTGTGGCTCAAGGAAAATAATACAAAGGCGAGGTGAGCAGGAGTTTGACTGCGGACTTCTCAGACTTAAAGCTAATTCACATTAGGGCACTTTTTGGATAAAAAAATCAGTCACACCTGTATCAGAAGACTTATAAATTATTCTGAGTTTCCTTTGTGCTTTAGCAGCCCAATAATCTGCTAATGCAGAACACAACAGTTTTTCAGGCAAAATTAAAAGTGGAATGCAGGTTTGATTGTTATTTGTGCTCTGTTATTTCAGCTTGGAAAGTGCAATAGAAGAGTTTACCCTGTCTTGTGCAGGCTACTGTGTCGCCACCTATGTTTTAGGAATAGGTGATCGTCATAGCGATAATATTATGATCAAAAGGACAGGGCAGGTATGGAAGTTTTAATTTTCAGAATGAAGATATATTTTCTACCTTTCATGGTATTCCCTAGGATGTAATTCATAAAACTAAATAAGTCCCTATTCACAGGCTTATTTGTAGAAGTGATTTGAGTACATGAGTAAGACATTTTTTTTTCTTAATCAGTTCATAATACTTAACAAAAATTTTAACCATTTGAAGTTATTATATGCATCACGCACCCAAATCTTCTGCTTCTCTCATACTTTCAAGTTGATAGTGTTATAAAAACTTAACTGATTTGATTTGAAGTTGGTCAGGAGTATTTATTTCATTTTTCTTTATGTCGCGTTTCAGCTTTTCCACATAGATTTTGGACACTTCTTGGGCAACTTCAAGAGCAAATTTGGAATCAAAAGAGAGCGTGTGCCATTCGTTCTTACCAATGACTTTGTTCATGTGATCAACAAAAGCCCACATGAGGACTCCTTCAAAAGGTACCATCTTTTTTGTTGTGAGAAAAACTTAAGTCATCTTAATGATTCCTTTAAGGCAGCATTCACAACAGTGGACTAATTAGTCCCCAGATGAAATGTGGCCAACGGTCTTGAATCTTTGTTGCCTAATCCCAGCGGGGTATCTGTTCAGTGTCTCTTAGGGGATTAGACAGCAAGCTTTTAGGTGGGATGCAGTGTTAGAAATTAAGGCTGGACCGTCTGCCTGGGGCAGACAACTTTCAGAATGGGCAGAGAAGTTTTCCCACCCGGCAGGCATTCTAGCCAGCTAATTTTCAAGATGGCTGAGCTTTTGGTCCAGCAACTTATTTTCCTAGGAGGCAAACACTGGTGGGTTGCCATATTTGATTTGACGTTGTTGGTAATCCAGTGTTGTGAACGCAGCTTAAAAGAGAATGTTCCCAAGATCATTTGGAAAACACAAAATTCAGTAAAGACTGTTGTGTGTTAAGGTGGGTGATTAAACACTGCCCACCCACCCACCCCACCCCTCCTCACCCTCCAACCTGTCAAATATTTATTTACGTTTTCATTTAACAGGTTCAGAAAGTGCTGTGAACGTGCCTTCATGTGCCTTCGCAAGAAAGGCAACCTTCTAGTGACGCTCTTCACCATGATGCTGTCTACGGGACTTCCAGAACTCACATGCATGAAGGACATTAGTTACTTGAACGACACGCTCGTGCTTAACTACTCCGAGGACGAGGCCTTGAAACACTTCCGCAGCAAATTTGACGAAGCTCTGAAGAACAGTTGGAAAACAAGCTTAAACTGGGCTGCACATAACATGGCAAAGGATAATACATAAAAGAAGCGGGCAACTTTCTAGCATGGATAGAAAAACAGTGCAGCTCTCTAGAATGGATAGAACAGAGCAGCTCTCTAGAATGGATAGAAAAAGTGCAGCTTTCTCGATGAGTTTATAGTGCAGGAATTTAGGACTGGAAGATACACTTTCATCTGATAGCACTCTTTATATTGTGGCTTTTTATATATGTTTTTAACTTCATCCTGGTGAGTTTGCCTTCATAAAGGTGGACATATTTTGTTTTTATTTAATGTTAGTGGGCAAACTGGCTTGTGTGAATGTTTCACTGTGGCAGTCTGAATTTAAAGAATAATATCCCTTCTTGTATGCACAAATCAAGCTATGCACAAGGCAATGCAAAAGTCCAACGTGGATTTTTTTAAACCCAAGATGTTTTATTTCACCGGGCAGCAGTTGCCTGTGAAGCCATGCATGCTATGAATTATGCATGGGCAAAATATGCCTTTATTTTAAGAGAAATATCATAATTATTATCAGAGCTGCCAAGTAGTTTTCTTCTGGGGATCCGTTGTGGTTACCATGTGTGATACTTGACAGTCCACAATATCAGTGTTATATACGGCAATGGCTTTGAATTGAGTGACTTTGGGGTTTTAGATTTTGATCATCCTTTGGGATAGAAGAGATCATGATTCACTGTTGTTGATTTCTATTAGTGTAGATAACTGCTCACAGAATGAAGGATATCATAGTAAAAATCTGCACCCAGTTTGTATACATTTTATCGTATTTATTGCAGCTCTTAGAGTGAAGGATTTTAATGGCCAAAGAATGGCAAATGTAATTAGATGGAGAAGAAATTATTTTTATTCTATGTTCAGAGTACTCTGAGTTATAGAGTGCGGTTGATGACATCTGTATGTATATGCAGAGAATATATATGTATACCATGTTCAACATCATCTTTTATCACCCTGAGTTTTAACATAGTTACGGTTATATTCCACACCAAGCAATCCCTCTTTCACACTTCCAAATCTTGAATTTCTGAGCACTGATGATAATTTTATTGTATCCTATGTGTGTGTTTTGAAATAATGACCGAGTTCTGAAAGAGCACTGCTTGTTGAAAGAAAAAGGGATAATCAAACAACTAAGGAACTCGGGGTCACATGTCATCCCATTAAAAAAACAGCAGAGTTTATTCATTTTGATATGAAAAAGAGATACATTTCCGATGTTATAGGATATACAAATTTTATTCTGTTTACTCCATGTTGGTAGGTTTGGAGCTGGTCATTCAGAGTTAGTTGGCTGTTGATATTTTATTGCTCTTTGTGTAACGCAGCTGCAGACTGCTCACGTGAAGTGAACACCCTAACAGCATTTTGTGAAAATAATAATTGGAAGTTAAGTTTTAAGTCCATTTGGTGAACAGATTGATAAGGATAGAAGTAGCGGCGTAATGAAAGCGTAATGAAAGCGATATTAGGGCTGTTTCAGGAAGGCATCTTTTGCTTATTTCTGACCGTTGCTGGATTTTTGCAATGAGACAAAGCAAAATTTGCAACCAGTATGGCAAATTATCAGCTAAATGTAGTTTTCAGAAACAATTTTTTCAGCCACTCATTTTTCTCAGACCCTTAAACATTTTTTTCAAAGAAGAAGCCATTATATTGAATAATTGAACACACATTGCCATGTAGTGTTTTATTCTATAGGCTCTGCATAAAAACATTCCTTTTAAAAAGTTACAATAAGAAATTTGTGATGATCAAAGTTTTTAACTTCTTATCCATCATATTCCATGTAGTTTTATTACCAGTGTGATGAAATCCATCAAGTTAAGCTGATGTTATTTCAGTGTAAAAATTTTTTCACTGTTTTAGTAGAATGTCATGTCTAAAGGTGTTTGATTTTCATATATGTTATCGGACACTATGCAAGTAGTTATATAGTAAGAGAAGAATAAATGTAAAATTTTATATATTTGCCTTTTGTTATCATTTTAAAATGGTTGGGCCATTTTTGGTAATAATTAAAATTACAATAATAATGATAATAATAATAATCACGCCTCTGCCTACGAGGGCACGAGACATTTCGGCAAACACTGACACTGGCTTTTCTTGGCTAATTGTTTAATCGATGGAAGTTTGGTGCTGTCTAATCGGTTTGTTTTGGAAAACGCAAGTGGAGTTTGTGATTACGTGTTGTAATTTTTGTAGCAAAATCATAGATTTAATCAACATGGTGTTTTAAAGTTATACTGAATTTCATTTTTCAAACTACTTGCATACTGGTGTCAACTTATTCTATGGCAGACTTTTAAATGGAGAAATTCATTTTGAAGTATCAATTAACATTTTGACATTTCCTTGATTCTTGAAAAAAAAGGTTAAAATGGTATTGGCAAGTTTATAAACAGTGGTCATTGTCAACTGCAACGTGAGTTATATTAACATTTAAAACGTATAAGAACTTAACATGGGAAATGGCCAGTCGACCAGGGGACGCAGGAATAGGAACAGGCAGGACTTGAACGGCCCCCCAGACCCTGTGAGAAATGGAACGAGACGACGACGACGAGGTGAGGCCCGACTTAATGGTGACTGACACTAATAATAGGGTCTTCGACTCTCTCTCTCTCTCTCATGCACACACACACATATGACCATTTTCATGTAGTGAGGATTATTCATAATTGAATTTGCCATAAACTTGAAATTTCTCTAACAATTTATCTAAAAATAAGAAAATGATATGTATAAAAAATTTCTTGCCAACAGCTGCTCAGGACGACCCCTTGATGCCACAACCAGCCATCCCAGAGGAGCAGGAATCAGTGTCCTCAGTGGGAGGTCCGTCCTGTCACTCTGTGCTACGTAACAGACATCGTCCCAGCACTGATTCCAGGTTGTCAGCAATAGCAGGAGCAATGCCTGATTACCGCCAGTCAGATGGTAAGGTTGAACATTGGGGTGGGATCTCGCTATGCACCAAAGTCACCCAAAATGACTCTCTAATATTGTTTTAAACATCAAATAACTTTATATTTCAATTCTGCATCCCAAATTTCATTTTTTTTCTTGAACTTCATAAAATGATTGTCTTCAGATCAAGATCTGTAGAGGAGAAATATGTTTTGCAGCTCAGACGAAAGTGAACATCCATTTTGCAACATGACAACCCACTTCCTAACTCAGGAGCTGCACACACATACACACACACACACATACACACACACACACACACACACCCATTCGACATGATAACTAAGCTATCTCTATCATCCTTTCAGACAAATTTGCAGAATTGCCCCACGATTCAAGTTCCAAATGTTGGTGTCTAAGATGGTAAGATACTAATTATTATTAATTATTATTAATTAATTTTTTTTTTCATACAGACAGTTTGAGGTCATGGTTACCTTCTGTCACCCAGCTTCACCATGAAGTTTTAGCCTCCCTCCAAAATGACGAGAATGAGGTCATTGAGCAGGCCATGCTGAACAGCTACAATCAGCACACTCAGGCCAGTATGGCAGCAAATCCCAATGTGGCAGCAAATTCCAATATTGCAGCAAATTCCAATATGGCCTCTCTGACAGCAAATTCTGGCATGGGACCCAGTGCAAGACAAGAAGAGAATGGCACAGGAAATCTTGAAAATCAGTCACAGAGGACGCAGCAAAGTATGTTGAAGTGGGTTAAATAGAAAATGAACAACATTAATTAACTGGCACAGCTTTCAAAAATTATGAAGCAATCTTTGCTTGAAATTTGTTATATGTAGTAGTTCTGTTTATTTATATTTGTTGTTGTTTTTCATTTTTTTAATGATTACTTGAATTATTATTTAGGTGCCTTAAGGAGGAGTCTCAGTGCAGTTGCATCAGACCTATGGGTCCCTTTCTCTCCTGAATCATTTGGTACAGGTAATAACTTTGATATGTTAACCTAATGTGGAAAGGTGGAGTGAAAAACTACTGAAAAATAAATAGTTTGGCTTAAGAGAAAAATATTATTATTACTGAAATATAATTGTTGTGGCTTTTTTATTCTTATTATTTTAATTTATTTTAATTTTTTTTCATTATATATATGTGACAAGAATTGTTTTTACGTTTAGATATTATCACTTTTGTGTTAATTTGTCTGAAATATTTTACATTACCCTTTTCACAGGCTGGGATTTGGTGCTTGTTATTATGTGGGGTGTGTTCATCCTCCCAATATTGGCTGTATACTGGCTGATAAAAATCTCCTATCAAGAGTGGAACCAAACTGGGAGAAGACCTGTGCAAACAAGAACGGGGTCAAGGTCAAGGTCACAATCCAACCCAGGGTCAAGGTCACATTCAAATAATAGACGATGTCTTAGCAGGTCAAATGCAAACAGACCCACAAGTTAATGTTTTAACCAAGATTTGTGCATAAAATAAAGCTGTCACAACTCTTCTCTGAATGTGTTGGAAGATGCAGTGTGTATGTTGGTCATAAGTAAAATTTATGCTATAATCTCCACTTAAATGGTTCTATATCTTCCTTAAATATTTTCTCAGATAGATAAAAATATGGTGAATTTGGATGTCATATCTTATGTGTTTACCTGTAAAAAATTTTGAATATACAGCTGAGTATATGGTTGACCTGCAACAGTTTCATTTTAGGCAAACAGCATATAATGTACTCTGATCTAGGATATTGCTACTAAAGTACTTGTAACTACTGTACATTTACTGGGTAGCATGTAATGGTGGGGGTAGCTGCTCCCTGAGCTACAGAGATAACTTGAAACGAACCTCTACATTATAGAATATCCTTGTTGTTTCCAGTAACTGGATGTTTGTTTCAATTTAACTCTGAAGCTAAGGGTGAGGCAGCGGGCACAAGGATAACAGATTAATGTCAAGCTAGTATACTGTACAATACTAGTAGCTAGATGAGGCAAATATAAAACAGTAAGGCAAACGGCATAAATTATCATACTGTATGCTATTATAGACATGTACACATATAGCTGTTGAGGGTTACATGTGTAGAAATTGGACTAATTAAGTGTACATTAATTTGTTAATTACATACAGGTACACGTACTGTACTGTACATGTACTGTGGTGTAGGGATGCCAGTTGACTTTTTTGAATGGCAGATTCCAAAGATATTTGTCTCAAGTTAAAAATTGTAACTTAACTTTTTATGACTTAAAATTTAACTTTTACTGAATGACTCACCTGTTACTGGTAATATTTGCAACATATTGTTTGTTACTTGTTTTCGCAAGCCTTGCACAATGGTTTATGATAGATTTTAAGCTGCAGTGATTATCTTTAGCTGCAGTGTGTGATAAAGATTCCTTGATAACCAGAAAAATATTTTTAAACAATATTTTTATTTGTTGACATGTTACCTTTATCATAATTATTAACATTACTACCATTATTATTTTTTTATTATCACTATTATTAAAATATGAATTTCCCAAATCTTTGTTTGTTTGATTGTTTTAAAAATTTTGTAGAGTACTTTACTTTTAAGAAAAGGACATACGCGTGTGAAAATATTGTTATTATTCAAATATAATATATGCAGAATAAACAAACAAGAAAAAAGACTGAACCACAGACAAATATTCCCTCATCAAATTGGCATTTGATTGTTTTGTTAAGTCTTCCACGATAGGTCATGTCAACGCGATTCCCTCAGGTGCGCCCAATCACAAAATGTCTCACAAATTCTCTGACCTCTCGCGAGATTTCTGCATCGCGGGATTTTCGCAAGTGCTCTTGAGTTCAACTTGTGCTTTTGATCTGGAATATTGAAAAACTATCAACTTCAGCAAGACGCTGATTAAAACTGACATGCCACCCAAAAAGAGAAAATCGGAAGGCGAAAATGGAGCCGCCGCAAAGCGGGGTCGAAAGAAGAAGACGGCGGCACAAAAAGGCGACGATTTTTCAGACTCGGACAAAGAGCCGGCTGATATAGACCACGAAGATGACGATCTCAACCTTTCGACGGACGGCGGATATTCCGAAGTCGTACGTTGTCTTTTACTAATGGATTGATAAATATTTAACTTAATTTTGGAGAATGGGATATATGGTCTATGTGTGTTTGTTATCTGTGGTGTGGAAAGCATAATTTCGTTTGTTTTCTTAATCAGGTCATGCTTGTTTTTGTTGTTGGACAACAATGGGCCAAACAAAAGACCGACGAATGATTGAATGAATAAATGAATGAATGAATCAGGGTTTCATACATAAATTTACCAATTCAGGAACCACCGGGTATTATTATTAAGACTCGGATATCCTTTTACCAATATTAATGAGATGTCGCCAGTCAGGAAAAAAAGAATAATTTGTTTGAGTACCTAATTATGTATTAATATACCTCAACATATGCCATATATACCTCAATCATTTGTATTGAAATCCCAGCTCTGAGGGCCAGTGTGTGTATTATGAATTAATTCTAATAATTTGTCACTATAATCCCTTGAAGTAAAAAAGTAACGCAGCAGGTTTTATTTTTTCAGAGGATCGAAGGCTCTCAGGTAAGCGGAGAACTGCTGTTTTGTGGCGGAACAAACTGGGACCTCATTGGACGCAACCAAGTTCCCAAAGGAGGTATATATATTTTGGCATTTGTTAACTGCTGATCAAATGTTTAGGGATAATTTTTCTTTTTTTTTTTCACAGTTTCTGAAGCAAAGAAATAAATTAATATTTCAGTCTGTACCAAAAACTTGTCAAAGCACCCATCCACTGGACCAAAGTAAAAACAAAGTTAATTAACAACTTTTTATTAACAATGGCATGAGACCAGTGTTGATACCTTTGACTGATCTGTGATGATTATTTTTTATTTAGATTTAACATAATAAAGAAAAAAAGTAAGCTTATTGGCTGTTACCCAAATTGCTGCATTAAAACCTGTTGTTAGCCTAACTTCACGTAATTTTTTTTTTAGTCAAGAATCTTGGTGGACCAAACTTATGGGGACCTCACAGGATAGAAGGCTGGTCTGATATCAAGGTCCGGACTGTTGCATCAGGGTGCACGGCTTGCCACAGTATCATTATAACTACAGAAGGAAAAGCCTACAGCTTTGGTGAGTTTAGTCCTGGATAGAAATTAAAGTCGTTTCTTGGGAAAGGCCTACAGCTTTGGTTAGTTAAATCCTTGTTAGTGAAATAAAAATGAGATGAGTCTTTGGTAGATGGAAAAATCAGTACGGAAATTGGATTCATCTCTGTATGGCAAAACGTTATGAAAATAAGTGGATGGAAAAGTCTAGTTTTGTTGGGCTCAATCCTAGTTAGAAAAAATTAAGGGAAGTGCATTGAATTCTGGTTACAGTTGCATTATAATAAACACTGTTGTCCATGTACAGGTCGCAATGACAAAGGTCAGCTAGGTCATGGCGACACAAAGAGAAGAGACCTCCCCACACTCATCGAATTCCTCAAGGACTTTAACATAGTGGATGCAGCTCTAGGAAAGAACCATAGTTTATGTCTCTCTGACAGGGGGACTGTGTTTGCCTTTGGAGAGAATAAAATGGGCCAACTTGGGCTGAATAATCAGACACAGTGCGTGCCAACACCAACAAGGGTAAATGAGTTCCCCAGTCTTCTTCTGTTCAAAGTTTTATATCTTATGCTCACAACTAAAAATAGTGAAAGATTTTTTCCAAGACCTTTTGGCTATTGCCCATAGCCTTGACCACTTTAAAACATGATAATGATGACATAATTTTGTGAAGAAAGTTTTTCAGTGTCAGCAAAGATTACAATTGTAACATAATGAATGAATCTGACACTCTATGACAGTATGATGGATTTTTGAGATTAATAATATTTAATAGAATACATTTATATGAAATTTAAAAAAAAACCTGTTTCACAATCATTTCTGGTTTTCAGATTAAATACAAAGGTCCCCCAATTCGCAGAGTGGCGTGTGGTGGAGAGTTCAGCATGATAGCAGACATTAGGGGGAATCTGTACTCATTTGGGAGCCCAGAGTGTGGACAGCTTGGTAAGGAGAAGTGTGTGTGTGCGTGCATGTGTGAGAAAGTGTATGGGTGAGAGAGAGTGTGTAGTAGAAAGAAAGCAAGAGAGAGAGATGGAGGGAGTGTGTGTAGGAGAGACAGTTTGTCATATTGTATTTGTGGTTTTTATTCATTTGTTCTGAAAATTATTTGTTTATCTATTTATTGCACTCTTAATAGGGAATACAGATATTGTTCAAGATAATAATGCTGAGGCAGATTTTATTTTAAACTGTAAAAGGAAGCATAATGCTTTTAATTTGTTCTCTGACCAAATTTTACATTATTTTTCAGGCCATAACACAGATGGTCAGTATTTCGTAACCAGCAGTAAACTGGCCTACGCCTGTGAGATAAGGCCACGAAAGGTTGCCGTGTTCATTGAGAAGTCACGGGAGGGCGTACAACCAGTAAATGATGTAGATGTACAGGACATTGCATGTGGGATCAACCATACTGTAAGTTTTTTTTTTTTTTTTTTCTAAATCAAATAAATAAACATATTGGTACTAGTAGTATTTGGCTTTTCAGAGCAGTGTCTTTGTCACTTTAGGACAAAAACATCCTTCTCTTAAGTTTATAGTGAAAATTTCACTTAAAAAATCTTCATCATGAGTGGTCCGCTTAAAAGTTAAATTTGGAATAAAATCTATTCTAGGTTATTTTGGATTCCAAGAACCGTGTATTTTCTTGGGGGTTTGGCGGCTATGGGCGTCTTGGTCACACAGAGCCAAAGGACGAGTTGGTCCCCAGGTTGATCAAATTCTTTGATGGACCAAAGCGAGGTGCAAAGGTCATTGCTGCAGGGACTTGTTATTCTATGGCAATCAGTGAACTAGGTAAGCTGGGGAAAGGCAGGGGTGGCGCTAGCAATTTTTTTCGTTTAGCCAGATTACTACTACTACATCGCTTTTTTTGTTCAAATGGTTTAAATTTGACTATAATATGTTGATAATAAGATAAAATGAAGATATATAGTGATATGTATTGAATTGCGTACTCCCTCATAATTTCAGGACAGCTATACCTGTGGGGGCAGACCAAGTCCACGGGGGAAGTGGCCATGTACCCCAAACCTGTCAATGACCTTCAGGGCTGGAATGTCCGCAGTATAGGCTGCAGGTAGGGATATATCACCTTTCTGTGCTCTTAGTGTGAGGTTTTATTCTAAAGAGTGTCTGCAATGTTTGTGTGTGTGTGTTTTTGTGTGTGAGTTCTTTGCATCATTAAAATGCGAGAGTCAGAAAATAAGTAAATATTGGTCTTACTGGCAACTCCACCTTATATGGGAAGTTGTGTCATCTGCATTTACCAACATTATGATTATGATAACTTTTTATGTAGTTTGATTTTTACTAGCAATTATTTGAATTTGATTATTATTATTATTATTATTATTATTATTATTATTATTATTATTATTATTGACAAACTTGAAATTATTTGAATTTCATTATTTTGCTGTAAGTCCACTATTTTATATTTCTTTATAATTTTTTGAATGCGTTTGAATTTTTTCTGTTACTCCATCCGTTTCATATTTCAGTAACAGGAGCATTGTTGTGGCGGCAGACGACAGTGTTATAAGCTGGGGACCCAGTCCAACCTATGGCGAATTGGTAAGATCAAAGACAGAGATTCTCTCTCCTTTTTGGAGGATTTCCTCTTTGCTTTGAGTATAAGAGAATTAAGTAATGTAGTTTTTTATTTCTCTCTGAGTAAAAGTGATTTGAGATTTTTTTTCTTTTGATTTCATCCCCTTTTTGAGGAAAAAAAATTAGAAAGTTTGTCAGATTTTGAATACAGTGCTAGTAAGGATTTTTCCCATATGAATATTTTAAGTTCCCCTCCATTCTAAGAGAGATTTTTCTTACTAGACAAAAACATGTATTCCATTGAATTGTTTAGATATGACTGTATTATCATCTGTAGGGTTATGGTGAAGACAAGCCAAAGTCCTCCACTCAGCCACAAGAGGTGAAGAAACTGACAGGCATCTTCATAGAAAAGGTATCCTGTGGATACGGACACACGCTTATGATTGCCAAAAATGACACAGAAGAAGCAAGAGAACAACTCAAGAAACTGCCCCAGGTTGCTTTTACCAACGAGCTGTCGTAGATTAGGTGCAGTAAGACTGACAAGACTGTTAGAATAGAATTCAGCCACTTTCTGAAGTGGGCCTAATACTTTTACATGTTAGAGGTAATATTATTTAGTAGTTGGATAATGATGAAATAGTTTTTTATGTCATTTTTTTTTTCACTCTGATATCATATATCAGAGTAATCTGAGGAATACATCAGAAAAATTTGTAAAAATTAGACCATTTTATCGTATTATCACAAATATATTCAGCCAGTGTATATATTGTAGGTGAAATTACAACCAAGAAATGCTGACTCACAGCCATTTCTACACCAATTGTCAGGGATAAAAAAATATACCATGAAGACTCGTAGCTTTGCACTTTATTGTTGATATATGAAATAACGCCATAAGTTTTAAAGTCTTCAACTTCTATCTGTAATTATGGTGAAAGTAATTTGAACATCTTATCTAGTCTTCGTATCACTTTAACAGTGGCAGGTACACCTTCTGTTACAATGCAATATCTGTGAACAAATGTTTANTTTTTTTTTTTTTTTTTTCTTAATCAAAAAAATAAACATATTGGTACTAGTAGTATTTGGCTTTTAAGAGCAGTGTCTTTGTCACTTTAGGACAAAAACATCCTTCTCTTAAGTTTATAGTGAAAATTTCACTTAAAAAATCTTCATCATGAGTGGTCCGCTTAAAAGTTAAATTTGGAATAAAATCTATTCTAGGTTATTTTGGATTCCAAGAACCGTGTATTTTCTTGGGGGTTTGGCGGCTATGGGCGTCTTGGTCACACAGAGCCAAAGGACGAGTTAGTCCCCAGGTTGATCAAATTCTTTGATGGACCAAAGCGAGGTGCAAAGGTCATTGCTGCGGGGACTTGTTATTCTATGGCAATCAGTGAACTAGGTAAGCTGGGGAAAGGCAGGGGTGGCGCTAGCAATTTTTTTCGTTTAGCCAGATTACTACTACTACATTTTGCTTTTTTTGTTCAAATGGTTTAAATTTTACTTTAATATGTTGATAATAAGATAAATTGAAGATATTTATTGATATATAAGAAGACACATAAGATAAATTGAAGATATATATATTGATATATATTGAATTGCGTACTCCCTCATAATTTCAGGACAGCTATACCTGTGGGGGCAGACCAAGTCCACGGGGGAAGTGGCCATGTACCCCAAACCTGTCAATGACCTTCAGGGCTGGAATGTCCGCAGTATAGGCTGCAGGTAGGGATATATCACCTTTCTGTGCTCTTAGTGTGAGGTTTTATTCTAAAGAGTGTCTGCAATGTTTGTGTGTGTGTGTTTTTGTGTGTGAGTTCTTTGCATCATTAAAATGCATTAAAAATGCAAGAGTAAGAAAATAAGTAAATATTGGTGTTACTGGCAACTTCACCTTATATGGTAAGTTGTGTCATCTGCATTTACCAACATCATTATGATTATGATAACTTTTTTATGTCGTGTGATTTTTACTAGCAATTATTTGAATTTGATTATTATTATTATTGACAAACTTGAAATTATTTGATTTTTTTTTTTGCTCTAAGTCCACTTTTTTATTTTTCTTAATAATTTTTTGATTGCATTTAAATTTTTTCTCTAACTCCATCCCTCAATCATATTTCAGTAACAGAAGCATCGTCGTGGCGGCAGACGACAGTGTTATAAGCTGGGGACCCAGTCCAACCTATGGCGAATTGGTAAGATCGAAGACGGAGATTCTCTCTCCTTTTTGGAGAATTTCCTCTTTGCTTTGAGTATAAGAGAATTTAGTAACTTAGTTTTTTATTTCTCTCTGAGTAAAATAGAGTTAAGATTTTTTTTCTTTTGATTTCATCCCCTTTTTGAGCAAAAAAAAAAAAAAAAAAAAAATTACAAAGTTTGTCAGATTTTGAATACAGTGCTAGTAAGGATTTTCCCCATATGAATATGTTAAGTTCCCCTCCATTCTAACAGATTTTTCTTACTAGACATTAACATATATTGTGTTGAATTTTTTATTAGATATGTATATTATCATATGTAGGGTTATGGTGAAGATAAACCAAAGTCTTCCACTCAACCCCAAGAGGTGAAGAAACTGACAGGCATCTTCATAGAAAAGGTATCCTGTGGATACGGACACACGCTTATGATTGCCAAAAATGACACAGAAGAAGCAAGAGAACAACTCAAGAAACTGCCCCAGGTTGCTTTTACCAACGAGCTGTCGTAGATTAGGTGCAGTAAGACTGACAAGACAGAATAGAATTCAGCCACTTTCTGAAGTGGGCCTAATACTTTTACGTGTTAGAGGTAATATTATTTAGTAGTTGGATAATGATGAAATAGTTTTTTATGTCATTTTTTTTTTCACTCTGATATCATATATCAGAGTAATCTGAGGAATACATCAGAAAAATTTGTAAAAATTAGACCATTTTATCGTATTATCACAAATATATTCAGCCAGTGTATATATTGTAGGTGAAATTACAACCAAGAAATGCTGACTCACAGCCATTTCTACACCAATTGTCAGGGATAAAAAAATGTACCATGAAGACTCGTAGCTTTGCACTTTATTGTTGATATATGAAATAACGCCATAAGATTTTTAGGTCTTCATTTTCTATCTGTAATTATGTTGAATATTACCTAACATCTTATCTAGTCTTCGTATCACTTTAACAGTGGCAGGTACACCTTCTGTAACAATGCAATATCTGTTAACAAATGTTTAGCAATTGTTTAGGGACAGACAGTTAATCTTTTTCAACATCTGATGTGCCTTATTTGTGTAAAACTACTTGACATTAAGAAATCCAGCAAAGAAAAACCAGTACAAGATAACTTATGAAAAATTGGCCAATAATATCTTTTTTTAAAGTTAAGGCTAAGATTAACCCCACAATGGACTTCATAATGTTAAAAGGAAAATGGCATCTTTGATTTCAAGTTCTTTGGATAACAGGAAATTTGCATTCTACTAGCTTCAGCATCAGCTGCAGGGATGTTACAGGAGATCCTTATAAAACTTTGAAATGGGCATTCAGTCACATAGTTTACATAAACCAGTTTCTATTTCATATGGACAGATTTGTTGAAATGACCAGATTGGAATCCTTTCCTCCCCCACCCCCCAAAAAATAAATAAATAAATAATAATTGCAAGGGATCTCGTGTAGAGGAATGGTGCTGACATATTCTCATATCACCTACCTCCCATTTAAAAAATATATATATATATGATGTAGATATATAAAATGAAAGACCGAGCGAGAAAATAGTCAATTAAAAAGAATGTATAACAATAATAAAGAAAATAAAATAAAAGTCAGCACTTTGTAAAAGCATGAAATGTACAAAACGGTTTCTTTTGTACGTTTAGATAACTGTACAGTAAATGATAAAAATGTAAAAATAGCAATGGGAAAATTAATTTAATATGTGAGTTTAGATGGCTTATAGTTAGTCAACTGCTTCTTATATTAATATTACTGCTTAGATTACATACATATATGATCAAATTTCAATATGGCAACTTTTACCATTGGTGAAAAATGCATGTTCAGGAAATTTAGTAATTACTGAATCAGCATTTTTACTGAAATTTTTTTTTTTGATGAAATTAATTGTAGCCCTTCAGACCCTGAATTTTTTCTACCTTTAAGAATGACTGTTCAGTACATGAGATGGCTTGACCACAACAAGTACTCCCTTTCTTTTATTGCCAGGGCAGTTGGTTGGCACCTCAGGTACACTATATACTAACATGTCTTGGCAATATTGTTTAAGAAAGGTCATTTGTTAACAGAAATCATCCGAGTTAGCCTAAAAAGGACTGTTGGCACTGTGTAATTATATAATGCATGCAAGAACAGACAAATGCGAGTCTGTGTGAGGTGGGGGCTTCTTTTTACGCAAAAAAGGGTGAATTCTACATTGAGCATGGCTGATAAAGTAATACAAAGCTGATAGGCAAAATGTGGTGGTTTCACTCTTGTTGTGCAGTACAGTGTAACTAGTATGTAAACAACCAGGGCTCTGTTACTCGAAAGCATCGTAATTGCGACTGGGCGCAAGAGTCTCTATTCCATAACTTGGCATTTACTCGCTCCATGTAATAGCCTTGAAATGAAAGGTGATATCGCTATTGCAATTCGCTTTCGAGTTACGGAGCCCAGAGTAATATCGGTTGGCAAATTCAAATCATTTCATGTGGCACCACATTTGCCAGCCTGTCAGTATTTTACCACAAACTTCACCTAATTTTACATCGAGTCAACAGATTTTGGCTGTCTGTGTTGATTCACATTGCATTTATTCGATATAACTTTCATTAAAAAATGACAAAGATCCCACATTTTACAAAATGCTGCCAACTTTTTAAAAAATATTTAGTTACTTAAAAAGATGTACTGTTTGACATAAACCGGACTGACCATTAATGATGTCTTGATCAGGAATTTCTTGCTCATTTTTTGAAGTGAAAATTTTCATGAATTATTTGGAGTAATAACCATTTCCTTTTATTATAATTTCACTATTGTATACTTATTTTGAAATTTTTGATTAGATTACTGTCACTGAATCAGCTAAATGTTTCTTTAAACTTTGTATAGTTGTAACTTGTTTTGTGTTAAAATGATACTTAGATGGAGTACGTTGTAAAATGTTGAACTTTGTAAGAAGAGAAAATCACTCACAGCCAGTATTTTGGCTTTGAATGCAACCAAACAGGGTCAGGTTTTGCCACTGAATGTGGATAATGCACCAGACTATTACCTCAAGATATAGCTGAATTCAGGTGTAATCGCCAGCTGAGTTTAATTGATTACAAACAAAATGTGTACACCAAAGAATTCTCAGTTCTTTTTCTAACGAGTCTTTAGTCATTGTGAAAGAAACCTTTGTATGAGGAACTTGTAATGAAGTATTGATAAACATTCTTTTGTTGTATTAATTCTTTGCAGTGATCAAATTTTATGGAGATTTGCAACCTTTATGATTTTCATAGGACAAAATACACTAGTGTAACTGGGATTTTGCTGATGTGGAAGGGGGGGGGCACTATTTGTTTACCTTTCTTTGCTTGGGAAATTAATAAATAATGGTTGAAGACGACAACTTTACTATTAGGTTTGGCCGAGTGGGTGAGTTCCTTCAAAGCATTGGGGGGGGGGGGGATTCTCCTGGGTCCTTCACAGATATTATAATACATTCATAATTTTTTTACTGTATTATTACTTTTGGCAAAGTAGAAGATCTCAGTATTATAGGTTAGGTGCTTTAGAAATTCTATTTATAGAAATTATTTTGCAGGATAAACAAGTTATGGGACACTCATGTTGATAAGAAATACAATAAAAGGGAAAGAACAGGATAAGTGAAAAGTGTTTCATATAAATTTTATGTTTTAATGTTTATCCCTGCATTTGTTGAACAACAGTTAATTCTATGTTTTCTGTCCAAGGGAAAAATAGTATAATTTTATCTTACAATTGGTAAATAATAATAAAAAGTATACTAAAATTGTGAAACTGCGTCATTGTCTTTTTAGTTTGTAATTGAAATTTTAGTGAGGGGTTATGAAAACGCTGGATTTAGAGTTGAAGCTAATTTAGATAGTTTAATTGCATGGTTATTTCTTAATTAAAGCCGCTTATTTCCGAATGTGTCTTTAGTTATTTTTTAAAAAAATGTTCATTTTAATGTTTATATATCCCATGTCAAAATTAAGTGGTTGGCAGAGACGGGGGTCACCCAGCGTCAAGACAGATGTAGATGTGAGACTTAATGTCACATGCTTGTAAAATAAACACCTTCCTAACATTAAAGAATGAAAGTAACCCGTCGTGCGTGTCCCAAGTAAATGCGCGGAGGAGAGGGGAAACTAATTAGTGGAAGGGCTGTCTTGGTTTTCGGTGTGTATCGATGACCATTATGTTCCCATCAAGATTAAAAGGACAAGGCAGAGAACTTGTTTTGAGTCCTCTTACTTTGCACAGAGTCAAAGAGTCCACCACCTCCAACTCTGTTCAAAGGTTGTAGCATCGTTATAATATAAGTTGAAAGTGCAAATTGTGTTTTCGTTAACTATGAAAATTAAACGTAGGTCCTGACGAGTGAAATGGGCGAGGTTTCTCCCACACTTTGGTTCAAAACTGAGGGCATACACGAAAACCTATATCGTATAACAGAACAATACTTCTTCGAAGGAAACCGGTGCAATATTTGGCTTGTCAAAGGTAAAGATCGAAACATAATCAATAGTGGTTTAGCCTCACTCAGCTTGCAATTTTGACAAATAATCTAATTCGAGCTCTGAAGCAACTTTTTACATTGTAACGTGCAAACTAGATTGCACTGAGAGTATCGGGGTTAATAATGCCATATCAGAACTCACTGACAAAAGACTAATTTCATGTTCAGAGATAAAACTCACCACTCCGCTATCAACTGTAACTGGAGGCAAGCAGAAAGATTGTATATTTAACTGGAAAACACTCTTTATATTCTCACTTTTTTTATCATATCATATCTGTCCATTTATTTATTTATTTTAATTTATTTCAGGCCCAGAAAGAGATGTCATTATCGACTCAGGACTGGGAGTGTGTGACCTTAAGCAACACCTCGAGAGCCTTCATCTCATTGATCCTCCACCAGGTGGCACCAGAGACTGCACACTTATCTGCACACATAACCATTTCGATCACAGCGGAGGAGCGCGCCATTTTGACAATGTGCTCATACACCAAAATGACCTTGATGGCCTACGCCAAGGTCGTCAAACTGAGACCCTTAATTACGTCAAAACAGCTCACTTTTATCGGACTCCATACCCTGGTTTTTCTGCTTGCAAATACGCTGTTCCCCCAACTGAATGTAAAAGTGTTCAGCATGGCGACCGCATTGAACTAGGTCAAGGTGATTACCTAGAGGTAATTCATGTTCCGGGGCACACCAAGGGAAGCATCATGATATTTTATCCAATGAGAGGCGAGCTTTTCAGCGGAGATTTTGTGTACGACTGTGGCCCTGGGAGCGGTCTGTTTGACTGGTTGCCCACGTCGTGTGTCACGGATTATGTGCAGAGTGCCAGGGACACGATCGACTGGTTAATGAATACTTCCTTAAAGGGCATTTATCCTGGGCACTTTCGCCCTTTCAAGCCACAGAGAATGAGGACTATATTGCAGGAGTATGTAGAAGCTAAAGATCAACTGGGGTCGAAATGTTGTGCCTCATGTTTACAAGCCACTACATGGGCTTTCTTTCTACTGGGCTGCTTTAGATGCTGTCCTTGCGGCTAACATTGACCTTGAATTAGATCGGTAACTGGCTTGGTAGTCCTATCATCAGGGATGTGGATGAGCCAGGCATAATTTATGCACACATCGTGGTTGGACTGTCCCTGGGCGTGGATGACTCTTTTTTTGCATAAAGCCTTTTCTCATAGATATTATTTTATTCTGTTATTATTAAAGTTATTTGCAATAACTAAACTTAAAAGACCTAGGCATTGACATAGATAATCATCAGGGTCCCCTACAATTTGGGGAAGTGGGGGATGCGCAGTGGCTGCCCATCAGCACCAACTGGTTAAGTTTCTACGCCAGCAAGGAGAGAATTCATGAGAATTCATTAACTATAGAAGGGCATTAGCTTAAACTATGATTTTATGGTGCTATTGTGAAGATACTAGTTGCAAACACAAACTTGTGATAAACAAGTCTCTCATCTTCTCGTTTGGCACTTTCTGAAAATAAAATGAGCCCTGGTAAATGCTTACCGAATCATCCCCAAATTTTTCACTTTTGCGCAATGAAATTGTGGTTTAAGCATTTACAGTCACAAACTCCCACAGCTCCAAATCGCAAACGGCAATTTTCTTTACGAGACCAGAAAAGGCCGCTCCAGCAAAACAGTCAGTATTAGGGGCAAAAACGTTAAAAAAGTTGACAACATAAATAACTTATCACAAGCACAGCTTTCCATTACACCAACCGTTTATCAGCTTATCTACTCGTCCGGCACGTTCCTTATGAGCCGAAGATTGTCGCATTATAAAAAGAACTTGTAAGGGGCCTATGTATACAGACAGAGACCCGGATGAAAGCTGGCCATTTTTTTTTAATGTTTGTGTGAATGAAACGCTAAGTTTATGGCAACTAATTTTGCGTTTTGGTAGTTAATTCGTGGCTGGAGTTGTTAATTTGTGCTCCCACGGCCATTATCATATATGATGCCGGAATATTCTGGATGCGTTGTAAACTTTTATTATCTGTTCATCCGTAGCATAAAAACCAGGAGAGGGGTAAAAAAAAAACAGCCGCCAGGCAGACCAAATGCCCGCGGGTACGAGATTGCAGACTGGTCTGGTGATTTGAAAGAAAACGAAATTTACAAAATAAAAAGGGACTTGGTACTGAAATGTACATTATCGTTTTCAACTGTCTAGGAGATCATTCCCAGAGACTGTCGTACGAACTTTGGATCGAGCTATCTCCAAGGGGAATTTCGTTTAATTGCAATTAATTTTAGCGACTTAGATGTCTGTCGCACCTACTGAAGCTGATAGGGGGTATTTAACTATCGTTTAGCAGCTTTAGCAGGCGTGCCAGACGTCAAAGTCACTTAAGCTGAAAGCAATTTAGTGAGTAACCCCGTGGAGATGGGCCGATCCTGTTAGATCGATCTAGGGATGGGAGCCCAGACTAGAAGTGGCATGGAAGTCATTACACTTGGCAGTCGACTCCTGTTGACATCAGAGTGTGAAACAAACGAAGTGATTTTTAAAATTCAGATGTAGGGCTCGCTCTTACTAATAAATAGCAGGACAATGTACATGTACCATGGACTATAAATAGTATAAAGGTACGTGGAGTTGGTTAGAGAGTGATCTGATGGCTATTTCTATTATTATTATTATTATTATTATTATTATTATTATTATTATTTTTAATATTGATTGGACTTTAATGGCGTTTGGACCTAGTTTTGTTTTGTCGTCATGCAAGCGCAATTTATGTCTCGGTTGCGCCTCGATGCAGTGGACGGCTCGTATTGTAACTAGAACGTTTCAAATGGCCGACGTAACAGGAATGGAAGTCTGGGCTTAGTACAGGTTAGGGTTAGTCAGAGTATTGGGGTTAGTATATAGGTCGAATGTTACCTGTACAAAGTAAATGGGGCACGGACAACGGTTCCAGGGGGTCTTCCATTCTTGTTACACCGGTGTCACGTGTTCGGTCCGTTCTGTGTGAACCATCGGTCCTGACCGATTGTACACGCAGCAGACGCGTGCATGAGCCGTTCCGTGAATGATCCGTTGTTATTCACCTGTACTGTTTTATTCGGCTAGTTCGTTTCCTACCTCATTAAATATATACTATAATGGGGATATTTCTAGGTAAAGTTCATGTGTTAATATATTGATAATTTTGATAGAGAAACACAATCACAGAATTACAATTCGACGCATGGATGAACCTACCGTGGACGGACCGTTGTTATTCAGCTATTGGCCTACTACAATGGATTTTACTAGGCTAGTGTGTTGGCCACCTGAGGGAAATTGCAGTAGAAGTGAACATCTTTAAGATATGAATACTTCTAAAGATTATGTTTGAATTTGCAGTATGCTCTCAACAGTGTACGTTTATTAAAGTCTAAGGATGTGTTGATGAGACGGACTGTACACGCCGGAAGTCTCAGATTTGCCTGCGCTTCGTGCGCATGAGCAGTACGGATGGTTCAAGCTCCGAACGATTCATGCCACACCGGTGCCACAGATTGAGGAGACCAGATTGATTTTTCACTTGATATCCACGGATATACTTGCCTAATATCCTCTTCGAGCCATGACCGTCTCATAAGGCTCACGGCTCGCTTGTCAATTTTTTCTTAAGTTCTGCATGACTTTTTGCTTGGAATCACGGACACAAAACGCAACAAATGTCCGAGTTGGAGTCAAATTCATCACTTAACTGGCCTCCGGTAAAGATATGCCCCTTAACATGTATGAGTAAAACATCGCAAGGGCAGTTAAGTGTTTGAGCCAATCAGAGGCTGTGGTTTAAGCCCTATACAGGGACAATACACGTCGCCGGGCTATACGTGAAAATTATTCGTACACTTTCTCTTTTGCGGCTCGACGATACACTCATAATATTTCACGTGCAGCTTAGCGACTTGTATTGTATCTATCACATAAAGTGAAATAACGAAGCGCAGAAAAAATGCAGATGTCGACCAACATGAGGCTATTTTTGCTCTTTTCTACCTTGGCTGTAGTGAGTTTTCCGCTTATAGTTTTCCACCGTTCAAAGTCGACAATCAGGTATGTTTGAGTAGAAATTAGTCGCAGCACTTGATTTTTAAAACTCGTTTTAAAAAACAGAGATATATTAGAACAGCCGAAAAAGATGTTGGCTTACATGAGGATGTTTCCAATGTTGCCTTTACTTTTGGTCACACGTTCCATGGGTAATTTAACATAAGAACGTTCTTCTTGGCTGTGACCGGAAGTAGGCGATTGATTGCAATTCCCACAGGATGAGGAGGCCTTTTGACTGAGGGGCAACAGGCACATTACACACCGGTAGGATGCTGTTTAATATAGGATGAAAATTTATTGTCATATTTATACAAAGTGAAAATCTTTGTGACCTGTCGACAAAATGACCAATTTGTTATGAGTCAGATTAAAAGATGCATTATAAGTTTAGGTACGCCGATTAAAAATCGTATTGCTGTTGGATAGTATCTGGCTTCGGTACATTTAGAGGTTGCTTTAGAAATTGAGGGACCATTGCTATGGCATTGTTGACATTGGCTTGAACAAACTATAACCTGGATGGCCAAAGTCTTTCATAAAGGACTTCATATGTTTATAATTTAAAGTTTATAATTTTCCTTCATTTTCTTTTTTAATTATTTGTTAATATACTATTTTTGTTTTGTTAAAAACGTGTCACAAGTTTTTGATCTTATTATTTTTTTTCTTAAAACTGACACTCTCGACTACGATGCACTTATCAATTACAGAGAGGCGGAGATAGTTTTTGTAAAAAGAATAGAAGAAATACCCCCCCAACCTTTGAGTGTTTGCCAAGTGAACCAAGAGCTTTTGGGTAAGCCGAATCACTAAAACATTGAAAGAGTAAGGTCGTTTTAAAAAATTTGTGCTTGTACAATATGTCTACATGAATGTGAAAATAGCGTGAAACTGGAAATATGTCTATATGAAGAGTCGTAAAAATGTTTCATGTAGAATAAACCGCGTATTTGTCCACACAGTAGCATATAGATGATGCTTCAAGCAACTTAAAGGTGAGTTTATGTCCAGCCGAAATACGGTACGAATGAATTTTATGAATCATTTATGAATTAATAGCTCTTATGGCCTAGTATACTGTGTCTGCCCCATCTAAAATCGCCATTCATACTGAAGCCAGCGTCTATAATATTGATACAGAAATGTATGGACATTCCGTCACTCAGTCCCGTATTCAGAAAAAACTTGAATCTCGAAAAGATTTTCAGAACTTATTTTGACATAAAAATTGTCTTTATTATCTAAATATTTTCATTTTCATCAGTAGAAGCGCTTTGCTTTGGAACTGGTATCCATTGAGGTGTACTCACAACTGCCCTTTGTAATGTCAAATGGTCATTGAATTTTTGTGGAAAAAATAAGCCAAAATTCCAACATAATGATAGCTTTGAAAACCTAAACCATTATTTCCAAAAAAAAATTTCAAGAGTGTGACAACCATTTTGAGCAAAAATGTATAATCCAACGTGCTTCGGCCAGTATCTGTTGGAAAGTTTTTACCTGCTACTTTACTAACACTAAGGGCATTATCTTCTGGCTTGCTTATGCCATGTCAGACAGAAAAAGTTGAACACCTAAAAGTTAAAAAAGACACAATAATAACATTATGAACTATACAATTAGGCATAATAAAATTAGGCATTTAGACAGAATTGGGGAATTCAACATTGGGATGAAACACCAGACCTAGAAAAAGAAATTAATCTAAAAATTGAAGGCCTCTTTTGGGAAGATTTGAGCAAGGAGAACTACAATAAACTGCGTACTTATAGAAAAATAAAAAAACTCATACGATCTCGAAAATTACTTTAAATTGAATGCCACAAGCTCAGGCGAAAAATACATTGCCAAAATGAGAATTACAGGTAGTGACCATGAGCTGGCGATAGAGAAAGGCAGGCTCATGAAAATCCCCCTGGAAGAAAGAACCTGCACAAGCTGTAAAACGGAAAAAGAGGACGAGAAACATTTCTTCCTCACTTGTAGTAAATACCAAATAGAGGGACAAAGCATGCTCAGTTCCCTCCCAAATATACTGAGAGACAAAATTATGAATTAGCAGGCAGTGATCAGAAACTGTTCATCCTCCTCAACCCTCAAGATTATAAATCACTTAAAGCAATATCACAGTATATACAGTAAGCAGCACAATGAAGTAGCACTTTCTTTTTATGTAAGCACAATATGGTAGATTCAGTAAGTATAGCCTAGACAGCGAACAATGTTAAATTGTAACATTGCAAAGCTGAATAAATTATTATTATTAATAAATCAAGCCGCGTTACAGCAT